CCCCCCCCCCTCCCCCCTCCAGCATCTTCCAACGAAATCTTCCAATAAGCAAGCCAGACAGTACAGGAGTCTTAGGAGTCAGTATTTCACAAATTTTGAAGAGAAAGAGAAGGAGAAGGAGAAAGAGGTATTTAGGTTGAAGAAGTTGAAGAAGGAAGTTGAAGGCTTTATTTGATGCTTTTTCTGAATTTCTGATAGTGAAGATTTAGGGATGGATGGATGGATGTTGTGGATGGAATGGATAGGGATGTAGAGGGATTTAGAGATTAGAGTTTATTTGAAGGTTTGAAGTGAAGGTATTTGAAATTGAGGGTGAGGGGCTTGATAGAGATAGAGATAGAGATAGAGATAAAGATAGATGAGTGATAAGTAATGAGTTGATGACAAGCAAATTCTTGATATAGTTTTGTAAATTATGTAAGTTGGTAGGAAGTTGTGTTGTGGCCTTTGAGGATTTTTATTACTGATATGACTGGTTGTAACTGGTTGTAACTTGTCTGTGGAGATTCATTCCACTGGTGTCAGTTATCGGTCTTTCTCATTTCTAGTTTCGTGGAGGAGAGGATATCTGTGACCTGTCATACTTTAAAAAAGTGTTTTAAATTCTGTCTTGTATATAGGTTCTGTCCTTGAAGCATGAACTCAAAAAAGGGCAAGTTCCTCCGTCATCAGCGTTGAAAGAGGTATCTTCAAGATCGATATCTGTGGACCAACCCGTCTCTAGCTGTCATTAGTCGATTTCCCTGGCCTAATTGTCTCCGAAATTGAAGATGCTTCTGCTGGCGAGGTATAAATGGCTACTGGCATGCATTACAGAACGTTATATCGAATAGCCATGTATGGTTTGCCTTATTGTAAGTATTCGCTATGAACGATGTTGCTAATCAGGAAATCTTTTCCTGGGTACAGCATTTGAACAGGAATTAGTATCTAAATGGCGATCGGATTCTGCGTATTGTTATTGAGCCTGACATGTTCTGTAAGGGATCTGATCTTGAGAATACTTTCACCCGGCTCACAAATATCGAAAATGTAAAATACTTAACACACCCATCTGTAGAGGGACCAAAGAAATTGACAAACCATGAGGCTGCTTATTGTGTATGTACAGCAATAAAGAGAGATTGTGATATGAAAATTCAGGGACTTATATTCTCACATACATTTCTCAATTTATCTGGGAACAAGCCAGAAAAGTGGGAATCACCGGCCTCTTTCCAGCTGGATGCTGTTTCTAATCTTTGCGCAAAGTTCCTCAAAGAGTTACTTCTTGAAAAGGTGCCAAAGGATAGCGAATCCCGATTCACGCCTGTGGCCGATGTTGGATGAAGCATTGAGGGTTGGACATCGAGCGGAGCTTCGAGAGCTGGGTTTCTTGATCGAGGATCTTTCACGTTATCCAATTAAACTATAACCATTATTATACTCTACAGACACTATTCACAAACGTCGGGAAACCAGAGAAGCAACGTTGGTAAGCTTGTTCGGCGAAGCATCAGCGATATCTTCTATAGGTGGTGAAGGTGATGAAGGTGATAAAGTGGCCGATCTCGATATTATGTATGTGTGTATATTTGAGTAAGCCGATGCTGAAAGATATGGATACAGTTTCTTATGAAGCAGAAGCCCTCGACAGTCTCTTTTCTATTAACAAGGAAGGTTAGCCAGAAACGCTCCCGTCAATTGTCAAGCTGAAATGCTTTAGCACACGTCTACCACAGAAGTAACACCTAACATTTCAGGTCCTCCAGGAAGTATCTGTAGCCAATGTTGCAACTCGGGTGATTGAATAACATTTAGTTCGTCAGTTTGTGATTTGACTGTATATTTGATCCGGTTCCGTCCACGAGCTTACTGATAAACGAGTCAAAGATATTGTAGGTGAGCCTGCGCATTCAAAACGACGGGAAAATCCTCCAGGATAGAATCAAGAAGCTTGAGGACGGTAAGCGAGCTTTTAGCTTTATTATAAGGTTAGGTGTTGATGCAGTTTTTTAAATTCTGCTAGTCGGAACAGGAAAATAATTGTGGCTAATCGGACTGACCACTGTTGAGTGTGGTGGCGTGAGTGAAGTTGTTCTTTCTCTTAGTTACGGAATTGGTATCGAGGTATCATATAGCAAACGCGGGTCTTGTGAGAAGGATCTCTATAAACTTTCTATCTGCTCTTTCTGGAGCTAGAACCAGAACTAGAACTAATAATAGATTTTACTAGAACTATTCGAACGGTATATATATTTACACCTCAATAAAGTGACTTGCACACCATCATGCTTGTTGTCTCTGTGGCATTGTTAATAATGATACTGTGAGGTCTAGAAGTCAACTTGAAGCGATATCGGTCCTTTTGCACTGCTATCTAGAAGTCATCTTAGGGCTGTTAGTGTTTTGCCAAAGCTAGGAAAGAGCCGACAGCCTACTCCGTAGTGTTAGCTATGGTGTAGACAAGCTTCGATGGTTATTTTTCAAGACCCCTGTTTTTCTTTGCCCCCGGCATCGCTTAAATTCTACGGATCCATTCTTCCGACGGATATCTTTACCCGTTTTCTAACTCACCCATTGGCCAGTAATTCTTCCGATCAGCGCTATAAGGCTGATAAGATAAGTTTTCTTCGCAACAACACAACCAGTCGCTGGGGATTATGCCGTTGGAACCGTCCATTTGCCTATTTGGGATCTATGGATTGAACTTTGTACCCTCTTTTGAATGGCTGGTGTGTGTCGTGGATGAAATGATGAAATGATCCTAATGAGAGATCAGTGAATAATGTAAGTGGAGTTTTTATCTTTTGGGGTAAGTGTATGATTTATTACTGAAGCTTTTTGCGCATCTTGAAGATGTCTTTTCTATCTCCTGTATGTTGTTTTGAGGTTGGATTTTGGTGCTTGCGATTGTGTGATGTTTTGAGACTGCACATGATCTCTTAATTCTAGTTAATTACATAGTCGAAGGTGAAGAGAAATATATGACGCCTCATTCGGATTCGGAGACGGAGATTGAGGGAGACACACCGTTGCGGGATTTGGAGAAGGGGGAGAGGGCAATTGGGAATCCAAACGCCACTTCGATACCAGATCACGATGGAGAAACAACAGATGTTGAGACACCACCCCGACGACCAAGTACACAGTCATTTAAATCAAATTCGCGGTCCAATATTCCCTCGGATCTTCCCCCCTCCCAAGAGAAGCCCTCTGACTCGAATGGGACACAAGAAGATCGAATATTAGTTGATTGGGATGGGGACAACGATCAAGGGAATCCGAGGAATTGGTCGACGTTATATAAGAGTTGGATTACGTTTCTGCTGGGTATGCTAGCATTGAGTGCGAGTTTGGGAAGTAGTATCATTAGTCCGGCGGAGAATACAATTGCGGCGTATGTTGGGGTTTCGAAGGAGGTTAGTGTGTTGAATATTAGTTTGTACATGTGAGTTTGAAGATTTCCTTTCTTTTGGAATATTGAAGGTACTGATATCTTCAAAAACAGATTAGGTTTCGCATTTGGACCACTTTGCTGGGCACCAATATCTGAGCTGTGGGGAAGAAGATGGAGTATGCTACCTGCCGTGTTTTGTCTGGGACTTTTCTCCATTGGAACGGCTACGAGTACGAATGCGGCATCAATTTTTATAACGAGATTTTTCGCGGGCTTGTTTGGTTCCGCTCCTGTGTCGAATGTCTCTGCGGCGTTGGGAGATATATGGAGCCCCAAAGCTCGAGGAACGGCAGTTACATTCTACGCGGTTGCAGTCGTAGGCGGGCCGACACTAGGGCCTTTGATCGGAAGCGCTTTGCTTGTGAATCCACACTTGGGATGGAGATGGACGGAATATATCGAGGCAATTTGGGTATTTACCGTTCTAATATTGAACTTCTTCTGCCTCCCGGAAGTCTATACCCCCGTCCTCCTCAAAGAAAAAGCCGCTCGTCTCCGCAAAGAAACGGGCAATAATGCTTACTACCATCCGCACGAAGCCATCAAACTCGATGCCAAGACAATGATCACGAAACATTTCTCTCGGCCCCTACTGATGCTCACCACTGAACCGATGGTCACCTGTATAGCCCTTTACGCCTCATTCGTCTATGCCCTCCTCTACCTCACCCTCGAAGTATTCCCCATCGTCTTCGCCGAAAACCGCGGCTGGTCTCCCGTCATCTCCACACTCCCCTTTCTCGGCCTCTTCGTTGGCGTTAATTTCGCCACCATCGTTAATCTAAGCAACCAACCCCGCTATGCACGTCTCGTCGATGCAGCAGGCGGCCTTCCCGTTCCCGAAGCTCGACTCGCTCCCATGGCACTCGGAGGTATAATATTCGCCATCGGACTTTTCTGGTTTGGATGGACGGCGGCCCCAAATATTCATTGGATTCTTCCAGTTATCGCTTCGGTGTTTATTGGCGCGGGGTTTAATATCATTTTTCAGCAGTGTATTAATTTCTTGGTTGATACTTATGTGTTGTATGCGGCGAGTGCGGTTAGTGCTAATACATTTTTGAGGAGTATCTTGGCGGCGGGATTTCCGCTTGTAGCGGGACCGATGTTTAGGGGGATGGGAGTGGGACCAGCGATGAGTGTGCTGGGTGGAGTGGCTACTTTGGCGATACCAGTGCCGTTTTTGTTCATGAAGTATGGGGTAGCGTTGAGGAGGAAGAGTAAGTTTGCTCCGTTCAAAGATTAGATACCGATAGTAGATGTATATGTATTATTGAAGGGGTCGAAATGAATAATGTATGTATGGAGTACACGACAATAGGAATTAATTTGAGTAATCATAACTGTTTATAAAAATTATTCAATAAAATGCACACCATGCCCACCATGCACACCAGGATTGTAGTGATCTGGTTACCGATTAGTATTACAGTCAACAAAAGCGTCTAGAGGAAGAGAGTAAAGAAGTAGTACTTCAAAGATATTACCCGAGTAGTAATCGGTGTGGATAGGTGGTTATCTAAAGCCGTCAAAACCCATACAGTTATGGGTGATGTTGTCGAAAGTATTTGTGTTGAGGTAAGGGATTGATGGAGAGAAAATTAGATTGGGGAGAGAGTGGACGATGAGCAGGTTTGGCTTGTTGATTGAGAGGAACTTTTGTTGGAGTTGATCTACTTCTCGAAGTATTCATATTAAACAATTTCATCAACCGAGAGACTCTGCGTCGCATAAGAGAGGGGTATTTCTCAATAAAAAGCAAGTCACCCGAGAGCAGCCACTATTCAAGTCGCTTCACCTTCCTCAAGCCCTTCCCCACATTGTACACATCAGACCGGCATATACCCGGACTTTATTTATACCACGAACATCCAGATTATATGTATTGATATTAAACTCCCGAATAAATTGTATCTTCAAACCACAAATCATGGCTCCACGAAACTTACTGGAGTTGTTAAGGTCTAGAACCGTTGTCGATTGTGATACTATGGAGTTTCAGGGTAGGATTTCTGCACAACATGGTTCACGTATTGCATTCTGACGATGACCTCTAGTTGCGAAGTCTCTTGGTCCTTTCACAGATTGTACCTCTAATCAAGCAATTGCATTTTTCGAGCTTGGGAAACCAGAAAACAAAAGCCTTCTTGATGAGGCAGTCGAGACGACGAAGAAGCTTCTGGGGGAGTATACAAATGTGACTTATCATGGGCTGGCAGTGGAAGTTGCGGTAGATGGCTCTCTCCCAAATTGATTTCCGAATGCATCGAGCTCATCAGATTGTACAGATGATTAAATTACAACTTGCAATCAGCAGCGTAGTCACGGGATTTGTTCATGTTCAAACAGATCCATATCATTCATATGATACTAAGACAATGGTAGAGGATGCACGAAGTATGTCCCTTGCTCTCTGTCCAACGATTTAAACATCCATTAAAACTTCCAGGAATCATCTCTATATTTAGCCATCTCGATCCAGACTTTGATACTAAGCGAATTTGTCTAAAAATTCCAAGTACATGGGAAGGACTTCAGGCATGCAAGATATTAGAAGCTTCTGGTATAACAACACTTGCAACTACGCTTTTTACTATTGAGCAAGCGGCGTTAGCTGGAGAGGTAGGATGTACATATGTGGCGCCTTATGTCAATGAACTGAAGGTTCATTTTGAAGCTGGGTATACTATCCCCTTCCCTTCCGTTCCTTTCACACTCCCATAATTCTATCAAGCTAAGCAGAGACAGATTCATCGACACCAACAAAGCCCATAAACTCTGCTTCCAAATTCAGCAATACTATCGCAAACACAACCACAAAGCAAAAGTCCTACCAGCTAGTCTTACAAATATCGATGAGATTATGATGTTGGCGGGCGTAGACCATATCACGATTGCACCTGCACTACTGCGTGAATTAGCTGCCACATCTATCCAGGGATATGAGGTAAAATCCCTATTTGATGGAGATCTTGAAGTGGAAAATGTGCCCCTGTTGATGGAATTTGCGAATTATGAGAGTGGCTGGAGGTTAGATTTCACGAGGAGTGGGAAGGGAGAGGGAGAAAGAAAGTTGAGCCAGGTGAGTTGTTGCCGGCAGGAATTCTTTGAGTCAACTATGATGTAGATTTTACTGACTTTTGGTATTATGTAGGCTATCAATATCTTTTGTGATATGCAGACGCAGCTGGAAAAAATGTTTGAGAATCTGAAAGATGAGTAAACATGAGTTGAAAAGCGCGATTCAAAGATATAGGCTTGGTTTCTATGAGTGCTCAAAGGTAAAACCTATTCGAGCATCGCGTAATATGGAAATAATTCCCTCTGACATGCATGCACATGGGACTCTTTTGGCCAATGACAGGGATCACAAAAAGTGGCTATAAGATTGAGGACCCAAGTCGTATAGCTCATGAAGGATAGCCAAACTTTAACAATCTTAGGTCTCGTCTCGTCATTATTAGATGTTTGAATCCACTCCAAAATAGACTCGTTCCAAATGGTTCGCTTAACATATTTTGCTTGAAATCCAGCGCACTCGATTTGGTTGAGATATAAATGAGATAGAAACGAGCCGTACGTCTGGTTGGGTGGGGATGATAGTATAACGATCTCGTTTCAATAGCGGCCTATGGGAATACACACTGGCGAGACCGGTGCCGTTGAGACCAGAAATAAGAAACCGGCGTGGGGTGATAAATAAAGATCCAGAAACGAGGAAGCGCATAAGGTGAGACCAGGAACATTTTTGAACAAGATTGAGGAAGAGATAGTTTCTTTCCTGGATAGTGTCTAGAATAATTGACGCGTTCGGATAACGGAAGTGAGAGCGTGCAAAGTAAATAAGCGATGTCGATCCAAATCGCAGGGCAGGCGTGACAGTAGCCACTTTCTGGGATATTGACAATGAGAACATCATGAAGGACTGAATCAAAAAGAATTTAGAGCAACCACGAGACGGGGTCTCAAAAGTGGCGATCATTTTTTTGAAAGGTTTTCAATGATAATGCAATATAAGATAGACCGGAACTGCGTTGACTGTCTGCGAAAGATTCTCGCCAATGAAGTCTGAGTTTGACAGGATGAAGACAAGCCACTTGAATTTCGAAGTTGTATTTGGGTACCAACAACAAGGTCGGTTGAAAAGCTCTGAGTTGTGTATTACATTACTTTAGGAATCCATTGAATTCAAGACCTGCAATAATATCTGTTAGGATGATGGCCCACAGCAGGAATTGGGATGTTTAGATGTGGGGCCGGAAATTGCGGGGTAGTACTGTAATGGTAGCAAGTTCCACTCAACCACTCCCGTTAAAAACGCTATTGCGACTTGATCAATCTAATCATGCTGATATTTGTCACCTCCTCTCTGATTATAGTATACCACCACACCCTATATGCTACATACAATTTTCTTTGGGCCTTTGTTCATCGTAAGGTTGGGAAAAGGTCACGCATGTCAATAGCTCTATACTCGAGTATAAATTTACGAACTTCTTCTCTGGTACTGCATACTATGCTTGCTTTAGATTCGCAGACGTTGGAGACGTAGGGTCAATTGCCACGAAGTCACGAAGTGGAAGTCAAGAATACTTTTGTAGCGGTGGGGATATCCATTTGTTCTAAAGGAATTGGTCATTAGTTCATGGAATGGCGATGTACGAGTATAAAAACAATGACAATAAGATATCTTTTAGACGCGATCATAGAAAAGCATCTCTTCATACACAATTACGAGGGGGTGAAAAAGACCAGTCTCTTAGAACTGTCTAATGTGTAACTAATCTAATTTTCAAATTAGATTAGAAGATACCGGTATAAAGGTACACTCACGGAACTTGTATATCCGATTACCTAAAATGTATGTATTCTCTTGCAGAACGCACTTATTCTGCGTCAGTTGCCGGGAAAACTCCTATCCGACTACTTTCCGTTTCGAGTATCTGCGGAAGCAGTGGGAATATTGGTAGTGGAACTTTGTATGTGGTGATGATATATATGTTGGTTTGAATGAACTTGGAAGATCTAGATATGTGGTAGTGAGCTGACGAGCACGCGGATAAAAACAGTAGATGGTTTTGTGCAAGATTCGTGCTATTTCGTGTACTTTAGGAATGAGTAAGTTTACTTTGAATTCCCGTTAACGATTTGTTTGAAAAGACATCATGCTTCCAACTACCGATCTCTTGCGGAATAGACTGTAAGGAGTTTGCGGATAGTGTATACCACGAACTGGCAGATGCATTTGTATTCTGATTCCTGAATGATTGCTCAGGAAAATGAGGTATAGAGAGAAGTCATGGGGGAGAGAAAGGCCTACCGGCTTATTGAGCTCAATGATTTGCTGTAAGCCAGGTATCAAAAGCTGTTTTTACGCACCTTTTCGATATTGACCATGTTCACGGAAGCTGAATGCTAGCAAGGTTGGAAACCTGGAATAGTGAGAAAACTATGGCTTTGGTATTACTGGAATGAAATACAGTAAAATAAACTACCAATTATGGAGACTCGTAATGATAGACAACAAATCTCACAACTACCTAACAAATGAAGGAACAAAAAATGTAAAATCTGTGCGTCCCGATTAAAACTCAAGTCTTCACATTGGTAATCTCAATAATGGCTGGACCAGCGGCAATAGTCTCGTCGTTAACGTCCTCTTTACGCCCAGTCAACACGACATAGCTTTGTCCGTCAATACCTTCCGGTACAACAATCTGGAAACCTCCTTGAACAGGGGTTGCAATACCAGTAAGGGGCCCCGTAACAGTCAGGAAAGCGAAATACATAGATGACGCGCCATCTGCCGCTACAAACTCGTAACCTGGAGTCAACAGAGTGATTGTGTCTCCCGAGTGAATGCAGCTGCTTTTTGCGTGAACCTCGAGAGCAGGAAAGGCTTTGACGGGCAGAGGCGCGTTCGTAGATGGACATTCGACTATAAATTGAGCGGCGAGAGAATAAACCTCATCAAAGTCGAGAGGGATATCGAATGGTTGAGCCGATGGTGATTCGTGGAGGGAGGAACGTAGATATGCTGAATGGCGTGATTCAACGGTAAGAATAGAGCCGGCAGCTGTAAGATAACCGGGATTGGCGATGGATGCTGCGGCACCTAGGTATGCTGACACGCCAACGCCTTCGAGGACTGCAGCGAGTGCGACGAAAGATGCGGCATTGTAAGAAGGAAATGCATAGGTGCATTCAGCAACTGCTTGCCCACCAAGAGCAGTCGAAAGGAATGAGACATGTGTGGTCTCATCAGCAGAGACTTCTTGGAGGTTTGCGTAGAAAGGGTCTGCGAACCCTGCATCGATGAAGTCTTGACGTGTATAGTTGGCCAGGCCTTCTCTATATAACTTATCTTCGAGATGTTCAAGAGTGAGGGCATATTGAAGAATATCGACTAGATGGTTCCAGATTAGCAGTTGTAATTCAGTTGTGTTATCTTGGGAGAAGCATACTATCTGTGACGCTGTACACGTCCCGTTTTGTGACGACTGGGCTGGCGGACACCATTAAAATTGCTGTAAAGGCAGCTAAAGTAATCGAGCACTTCATTGTGACTGACAAAAGATTAAGAAGAAGCGGATGTACAGATATTGGCGGTGTTAGAAAGTATGGACTTTTGATTTTAGAAAGTAATAGGAGCAATGTAGTATTTATAATATCAAATGTCTAGCGTACAAACAGAATGAGATACACTGCGAGCGGTCTCGTCCTAACTTCATTATGGATTACTGATACATGTGATATTTGATAAATCCGTTTTTGGAAAACTTGAGGCTCAAAAAAGTAACAAGACGACCAGGAATGCGAAAATCTCATATGGCCGGATACAAAAAGCCCGAGACAACTTGAACATCAATGAAAGAAAATATACTCGGTCATACGTGAGCAGCCTTGCGGAAGCACAGCAGAGGGTAACTTGGTATCCGTGTGCTCGATATGCGGCATTGACCAATTGAAATCAGAATAGAGATGGCACAAAATATTTAAGCTTAATGCTTTTCGATCTCTCGGATAAAACCCGAAGAATGCCAAATTGCAAGCAAAAATTACATACATTCTAGCTTAGTTCTAGACTTCTAGATTGCACGCCTAGGAGAATGTTGTCACGGTCCTTGAACTATGAAGCTTAGAGATCCTCAAAATTTCGCGACCAAGCTGACCTTGATTGAGAATAGGAGCGCAAATACAGCCGAGGTTAAACTCAACATACGCCGCAGATTAGATGGTAAATGATGACAGCGTCGTCTTACCTGCATCCCACAGCTCCTAGAATCAGGGACATGCTCGCGAACTTTCCTAGTACCGGTATGTATTTGATGCGATCACGGCGTGAGGCAACTTTGCACAGCTTGTGAAGTAGTATATCATCGCTGTTGAAGGTCCAGGCTCATGATGCGATTGATCGTAGGCAAACCCTTCTACTTCGCCGAAGGACTCCAATCCATTAGCTTGAAGTTTAAGCTGTATATAAAGGGCAGTTATTCCATCCCCATCGAAACCGCACTGTCATTATCTCACCGAAGTTAAGGATTGCAATTAAGCGTTCGTTGTAGCAATATCAATTTGTACATATTGTTGATTTGTTAAGTGTTTTGGTGTTTTGGTGTTCTTCTGTTCCTTATTAGATTTCTTACCTGAAAGACTGTGCCACAGCTAGAGAAGATTCGAGAGCTTTTCAATCGTGGCTTCCAAATCTTTTGACTCCTCTCATGGGTTGTTTGACAGGGTCCTGCGTCAGTGCAACCGTTATGACAGAACTTCCGGCAATTCAAGTAATGGCGGCGGCTGTTTGAGTGACAATTTCTTCGAATTCGCCGAATTATACACGGCAACCGCTACCCTCAATTAATCTGCAATGTAATCAGTAATCGGACCTTGATCAGCTGGGCATCGTACTGAATAGAATTGTTAGATCAAATGTACTACGAGCATGCGGGGAAGGGAGGTTAAATTTAGCCTATCGCTAAGTGTCAATCGTAACTGAGGCTGACCATTTCTTCAGCCTTTTTTCTTCGGTCAGCACTTGTATGAGTATGGCCTTAGGATGAGGATATATACACTATACCGGTCCAAAAAGTCTTCTGTGAAAAACGTCCATTGATTCAGCCCTACAATCGTGCCGATGTCCAGCAAATAGGATACTAGTCATGGATCCCAACTCCACGAAGGTGGCAACAACATGCAAGGCTGCCACAGTGGGCATGGGGCCTTGAATTGACGTTGACGCTATACAGTCAGTTATTCGACGAGTATCAGAGTCGCAATAGGATTTCACCACGTATTGAATGCCGTCTAGACTAGTTTTCAGTCGTATTTGGCAGAAAATTGCTTCGGGTACCGGTACTAGAATCTATTCCTTGTAAGTACAAGCCAGACATGTCGGCAGTGTTGAAAGCTCCACAACGCCCAATACAGCTTCACAGATAGATCTTGTTTTCAAAGCTCGAAAATGGTTTCGAGACCCCCCAATAATGTCACCACTTTCAATCAAAACAGACTCGGATCCTTCCACTTCTCATGCTTTCATTGACTATCCGAAGGGTGGCTTCTCAAAACATGCCAGTACACTTGTTGTTTGCCACTGCATCAGGAAATAGGAAGGCTGTGATATATTATGATGCCGGGGAGATGGGTTGTGCCTTGAGGCACTAGGAGCTGAGACTATCTTTCAGGCATCGAAACTTACTGTGTGGTTCAAGTCTTGTCTCTATTTAACACCTTGGGCTCATGTGTTTGCTTTCGCTCTTGTGGAAGAAGCCCACTATTATGAAGGTCATACTGGCAATGAGGATGGATGAACCTCTTTTTATCATTCTTTATGTCGCTCATAAAAGCTCATTGGTGGACTCGTGGTAATCGTCTGTGAACCCCACGGCGTGAATCAAGACTCACATATCCGGATTCATATATTAAGACTTGTCTTCCCTATGAGAGAGAATCGTATCCTCGAACATCACCCCAATACCTTCAACTACATCTAATTCGTTTCTCAATCAGCATAGCCCCAGCAGACTCAAGATTCCTCGGCCATTACTTGCTCTCGATATCATCAAGTCAAAGTGCTCCGGAGACTCTAACTTCTAAAAATCTCACGTTATAATTACAGAATACGTCAACGCAAACGTTAGAATCTTGACCATGTCTTTCCGCAGCTCTGAACGTCCGCAAGGCGGTCACAGCTCAAGTCCCAGGAGCTCCCTCTATCCAGAAACCCAAGTGAGTAGAGGATTTATATTCGTACTGTCCCCTTCTATGATCCTTATATTATTGACACATTCTTATAACTTCCTACATACCCCAGCAACCTACTTTTCAAGCCTCCACCGCAACTTCTCCAAACTACATGCTAACACGTGACAGCAAAACACCGCTCAGCTCATTGAATCACTCAACACCCATCGCGTAAACACCCTTACGGAACTATGCAGAATTGAAAGAATAGCTGCAACTTCCAACGAGGAAGAAATGCGCCTTTTTCAAGAGCCCATGACCGCAGCCTGGACCTACTACGTCACATCCAATAATCTCCTTAACGAACTCCGCAACCTGACTCGGAACTACGCGTTCAGCAGCGAGCTACTTGATGATTCTAAATGGAGAGTGAGTAGTGATCCGAACAGTAACCGGAGTTGGAATTATGCGTGGTTGATTTTGATCAAGATACAGGATGAGTAAGTCCCATGATACCGATTTGGGTCTTTTACTGCGAGAATGGATGAATGCTAATATTGACGTGATAGTGGGATGATCCAAACGTATGCAACGAGTGAAGCGATTAAGCCTGAAATGTGGGGAGGTCGATTGCCAGAAGCTGAAGAGGCGGTTCAACTCGCTGCTTGCTTTACGTATGAGTGGCAAGAAGCTCTTGGTCAAATGTTGAGACATTGGGATACTCCTCCAACGACTACTGGGTACTAGTTTTGGCTACTTGAGTATCTCCAGGGGGTTGTGGCCAAGTACCGCTGCCAAATTTGCCACTGAGCGGCAGTGTGGGATCATGGCAGACTGTGTTCTGCTTGTATCTCTGTCAAAATCTAACTTTCGATTTGCTTTCTTTATTCGTTGTTTCTTGACGCCTATTGTTACGACTAGTCACTTCCTTTGCAATTCATAGACAGGATAGATTATTAAATCGCAGGCGAAAGATACGGGCTTGTTTCATCTCTCATTTTATTGAGAAGAAGGAGTATGTATGACTAGATTCATGGCTTACGGGGCGGGCATGAAAAGTTCTGATAGAAGGGAAGGCGTATTTGTGGGCGAATTGCGAGGGATTGACAGTTCCTATTGCTTGCCCCTTTCTTCCATCACTCGTTATCTCCTGGTTTTCTCTATTTCCTATTCTGTCCGCGCATACTTAGATTTTTTATATATAAATAGACGCACTTTTTCAAACAAAAAAAGGATTATTAGGATCGAATAGATTGACATAAAGCTGTTATGTTTCTTACCTCCTTAAATCGTAGATATTCAAGGACTATTTGACTGCGCAATTATATCCGAGAAGATACCACACTGAAGTAATGAATAGAGGTGATACAAAAATTGTAAGATTATATTGTGCAGTATGACTATCGGTGCTATCAGTACTCAATCTATATACACTGTCCATACACCTCTCTAAACCTCTCAAAAAGTGAGAAACCTGCAACTCGTAATGACAGCATAACATATGGAGACCCACAACGCAAGCAAACACATTACTTACTCTACTTCAATAACTTGCTACAGGCTATCCTCGAATGAAAGTTTGCAGTGTATAAAGAACGGGGATACTAATCATGGTACCATTCGAGTCGTGCTGATTTGTTTCCACTCGAGCATCTATGGTATCTACCTCACGGGAGGGAGATGTACTGATAAGAGAGAAACCGCCGAGTTTAGTATAGCGTACATCAAGACAAAATACACGTTTGATTAATGCAGAATTGTGGCTGTAAGTCCTAAAAAGTGTGCATTGGTAGGAAAAGATGTAGCTGATTTCATTATTTTGGAAGTGGAATGCGTATGTTGAAAAATGATGTCTTGAGGTTCAAGTACATGTTTGGGTTGTGTAGGAAGAAAGAGTTTTTAGTTTATATGAAGGGTCGTCCGTCCGGTGTCAAGATTGGGCCATGAAATTCAGATTGAATAATTAAATGAATTTCTACCAATTATAAGTTCCTCTCCATGGTGAATGTGTTTACTGCAGGGTATCCATTTAGCCCTTAATGTGAATCATCTCACAATGAATCTGATCATTAATGAGTTTGTTGTTGTTCATTTAGTTTGCAAAGTACTGGCTAATGTTCTTCGAGATAATCATACTTATGTATTATACATCTAAAGTGCTCTTGCTCAGGTCTGACCTAACATCTAAGAGAGTTCCTAAATTCCTGTAAAAGAATGGGCTGGATGTGGTGTCCGTCATGGCCTTTGTTTACCATGAGATGGTGATTGATTTCTAATGTGTTTCCTTGGATAAGCTCATAATTAATCCATTTATTTTATCAACCTTGAGAAAGAGCATTGTGGATCTGGAAAGATGTTCAGCAGATTGGCAAGTCTTTGGTAGACAAAGAGTTTATGGGCATGAGTTTGGGAGGAAGGATGGTGAGAAGATCTACCTAGAGACTCACCTAAAGATGGTAATCTGTACACAGCAGTTATATACATACAAGGTGTACAATCTGTGGTGAGTGTAGAAGTATTGAAATGGAGTGACATATTATTGAGAGAACTATGATATCTCATCTGCCTAATCTGAAATAATCTTTCATCTCCCCTGTGTGCCTTTCTTGAAGCTTTGAATTGGTGTTTTTTGTGCAAGGCTGGAATCTGGATATAATCCACCTATTTCATGAACATAGCTAATACTAGAAGAGCATTTTATCTCAGTATTGTGAAATAGGGAACGGCTGTTGTATGGCTAGTTGTGAAGCTTTAGGATGGTCTGTCAGGCCTTCATAGGACTGCATGGATGTAGATAACTACTTGTTCTTCAGGATCGAAGCCATATAATCTGTATAGAGCTAAGTGGAAGAAGCTTATGGTATGTGCCTGGCTAAAATTACAATGAGATCCAGTCGAATTGGTATAGAATAACTGAGTTATATTATATGGCTGTGTTAAAAGATTTGGGTAGCCAAAGTTGGACACAATGAATAGACAGCTACTTGTTTCAAGGATCAGAATGTACATCGTCAATACAAGGTTAGATAATAGAAATTTGATGTATATATATGACTGCTGCTGCAATAGTATCCTGTCAAATTGTTGAAGAATAAGAGAGCCTAATCATATGACTGTGTTGGCAACTTTTGTGGCAGTTCTTCGGATTATGGTGGGATGGTATAGATATAGATGGCGAGCTGTCCTTGAGACTGAGAGTATGTCCTTGCATTTGAATAGAATAAGAAGTACTAATGCTATACTTAATCCTTGAAATCTGAGAGTATCTTCTTTCATTATGAGGAGAGGTATAGGGAGCCAGCATTCACCAATACTCAAAACTATAATCATATCTAGCCGGACTTTGATTGATGCTGTAGATTTGTTGTTTGACTACATTGATAGATTTGAGAGCTTTGTTTGAGTTGTAGTGAGATGGCATGAAACCAAATACACTGGTATTTGGAGCTCTGACTATCTCCTCTTATTAGTAGGTAAGGCAGCATGAGAACGTTCTGTGCTTGTACTTACAGCTTCCTGTATCTCATCGAATACCAACTGAAGATATATAGTCATTGTACACTTAGATTGATAGCTTTGATATTCCTTTCAAAAGGTCATTGTTGTCCCTTCTCAGTGGTCTGAATTTCATCTCATCAGCAAGAGAAACTTCACTCAAAGTGCCTTTCATCCATGAAATATGCCCTCACTCAATTTCAGATTCACAGAACTGTTTATAAATGATGAATTTATATATTATGGTCCTCCAATGAGATTGGCATTCACTTTCCCATAATTGATGCCTCGATGCCTCAGCAACATCCTCGATCAACGACAGTGAGGATCAGAGAAGTAAAATCCCACTAGTTAATCGATAAAGTAAATCTTACTTTTAAAAACTTCTTCTTCAACTTTATTTCTTCAAATCTTCTTTACAAAAACAACCACCACCCAAGATGTTTCCCATCATGGTCTCCCCCCTCATTTTGGCTCCGAAGCCAATCAAAGAGAATAAACTTGCACGAGCATGGAGAAGACTCTCAAGTGAATCTTCAGCTACCAAGTCAAAGTTGGTTAGCGAGAAAGATTCAAATTTGATGAATTTAAGACGCACTTCAACAATCAACTTTGGTGGAAAGAAATCCTCCCTCGAACAACACCAAAGACACGCCAGTGTACAGATGGAACCAGCTGCCAAGAAAATGGAGCCTGTTGGAGAGGAAGGCGTCGGTGAACTTGGTGGTTTTGGAGGACTTGGGATCAACTTCTATGATCACCTTGGTAACAGACTTTCGCCACAGGCAATGATGTCGCCAATGTTGCCGCCTCGAGTACCAGGTACTCAATCTCCTCGAGTACCTGGTACTCAGAAGCCTACATCGCCGCTTCCAAAGGGTACGTATCCTCCTCACCACCTCGTACAGCAGTTTTACTTCCTCGTTCCACTGCAAAAGGCTTTCTTGATAGGCAATTACTGACTTCCCGATCTTACAGATCCACCTATCACCGCACGAAAACCTTTGGTAATTCGTGAATCCTTTACCCGAAACTTCACCTTTCCTGGAACTCCAGAACCCGTCGTCGATAGCGAAGAATTTCTCCGCGACCTTCTTGAGAAAACTCTTCGTGATCAATCGGACGCTCTTTGCCCAAGCCCCGCGAGTAGTAGAAAGACCTCTGCTCGCGTCAACACACCAAAGAGCAACCGCCAAGTGTCTGCTACCAAGCCAATTGTGACTTCTGACGCTTTTGGATTCAGAAACTATACTGCACCGCTGAATCTACCCACCTCACCTGCGGTAACAGCATATACACCAACTCGAGGCCCAAAATCGGGTATTACGGCAGCAGCACATGCTCGAATTTTGACTCTGCGGACACCAAATAACACGGAATCAGAGGGTGCTGATTATTTCACCAAACGTAAAACCAGCGAAGAAAATAGCGGTTTTACTCCCGAGGCACCAAAAGACACCTCATACCCACTAAACTCCAACGCTAATTCTAAAATTTACCGAATTCCATCTTCCCCTACAATCGCCAAGCGCTCTTCCCGATCTAAGCCACAACCACAACGTGGTGAACTCTACTTCTTCGAACACGAGCGACAAAAGATTGAACAACTCGTTGCACAGAGCAAAAACAGAAATTGCGCAAAGCATAAGAACTGTACCGACTGTATTGAAAAGGAATACGCATACTACGAAAATAAAATCATGTCTACTTCGATGCCCCCAGAACGTCGCCAACAGATCATGAAGGCTAATAGATCTATTCGCAATATCAAGAATGTAAGGAGAACTCTTTAACTTGGTCTCAACTCAATACTAATAATTCGTAGGAACTGGAAAACCTTCTCGAAGATGAACTCATCACATACGAAGCGTATGAGCTTATGATTAGCAGACTGCCTACCGAAAACAGCTTGAACACGACAACTCCTTCTGCCCTTCGTGCCAATGTTGTCTCCCCAGCACCAGCACCAGGACCAGTCGCTCCAGTTGCGGCATTCTCACAATTGAATGTCAACAACGATAATCCTCCGCCCTCATACCAATCTACTCCCAACCTTCCTCCTCGCGGACCAACTCAACTACCTGCTCGACCAGAGATCGGACGCGCTACTGCTCTTTACCGTTACACTGAGTCTGAAGATTGTAACTTTGAAGTTGGCGACATCGTTATCATCTTTGAATATATGAATGACGATTGGTGGATGGGCAAGAATGAAAAGACTGGCAAAGAGGGTGTATTCCCAGCAAACTATGTTCAGAAGCACACCAGCCAATTTGCGCCTCAGCCTGCCAACTATGGTAACGAGAAGGCAACTTACTCCCCATACGGTTCCCAACAACAAGGACCTCCTCCACCTGGACCCAGCAATCCTTACAACAGCTCTGTTCCTCCAATGGCCGTCGCAGAACAACCTACTGACGACAAGGCCGGCAAGGTAGGAGGAATGGGAAAGAACATTGGCAAGAAATTGGGTAACGCTGCTATCTTCGGTGCTGGAGCAACAATTGGTGGTAACATCGTCAACTCGATCTTCTAAAACCTCAACATCACAACACTCTGGTTACACTTTCTCTTGAATTCATGTTCTTTGGCGTCAATTGGTACTCATCGATGATAATCTTTTGAGTTCTTTACAGCTGGCTTTACTTTGAAGGAAATAATTTTTTCGACTTGGTAATTTTCTTTACATACTGTAGTCCATGATTACAGTGTTCGCTCTGCTCGGATTTCATATGCTAGGAGTTCTGGCATGAATAGAAATCATTTTCTGTATTGGCGGTTTCTGCACGACGACATATGGGTTGAGATTGTATTTGGGATTCACATGCAGATTACTCCGCGTTTGTACCTAGGAATACCTAATCTCCAATGAATACTGAATAAATAATAACTTTCTTATTACTGATAAGTGTACTCTTTTATACTCTTTCAATGTGTTCGCATCTTCTATTTCTCTCTTTCTGAGTGTAAGGTGAGCCACATCACGTGTAGATAGCAGATAGTTATCGGCATTAAAAAGTCGGCGTTTTGAGTTATCGACGTCACTGTCGCGATTGCCCCGCATTTAGATAGCCAAACGCCTTTATATAGCAAGCAATCTTCCATCCATCACCACCTCATCTCCTTCCCTCTCACACCCAACAACGATTGTCAGAGGTATTAACACTATACAACCTCAAATTCCTCAAATTCATTCACAATGGAAGCTCAACATGGTCACAGTGTAGCTTGTTGCAATATCCCACCCATCGTATCCAAGGGATATGAACACAAAGGAAAGTATGAGACCATCGGTGGTCTGAAAACCTGTAGGTATTCCAATTCAGTGTATCCTTGGAACAGTGACTACTCTAGCATTGAACATACTTGCTAGCGACTTTTTTCCCCCAATCTTTTCTCTCCCTTTGCCAACTCCAGCTAACCCCCCCTCTAGATGTCACCGGCCCCGCAGACGCAACAAAGGCCATCTTTCTTATCTATGACATATTTGGATACTATCCTCAAACTCTCCAAGGCGCCGATATCCTCGCCAATTCCGACGAACATAACAAGTACCTTGTCTTTATACCCGACTTTTTCGAGGGAAAGCCGGCTGATATTAGCTGGTATCCTCCTGACAATGAGGAGAAACAAAAGCAATTGGGTAATTTCTTTCAGACGACGGGATTGCCGTCGAAGGCTGCGGATAGAGTCCCGGATTTGGTGAAGGCGATTGGGGATAAGTATACGGCGACTGAGAAGTGGGGTGTACTTGGGGTAAGTTTTTCCTTGATAAAGGAGGGGGGCATTGCATGGGATTGGAATTTTCATAATGGCTGCGGATTAAAGGTTCATGGCTAACATGTGCGTTGAACAGTTCTGCTGGGGCGGTAAAATCGTCTCCCTCACGTCCAGTGCTTCCTCAAACCCTTTCGTCGTAGCTGCTGAATGTCACCCCGCAATGGTTGATCCAAAAGATGCGGCGAAGATCAAGATTCCACTTATTATGCTAGCATCGAAAGATGAGGATGCTGAGGGAGTGAAGAAGTTCGAGGCGAATCTTACGGGGGAGAAGTACGTTGAGACTTTCAAGGATCAAATTCATGGGTATGTTATTTCTTTTTGCTATTTGTGGATTTTCAAGGTGCTGATATTATTGGAAATAGGTTTATGGCTGCACGATCAGACCTAGAGAATGAGAGGGTCAAGAGCGAGTATGAGAGGGGTTATAAGACAGTCATTGAGTTTTTCGGGAAGCATTTGAAGTAGGAGCTTTATTTTTGTCTTTTTGAATGGGTGGTCGTGTCAAGAAAGTTCGCTGAGGTGTTTAGGGTCAGCAATAGTGGCGGAGCAAGACTTTGATAGGCGTCCGGTGGTCATTCCTTTCATAATGCACTTATCTGTTTGCAACTTACGGGAATCATGGCATACCTCGTATGTCTAGAAGCTCATATTTCGCACCAGAATAATTGTGAATGCTGAGCTTATATGAGTTTTGGATCATTGTATCCTTTTGCGAAATTTGGCTACCTGTACTCCGCTGGCTTTGTATGCACTGATCCTATGAAGATATTTGAGTCCATCTCATGCCATTGAAACGAATCATAACACTTCCCTTTTGAGCCAATTCTCAATCCAAGTACTCCCCCATATCCCACCCCATTAAACTCTTCCTCTCCTCATCCCTTATCCCTTATCCCACTCCCAAACCCCCCCTCACTTTCCTATCCCCTCCTCTTCATTCTCTCCCCAAATCCCCCTCCTAAGCAACAACACTCGGCTCATAAAACACACAACACATCCCCTCAATCCCCAACGTCTTGGCTTCATCCTTGAGTTTCTGATGCGCTTCACAGCTTTCTTCGTAATATTTCATATCCTCCATATTGCGAAATTCGGTTTTGGCGACGATCGAATAGCCTTGGGTGCGGGGGTCGTTGGGCTGCGTTTCGCCGGCTTGGAGACTGAGGATGTAGGGGTGGGAGTTCTGGGGTTGGGGTTAGTGTTAAGGGGAGGGGAGAAGGGAGGGAAGAGGAAGAGGAGGGGGAAGGGAAAGTATACCTTAACGGCGGTTTTGGATAAAGTTTCGTAATTTTTGAGCATAGTGTCGCGGGAAGCTTGGGTGGGCACTTTGAACATTGTTATGCGGATTATGTTGGCCATTATGTCGTTAATGTGGATCGGGGTTGAGGGGTTTGAGGTTTAAGATCTGTTACTTAGATGGTGGATAGAGGATAGAGGATAGAGGACCAGAGCTAATTTTGGCTTTAGTTGAGGAATTGTCAATAGAGGTGATGAAATGAGATGGAGGGGTCGGGAATTGTGAGTTATTTATACGACTATACCGGTAATGGCTTGGTATGATTTTGGTAGAGTGGTTGGTTAGTTACGGCTTTGGGTGATGAATATAAAGTTTGGATTGGATTGGATTATCGTGGTCTAGGTACTGTGCAACTTCGAGGGTTACAAGTATCAGGGTGGATCTGAGTGGTTGGTGGGGCAGTGGTGGGGTCTACCCGGTAAGTGGTCCCTGTTGAGAGAGAGGGGTTTGTGGAGACGGAAATGTTTCCGCCGCTAAGAGATGGGAATGGGTGAGAGAGAATATGGACATGGTCTTTAATCGTGGTTGGTGTTTTCTCGTCTCGACGTATCTCGGGATAAGCTTTAATCTGTTTCCTGCTAACAATCGCAGGGCTTTCAAGGGCGAGCTTAAACGTGTCAGCGGCAGCTTAGTGGATAATTGGACGCATTGCGTTAATGCTACATACACCCATGCGATAACTGCATCGAATGAAATAACAGGACTATCGTCAGTCCCCTGTTATCCAACCAACAGTTTGGTATTTTGCAGGGAAATTACATAGAGAGGTCATCTATTCGTTGGACAAATGCATATTATATGCAAGTTGCCGACAAGCAGGCTATCTACAGGGCTTTTAGGTAGGATTATCTACCAATCAGTAAACTTCAGGGCTTCACCGAAGGATTGCTTTATCTGCCAATAGAAGGCGTTGCGGCGTGCAACCCTGGCCTCATCAGACACATAATCGAAGCGATACCCCGCGATGAGGTACTGTATGAAAGCTGCTGCAGATTCGTTTCAATTGTTGAGGCTTTCATTTCGTCAACATCACTGCCTACAACCTAGTAGTTTACCAAGACTTGCCAGTTTCCTTCGAAAACCGCATCTCAGCGGCGATCAACAATCATAATGGATGATGCTCTTGACGCAATTTGAGCCTTGTATGACACAGGCAAATATACCGATATGAAAATACGTTGCGAGGATAGTGTGTTCGATGTTCATCGTGCGGTGGTGTGTATGCGATCACCAGTGATTGCTCGAGCTATGGATGATGATCGCTGGGTAGGTGAGTCCAAAACCAAGGATAATGTGCATGTTCTCATGAATCATTAGGAAGAAGCTGCAAAGGGAGAATATCACATGAGAGAAGATGAGCTGCCAATTGTGGAGGCGATGATTTATTATTTGTATCATGGGACCTATGATGATCAAAAGGCTTCGGAGCCCGAAATTCCTGATGATGCTTCGCAGCTTGGGATTGAACATGAAATTGCTGAATTGCCGCCCAATTCACCTTCACCTTCACCTCCACCTTCACCAGAACCAGATATCGACGAATGGGGCGAAGTGATTCAACGCCCAGAGACACCACCAGGTGATAGCATTCACGACGACAATCCAATCTCCGCTCCATCAACGTTACTCTTCAACGCCAAGGTCTACATCATCGCCGATAAATACATGATCCCGGGTCTCAAACCTTTAGCAAATCAGAAGTTTGTCAGAAGTGCAGAAAAGAATTGGAATACTCCCGAGTTTCCTGCTGCTGTAGAGTTGCTTTGGGAAAATATTCCTGAGTCTGATTTGCTGCTTAGAGATTCGGTGATAGCGGCTACTGCGCCGCATCTTGACCCATTACTCGATAGGGGAGAATTCGTGGAATTTATGACCACGCATGGTGATTTTGCAGTCGGGGTCATGAAGAGAAGAAGAGACAATTTGCTTATAGCTACATCGAAATCTGACCAGGACAATTTCGGTTGGGGTCGTGGATAAAAGGGAAAGAAAGGTAGCAGATATTACTGAGTAATAGAACTCCTGGTTCTATGACGTTCTAGTCACGGTTTTATTCCTTTGGGTCCAGTGATAGTCACTTATTTGTATGCTTGGAATCTTTACATGGTAATGGTTTTCCAAAAACCTGAATGAGAATTATACAAACTGATATTAGTCAAATCTAAGCAGATGTTATCTCAAAACATTGATATATTAGGCTTTTAATCAAACTTATGACTCAATTAAAAACAAACACGTGGTTTAGGCACCGATGTGTTTTATAATCTTCTAAATTTCATTTTATCGATATCTTGATATGCAACCACTTATTCATCGGATGTTCATCAAATTTTGTCGAAAGTTCAACGATGGAGAATACAGGTGATTTGATGGATATACCAGAGTCTACCACAATACCGAATGAAGGAGACGAGTTGGTGGATATTGCTGAAGATTACGCATTTTCTCGTTCGGCCAGCGCAGAGTCACGACATAGGATAGAGGAGGAACATCATCAAGCTCTTGAACAAGATCCTGAAGAGATGTATGGGAGTTTGAATAATCGAGAAGAGCTTCTCGATGCTGTTGATGATCGCAATTCCGAAGATATAGATAGTCTTTCTACCCTGGATTTGGATCAAATTGAAAGGAGGTCATCACCATCGATATTTGAGGACGAAGAGGATGAAACAGATAAGAATTCGACCCGTGTGGATGACTGGTACGAGCGTGCAAGAGACCGAGGTCGCGATTATGATGCATCTGTCGTGGCTTGCAGGTATTGCTTGTTATGCAAGGCTCAATTTCCTCAATCTTATAGTGAATTCGAATACCCAATTCGAAGTGTTTGGCGATGGCGAGCAAAACGTGAAACACAACCGTGGCAGTGGAAATTCCGTGCTGGTATGTATGCATATTGATTCTAGAATATATCTTGAATTCAGGATCGTCTACTGATTGCAATCGTAGTCTTAAAATTTAATAATATGGATGGAGAAAGCATAGAGATCACAGAACCAAACGATGTTCCAAACTTAAGGGGGAATTTTAAGTACGTTACATCTTTAGTTGGACATTCTGTGCAAAACAACATCGAAATAACCCAAGGTCGACCCGGCGACAAAGATTCTGATTTGATATCTGACGGATTATGTTTTCACGACTGGTGTTATTCAATCCTACGTTGGAGAATGGGTGCTATCAGCAACGCCACTTTGTATCGAATTTGTAAGAGTTTCGCGATTTCTCCAGTGTGGGCGAACATCGTTGAATCTGAGGATCGCTTGTACAGTCAAACTACCAATGATAGCCTGATATCTGACTTGGGCGAGCCGAGTTAAAAACTTCAGCCATTTTTCTTATCGAAATTGCCCTTTGAATTACGCTCACAAGTTTGGGGATATGTTGGGCCAACCTCTGCTTATAGTTCCTTTATGGCTGTGGCGGGTGAGATATCACGCTTAGCTCACCAAGTTCACTGTCCAACGACATCGTTTTCAACACTCTATCTTCAATCACAACTTACTGTGAGAATGACCACGATTTTCGGTACAGACTATATCCAGAGCCTTCATGCAGACCCCGTTGCAATTGCAATTCCAACTGCAGATCAAGCTTTTGCCTGTAATTATAGATTAGCTATTGGTGTTCACGGTATCTGCGCAATAAAGATCATCGGCCGAGATGGATATTCTGTCTGGTTTGGTAAAGTTCCTACGTCGGGTCCTGTCTGGTACGTTGACGGCCATAATGATGTTTGTTGATGACTGCAAGCTCGAATACACATTTAATGTAAGTTTTATTACCTTCTCAAAATGGAGCCATTACTTACGAGTATTTCTATCCTATCAGGGGTTAAATTTAGACGTGTATAAAAATACCTCATTGAGATCAATATGGGATAGAGCAAGCGATCCAGAAGAGTTGGAACGGAAACGCTCTCATGCTTTGAGTGGCAATCGGTATAGATACATTCCATTCTCAACCTCCACAGAATATGCTCAAGGATTAACTATTCATTTCGAGGATGAACACATGACCGGTTTGGAAGCTCATTATCAGACACAGACCATGAGCATAGGAAGGCACAGTGGAGTGGCCCAACATTTTCCTCTTGCAGTTGATGAACGTATAGCAGATGCACGGACTCGGGTCCTTCGACATACACATGATTCAGACGATTTTCCTTACATAAGTCCTACACTCGTGGTCAGCCCCCTGGGCAGTCTATGGTATTCGTCAATTGCTAACTTGTGGTAGTTGCGAACGACGAATGGAAGGATGTACCATTTCGGTCCATATATATATCCTGAGCGACCTGAGTGTTACAATTGGCTTCGCCACGAATCTTCTGGGCACATAAGAGGGCTCCATGTTGCTAATTTTCACGATTTCATATCACATCTGGCCTACTTCACGCATGTGGAGGAGGAAATATCGACAGAGCTGCTACTCGAGAATGAAAGGTGCATAAAGAAGCCGCCATACATCGACTTTGACGGTAGACATCAAGATATATATCTGACAAATGCGACATTTGAGGGCACAAAAACAGTAGTCATGTGCAGAGTTAATGAAAGCCGCTGCGTGGGAGTTCTCATACAATACTGGGATGGCCCGCCCATCGTTCTGGGCCAATGGTATGGACCTGGTGTTTCTACTACGCATGAGCGCATATATCATGAGGATCAAACCCCACCTTCATTCGTAACTTTCACGTTGGGGTACCACTCGGACGACATTTCTCGTGCTTCAAGTATCGTTAAAGACATTGTTTTTGATTCAATGGACAACCCATATTATTTTCCATCTTGTAGCGATATTATCCAGACGCTCAAGCTTGATGAGGTAATACTTTCCGTTCCCCCTGACCTTTTAAATGGCTCGGTAGCTAATCTTGCCTCTAGCGCATAGCTTGGTGGTTCACACACACAAACGACGAAGTCGAACGCTGGCAGTCGAGATAATTATCTCCAGGGCAATGTTCCTAGCGTGACAAAACTTTTACTATGTGTATCGTAACCATACTTTAGATCAAACTTAAATTCATTCTTCGAAAAAAGAATACAGATACCAATAATCAGAGTTCCCGAAATACGTGTAAAATTCCTAAACTGTCATATATGCATACTGCTAAGTTGTGGCTCATCTCATCGGAAAATAATACTTTGTGTCGTCACTTGGATATCCTTTTTGTAGTCACGGTGTGATATAATTGAACCTTCATTTCTTGGTCTCGGGAGTTGGGCAATTGTGCTTAGATTTTTAGATTTTACACAACACCGTATACTTTCCGAAATGCTAGGTAACAAGCATATGTCGGCCGCCAATCATCACGTCTGTAGTTAAGCATCGCTGTGTTTTGGTCTGACTTTCACTATGATATCTTCAAAGATAGACGGTTGGATTGGATGTTTGGCTAAGGTCTGATGGTGTCATGTTGCAATGGATTTGAGCCAAGCAACTCCCCGTTGTTCGAGTTGTTTTTTGCATGAACTGATAGTTGGAAGAAGTATACTAGGATTGTAGATACCTCCTTTTAATCACATGACCGTGACTACTAAAAATATCCCGGCCGCAATGCGATGCCGGAACATATAAACATATACCGGTATGTAAGAGAACCGTAGACAGCGAGCTGATTTAAGTACTTGGCACTGGCATTTTGTGTAACTTAAGAAAATAAAATTTAGTTAGGCTGGCTGCCATTTATAGTAGCAAAGGTTCTCTTAAATGGCGCTAATGCGGGGGATGAGATAACCGCGCGCCAACCATCACCCCCTTCGAAAACAATCAATATCAATCGCACGACATCTTTCTCATTAAAATCCATCATAGCATCAACATTAAAGCATACAGATAATTATATGGATATACCTGAACCTAAAACGATGTCGAACGAGGAAACTGAAGCCTTAGAGATTGTCGAAAATCTTGCGACGGAACAAGAGAATACTGATCTTGCGTTTGAGAATCCGATTGCGCAAAATTTAATCGTAGTGGCCGAGGAATTGCGCGATGATAGTGATATTGCGGTTTCTCCCTCTGTTCCATCGCACGATGATATTACTGTCGTTGCTGAGAGTACGGTGGTTGAAATTGAAGACGATTCTGAGGACTCAGACAGAGAACATGAAGAAAGCGACAGTGAAGAGGCAGAGGAAGATGATGAAGTCATTGTACCACTGGCTTCTGCCAAGGCCAGTGAATACTGTTTCCTATGTCGATCTCGATTTTTCCCCTTCTATTTCATAAATGAACCAAATTCTCCACGATACCAAGATTGGCTTTCTGAAAATCCAGAGGAGAAATGGCAATCGGAAATCCGTGCAGGTGCGTTTCTGTATAAAAGGCATCACACAAATACTGAATCACGTGTAGTTTTGCGCTTACCTGTGCCTCACGGCGAGGACCCCGTCATGACAGACGCCGTCGTGCTCGACACTCTCGCAGTCAACGTATCTTTGGTTGGCCGGCCGAAATCTGGCAAAGTTGTTCTAAATTCACGTCCAGACCTAGATTTTCATATAGACACTGTTGCGTATTGTTTCCACGACTGGTGTTATTCGATTTTTGATTGTAAATCGAACCAAAACAGTGCAGAGGTTCTGTATGAAATGGCCACAAATTTCAAGGTTTCGACAGCTTGGGAAAATCCCGCAGAATCGAATGGCTCGCTTTACCCAGAGTTTGACTGCGACATTTTACTTTCGACCCTCGAGGATGCTTCCGCGAGATTCCAGCCGTTCTTCCTTTCCAAACTTCCTCTCGAAATACGATCTCGAATCTGGAGTTATGTAGGATTTAGGTCAGCTTATTCCGCATTTATGTTAGTGACCGGAGAGACGAGTCGTTTGGCACAGCAGGTTTCACGACCAAATATACGAGAGCTTATTGTTAAACCAAACTGTTATATTGGGGTAAGCTCTATTAATATTTACGGTACAACATACATCCGAGATTTTGGAAGACATGTGACGTCTGGCACTAGAATCAAGATCTCGAAAACAGTAACCGAAATCGAAGTTGTTTCTAGCGTGCACGGCATTTGCTCCATCAGATTCTCAGGCTGCGATTGGGCGTCTAGATGGCTTGGAAGAAGCCCTAAAAAGGGTCGTATTTGGTATGGGACAATCCAGCTCACCAGTAATGTCCTGATCGGCTTTCACAATGTAAGATATCCCGATTGCTTTTTTCGGTATAAATACTGAAAGTTCAGGGCCTATGTATAGAAAATTTGACAGATGCATATAAATCAGACAGGATACAGGTAATGTGGGATCAGCCACATCACCCTCCGGTGACATTTGATGCTGATGCCGCAATGTTCTCGCTATTTGAGCCTGAGCAATTATATCAACAGCGGCTGCCAGATTTGGCATTTTTTAGATTTGTTTCATTGATTGACCATGGAGAATATATCTCCGGTCTTACAATGTATTTTCTATCTAGATGTATAGTGGGTATTGAAACGCATTTCTCGACAAGGTCACATTTTGTAGGCAGCCGTGGTGCAGTTGCTGTGCACGTGTCACTAGCCTCAGGTGAACTTATTGGCGATGTTTGGTTAAGATTGAACTCGGACTGTCCCTTTGAGTCTGTGCCCTCCGTATTGGTTCGTAGATTCCCAAATTTTGCCGAAGATTACTTATCATCTCTAGATACAAACAACATCAGGACGGGAATTTACTTTTGGTCCATATGTAGGCCCAGTCCAGTATAAAAATTACAGTTGGGTTCTCTTAACACATACCGGCTGCGTAAGTGGGTTCTATTTCGAGAATGCGCCCCAGATCAGGAGGATAGGTATTGTCAGTGACGGCAAGGACGCGCCAAATGCCGAAACTCGACTTCCTCGATATGAAACCTGCAAGCCAATGCCGCCTTATCTAGGAAACCCCCAATTCGTGAATGATGCAATAATACACGATTTGGAAGCAGTAACTATGTGTCGGGTTGGAACGCGTTGCGTAGGTATTCTTATAAGATATCTGGATGCAGATTTACCTCCAGCAATCTTAGGACAGTGGTATGGCCCAGAATATTCAGAACACACGTGCATATATAACTGCACGAAAATGTCATCATCCGTCATTGCTTTCAAAACATCGAAATTCAGCTTGGTTGTACGAGATATTTTTTTCTCTAACCATGATACTACGGAGCTCGAAGCAGATTCAAGTGTGGATATCGAACTTCAAGTATATGACATGGGAACTGTAAGTTCATCATCCGGTACTAATAAATATTATTTTACTCACAAATATCGCAGCGTATTGCGTGGTGGTTCACAGGGAGACATGACTCAATCAACACATGGGAGGACAGGTTGGATCCGCCGTCGTCCGGTATTCCGTCATGGCGCACGTTGGTGCAGGACCTCTATTAAATTTCAAATGACAATAGTACAAAACCCAAATCCCAATTCTTCAAAAAGCAAAACTAAAATCAATAACATTCAAATCAATTACAGTCCCAACCATGACCCCCCAAAATAAATTGATACTGAAATTAACACTCTTTCGAACAGGCTCAAATGCTCGTGTCATCTCTACCGGCTATATAATAGTACCTCTGGCCAGAACGTGATCCGTACAACCTTACAGATTTGCCATCAATTCTGCTTTGCTTCCAGGCGTCGCGATCTGTCTGGAGCCTACGAGACCCATCGTGAAAGTAAACTTCTGCTTTACCAACTTCGACCAAAACATGGATTGGTGCACGATGAAATGAGTCATTCTCGTATCTTGGCTCTTGCCGAGGAGCTGGCGACGCAGAACGAGCACTTTCATGATGTCGTCTTCGGCTGGAGCTGGAGCTTGAGCTCGGAGCGCCGTATGTCTGGTCTGGTTGCTGCGATGGAATATTCTCATATCTTCGCTCTGGTCGAGGCGGTGGCATTCCGGAATGCGCTCTTCCTTGATCTTGTGCTCGGCTGGAGCTGGAACTCAGAGTACTAGACCTGTGGTCCGATGGTCTGGGAGGTCTCAAATTGCTTTCATCCCGATAATCACTTTGCCCAGATCTCGTTGGAGCTCTAGAAGAAGCTGGTTGGATTGGCTGTGGAGTGTACTCATCGGGATGATGATTAGTGGAAGAAGACCTTGGGGCGCTTGACATCCTGTGCATTCCTGGTGCATCTAGTCGATCATAAGTGGTTGGTCTGCCCCGATTGGAGCTCGGTGCAGCGGTTGATCTGGATGGGTGTTGAGAGGGTTGTGGGTACAGTGCGTTCCTTGGCGTATCTCTCTGCCTGCGACTCGGGGTGTCCGTTGAAGCTGTGTGAGAAGAGCTTCCCCCAGTTTGATTTCGACTAGGATTCGTTCCAGAGTTTACCCCGAAAGATGCCATATCTTCTATCAATTCGCTGACTTTGCGTGATTCGGATGTAAGGCAGCCAGGATTCCCATATAGGCTTCCAATGTACTTCTTTGAAATGTTCTCGCCCCAGTATTCAGCGTCGGTAGTCATCTCCTGCGGTGGATTATTTTTGATCATTGTAAAGCTCTGCTGGAAATAGTTGTTGTTTCTATCCAGCCCGACGTCTCGGTATTTGCTCCAATTGGCGTCTGGCCTGAGTAATGGTTGCCCTGTTGCGACCTCGGCCCAATAACCTCGATATTCTCCGGGCTCTTTTTCTCTCTCTGCGTCAAATCTGTCGTCCCTTTCGCACCTCCATAACCGCATGTGGGCTCCTACCATTGTAGCAGCGAAGATGTGTTGTACTTCTCTACCTTCACTAGATTGAAAATAAATCTGACAATATCGATAGGCTTGCCACTCCAGTTTCAGTAAATGAGAACCTGTACTCCGCATAGTCCTCTTGCACTCTCCGATCATCAGAAGTTTTTGCCTTGATAGTATTTTTGCGTTGAAATTTCCACCTTGACCGTATCTAACAACGATGTCGGCTTGCTCCCCCTTTGCATAATCCACGTAATACTCGGAAGTGGATGTGTAATTACTATCCAGACCGGTGAAACAATTGCTGTTGATGAGGCAAGTCATTAGGGCAGTCGTTTCGTGTTCCTTTGGGTTTCTCTCCAGCTCTTTCTGGACGGTGATGTGTGCCCGCTCATAAAGTTCATGCGCTTTCCCGTCAAGGATGAGGCCATGCTTCCGAAAGTAAATGCCGCTCTGCATGATATATAAGTGTACGACGTATAAAAATGATAAGTGCCTAAGGATAATGGATGGTGAGGGAACTGATGCCAAAGCTGCTAATGACCAGCCTCAACTAAACCTTCATTCCTTTATACATATACAGTCTATCTTCCCCTGCCTCCCCTTTCTTTCCTGAACCATACTCCCGGTACGAAAGCCTCTATAAAAGTAGCATCGCTGTAATAAAACTTCTGGTAGAGCCCGATTTGAGTGGCTTTCGAGCAACCCTCAGGAAGCCAGGCGCCATGGAAGTCGAGGCCTCGTTTCACTCATTTCCATCTCGCGCATGGCGCCTCTCTTCAAGGTCCTTATATCCACACATACTTCACAAGCGCCATTTTTCCAACAGTCTGATCAAAATCTGAGATAAATATGTGGCTGCGACAGTATATGTCGTGCCATGGCCTTTCATGCAGCCTACCACCTCTCTTCGTCACTTAACGCGGAAATAGGCACCGGCTGCACGATTGACTTGGTTGTCTGGTCTTCGACTTACGGTACCAAACTCCCGGAATTTTAGAAAGAGTACTTTGATGCTTGAGAGCCAATGATATTTAGCCGCCCACTTTGAAACCGCGGAGTGAGGGCTAAATTTATAGGGGAAGCTCGCTAAAGCAGGTGAGAACGTTAATCACGCGCTGTTATACAAGCTGACGCATGTGATTGCGGCGATGATTCTTTGACTTCATTGATCGATCCCTAGACAACTCGGGATAAATTTATTGGGATCACTGCAAGGATGGATCCCACATGCTTATGTAAGCTCGCATAAAACCATCTGCTTCTTACAGTAACACGAAATCATTTACAAACGAAACATCACACCTTAAAGACATCTCCTTTTCGATATGAAAACTTTCAAGAATCAATTTGTTTCAATCTTGTCAATTGTTTTCAAATCTTGTATTTTTGAGTCAATTTAAATTAATCGTAGCGCTGGATCTAAGAGGCAGCACTCGAACTGGTCACATTCAATTATTACACACCGGATCTTTGCCAGAAACGCCCCTTTCTACGATTCTACACAAATCACATTGTTGAACGAATTAAATTATTAACTATGACCGATCACGACGAAAACGTTGTGGAAGTATTGGAACACCAAGATGTTCATCTCCTCGTGCCTGAAGACGATCACAACCAGGAAGATGTTGAACCTATCGCTTTTTTCGGAATGGAGCAGCATTGCCTTTTATGTAGAGCTCCATTTAACCAATGCTTCCGTGGTTTTCCAATCCATTGTGAGGTATATGAGGAATGGGAACCAGACCTTTACTTCGTGAAACCAGAATTCCGTGCTGGTTTGTGCATATCTCCTGGTTGTCAGCAAAACATTAACTGACTTATATAGTGGTTCGTTTCAGCACAGATCAGGGAGACCAGTTCGCTCTGACTAAAGCCTTCCGAGGGGGTTACGAGCCCAATGAAAATATGGTGTCTTTGGTTGGTTGGCCACCTTTAAAAAAGATATCCATTGAACCTAGACCCGAACTAAATGTTCCCGCCAATGGATTCACTCCTTGTTTTCACGAATCGTGTTATTGGACTTTGAACCCCACCGATTTGTCGTCTCATCGCTGGGACAGGCGGCTACGTGGTACTCGAGCGGAAGTTCTCTATCGACTGAGTATAAGCCTCCGTATATCCTCAACTTGGGGACACATTTCAGAATCTATTGGAGAGCTCTATCCTCGATCCGACTGCGATACTTTGCTATCTATTGCCCCAGAGAGCTCTCAGATCTACCAACCTTTCTTTCTCTCAAAGCTTCCTCCTGAACTACGATGTAAAATATGGAGTTTCGTGAAGCGCGGGCCCGCTTATTATTACAAGTCAATGATGGTCGTTGGAGAGACGCATCGCTTATTGAGCCTAACTCATGATTCGACGAACCATGGCTTTGAAGAGCTGTCAATCGAGCCGGGCTGTTATATCGAAGCAACTATTGAATCTATCTATAGCACCGAATATATTCGAAATCTAAGTATACATAAAACTTCCATCTCCGGAATTCATATTCCAGAAGCCATCACCGAAGTTCAATTTATATCCAGTGTGCATGGTATCTGTGCTATGAGATTCTCGGGCTCGGGTTCGAATTGGAAATCGAAATGGCTGGGAACTGTTCCCCTAAAAGGTCGCACTTGGCATGGAAGAATCTCAATCACTACTGATATCTTGTTCTGCTATTTCAATGTAAGCTTCTCAGCACTGTTCTAAGATCGGTTCTTAACAGTTTTAGTTTCTCAGCCTGGACGAAATTGCCGACAAATCCCAGCGAAACATTAGGCAAGTGATGTGGGATTGTTTAGATCATCCGGGTCCATCGTTCGATATTAATCAGTCTTTTTTCTCATTCTATACACCGGAAAGCTGTATGGTCAATAATTACCAGATTTTCACTTCTTGAGGTATGTAGCATTGATCGATAAAGGAGAATATATCTCTGAGTTGACAATGCATTACAGCGAAGGTCGGCTGACTGGTATTGAAACACATTTCGCAACCATCTCATATCTCTCGGGACACCGTTCCAAAGTCTCTACACATTTTCCGTTGGGCCGATCTGAGCGTCTATCAAACGTCTGGGTTCGAATGCGGCTGGAAACTTTTGGTGGAAGTCAATCATCATTAATATTGTCGCCTTGTCTTTTGGTTAGTGTCTTGCTATCTAATGTTGATTGTTTTTAATGAGTTGCTAGATACGCACGACAATAGGGAGAGAATACACTTTCGGGTCATACGTCGATCCAATTTATTACGACGACCATAATTGGGTTTTCATGGCACAAGGTAGAAGCGTTACCGGTCTATACTATGAAAATCCTCCTGGCCAGTTTATCATGAAACTAGCGGTTGTAGGCAAGAGGAAAATCCTGGCTGCTGAAGTGACGCCCCCTCTGTACAAAGCTTGTAGCCCCATACTACCAATAATGATAAGTGACTGTCTGCGTGGTTGGCCCCATGAAATATATATGACCGATGCGACATTCGAAGATCTCAGGATGGTTCTCATTCGTCGTGTTGGTCGCCATATCTCAGGTATGTTCATTCAGTATATGGATAGCGATCGGCCTCCTGCTGTTCTGGGGGAGTGGGCTGCCTCTGAGCACGGGGCGTGGGATCACCAGAAAAACGAGAGAGTTCAAAGCTCCGAGCACTGCTGCATATATGACAGCACGAAGGCTACACCATCAACGGTAGTTTTCATAATTCACTGGGTCGTCGGCTACATACATGAAATATTTTTCTGCAATCGAGACAGCGACAGACTAAAAGTTGAGGTAGCAAAAGGTGGCAAATTGAAAGCATTTGATATGGGCACGGTAAGTTTTAATCTCTTGACAATGAATCTGAAACACTTTATTAACTGAATGCAGCGCGTTTCTTGGTGGTTTGGGAATTTTACAGACGTCATTCAGCCATGGACAGAAGAGAATCCACGACAATCTTTGAGTGTCCCCGAAGATCGCATAATAAAAGAATTGCAGTAGATAAACCACATACTACATACTACATATCTCGAGGTGGATCGAACAATGATGGAAGAAGACTGCTGTTACACCCGCACTGGTTTCTTCCGTGGAGAAACACAGGACACTCCAAAAGAGGGAATATTTTGGTCCGCCCGAAATTATTTCTTTAGTCAAAATTTACCAGCTATTCTGGAGTAAAAGTTGAGTCCTTCTCTTACAGCGAAATGTTTCACTGATAAGATGTACCTTTTCACACATTATGTGATTGATCAGAAATTTCAAATCTTCATCTACCTCAAAATCCCAAGCATCTCCCTCAACAACTTCTCCGGCACATGCACCAACCACTTTTCCTCCATCCCCATCTCCATTAACCTTCTAGTCATCGTCCCTCTCCATACATCCAGCACCTCCTGCTCCCCCACCATTTCCTCATCACATATCCCAGCATTCATCACCCCATACTCTCTTCCATGTAATACTCTAAAATTATCCCACAAACACACTTCCCCCGGTTTCATCACAATCTTCAGCGCATGACTATTCCGTCGTCCAATGCTCTGAAATTTCCTATACGCAGCACGTGCTTTGGGAAACTCATCGTAGGAACAGAGGAGGGAAGAGGTGTGTTGGGGATTAAAGCGGAATGTATGAGAATGGAGTGATAATTTATTATGTGTGAGGAGAGGGGTGGTCGCTAATTGATAAGAAGAAGATAGAGGATTGAGGCTAGGGGTCTGGCCACCGATAGTGATAGGGACGGAAGAGAGATAGGGCAGTAGGTGCGGTGATTCTTCTTTGAGGGTTGAGAGGATGGCGGGAGAGGATACAAAGGTGTGGGTACTCTCGGACTCGATCGCGGAACAGGCGGCGATTCGAGGTGGATGGATGTGATGAGAGAAGGCGGTGCGTGGTAAGTGTACTCTCGTATTGTTATTATTTGTGTTTTCGTCATTACTCTTTCCTACAGCCTTTCCTTCCAGTGCATATTCAGATTTTGCAAGAGAATCCCCAAATATCTCCTTCAAAACCTTCGCTACCAAATTCTCATCTCCGGGAATATCACATATCCTAATAATCCCCGCTCCAGAACGCATCAACAGCGTATCCAAAACCTTCATCTTCACCTCCTCCGCTACCTCGCTCACCTCATTTACTTCACCTACCGCCCTCTCAACGATATCTCCCCATCTAAAAGCCGGCACCTCCAACCCTTCCACTCCAAGCAGATCATCATCCCCAAATCTAATCCCTTTCCCCCCATTTTTATACCCATTCTTATCCCTATTTCTCCCCTTCCCCTCCCTCCTCCCCACAACCCCCGCCCAAACCCTCAACCACACCCCTGGAAACCCCGACTTCCTACTATCACTCCACATAACCCAAAGCACCGTATGTACTCCCTCCCCATAAATATTCGCGCTCTGAAGTGTCGCGATTGCGGTCGCTGTCGTGTAGAGAGAGCGGGAACCGCTTGGCGTGAGGGAGAGATCTTGTTGTTGTGCTGGCTGTATGTTGATACCGGTATATTGTTTGGTTTGTGGGTTCTGTGGGAGAGTTGATGCGATGTGTTGAGTGTGACTAGCATCCGCATCATATAACCATTGAGAACGAAAAGTCCATGATCCGTCGGGGAATTTGAGTGTTATTTTAGTGGCGCAGTGGGAGATGAGGACGGAGTGGAGGGTGAATTTGGGTGAGGGTGAGAGGGGCATTTAGGGATGGTGTGGAGTGTGGACTTCTTTTATTGGAGGGTTAGAGTTTAATTCGAAAATTAGGAAGATAAAGCTGTGGTAGGATGAGATGGATGGTAAAATCGAGGAATAATTAATATTTCTTCGGGCATGATACTGAGTATAGATTCACGGCAGTATGTTTCAATTATTTTAAACTCTTGCTCATGCTATCAGTATGTTTCTGACCTGAGACTGTTGGTGTCATCGATATGAGATCATTTCCGTATTACCAGAACTACTTCCTTGGTGCTATGAGTCTCAGTGTTTCAATTGTCGTGTTACGATTCAGCCGCAAATGGACTCGATAGAGACCACTCCCTAGTCGTATTCTCGGAGAATCTAAGGGTAGATAACTGGGAAGAACTTGAGTAGTTGTAAATGTGTATTTACAAGAAATTAAGAAACTTTCTGTCGTTCTGAGTAACAAATTGATAGAGCATGCAAGAAGCTTCCTGATTCCTCATAAGTAGATGTCGTGACCAATGTTCCATTTTGGATGGAATCAAAATCGATGATACCACATCAAATTCCCCAGTTTCGGTGGAACTGCCAAATGCCACTGGATATTCGAGATATTGAGCAAGAATGTTGGCTGTGAAATCACTGTTTGAGTATGGCGTGACACGATTAGTCTGATTGTCTGAGACTTTTTTCTCGCCGTCATGATTGAAAGAATACAACCCTCCGAGTTTTTCTCGACGCCGTTAAATTTGGCGATGGTTTCATAATCAGGTTCATTGTTGTTGGTTCCGGTGGCATCAACTTATACAAGGAGAAAGAGGTATCCAAGAGAAGGAGAGAGAGAGTAGTCTCTGAGGTTGGTGGTAACGTTCGGATCGGCACTTAGCAAGTCCGTCACGGTTGTATATGCAACCAGCTGTCTCAGTCATTATTCAAACAGCGTTCCGTTAAACGAGAATTTATCGCCATCTGCAAGGAAATAATCGTCACGAGTGAGAGATGTATCAGACTCGAATTTGTTGTGTCCATCCAAGCCTGGCTGTGATCCCAAGTCGGGGCTCGTGAGACCGATGTTCGTGGTAGTGTCACACCCGATGGAGAGTTTCTTAGTTATAAGGTCACTATTGGTCAATTTAAGACCGAGAACAGCACAGTGACTCGCTAAGCCGTAGTCATTGTTGTACAGATTTTGTTGAGCATCCATCAAGAAACTCATCATATGTGGTAATGCCATCTCAAGCAAGAAATTTGTGAATAGCAGCAGTGTTCAAGCCGGAACAAGGCCCACGAATATCTATATACTTGGGAGCGTTAATATTTGACTGGTGTCACTAAGTGCTGGAACTTGATATATGCTAGCCCCTCTGCCTGAAAGACCGTTTTTTGCGCCGTTGTATGGGTATGAGTCTGAGATGCCGAGAGTACTACTATGAATAGGAACGAATAGATGAAAAACGGCTCCATCTTCGCCATAGCCCACTTACTGTCGTTTGCTTATATGTAACAGGCTAGAATCGACAACAGCCATGTTGGCAATAAATGGTGAAGCTGCAGCAGCCCCAGCCTTGAAGGCTAATTGTAATAAGCGAGTAACACATTCTGAGATACCTAACAATGACTGTTGGCTATCCTGAAGAACGAAGAAAAACTTGGGTGTGGAAGCAGGTTATTTAGGGTGAACTTGAGATCTAAATAAGTAAAAGCTTTGTGTCGATGCCATGAACATGGGATTAGAGGGGGGGGCTCTCCTTGAGTAATACCTCATAGATGGTTACTAACATCTGATATCAACGTAATCAAAAACAAGGTCTTCCGCAAATTTCTTGCACCAAACTTTGCTTGGGATGGAGTCAGTGAGCAGTGAGCTCTTCTGGAAAATGGTTCATTTCTCTAATGTGTGGAAATACAGCTAATCATATGTAGTTCCACTACAGTAGATACTTTCGACTGTGAGTCTGGCAGGGTTTTACAGACTCATGGCTAATGGGTTATTGAATGACCAGCGATAGGTACTTGAAGTCGACTTCTGGTAATTGATCACAATAGCAAATCTGGGGAAGATGCACTCAATGACATGTTAATGAAATATTCATAAAATCCTGTATTTTGATTCTAGAATCAAGTTGTTCACATGAGGTAAACACTGGAATACACTCCAAAGTTTGATTTACAACCACTTGGTACTGGGCTGGGTATCAGTGGGTGAATACCATCAAAAGACCTCGATCGAAGGGCTCACCATTTCTTGATACACAAAAATGACATCCATCAATCGAAGTATGGAACTAAATTAGGAAGACCTGAAATCATTTTTCTTGACTTTCTGTAAATTAAAAGTTTGAATTATAAGCTTTTTCTGGTCAACGACATCTTGGGAGATCTGGTTGGATCAAAGAGATGCCAGTGGGGAAGACCTACATTTATAATCTTCATCTTCTCTCCTCTCTACTCTTTGACACACAAGTAGCAAAGTTTAGATCCTTGATATAACTTCAATTTGACCAGGAATCATGAGAAAATAACAGAAGATAAATGAGAAAGAAAGTGATCATTGATGTTTAATGCCAAGGTCGTTATCATGAATGATGAAGGAGGATGCACTGACTCCTTTGTTGAACCGAGAAGGAATGTTGCAATGATTGATTTGGGAAATGTGTAGCAAGAGCAGATTTAGCTGTTGTCTATGAGTATTTGTTTGAGTATAACAGCTATCACAAACAAACTACTTGAAGATATTAACTGCAACAAACAAGTCACAGAAGAAAGTGCTTTATTTCTCCTGTGATAACATTCTGACAATATTCTGAATCCATTTGGATGACTCATGCTATTATTAAGTGCACAACTAGCTTTGAACATCAACTCTTTCAGGATATATCCTTATAAATAACTCATTCAATCAAAAGATTAATATAGATTTCATCTGAAATCGAAATATAAACCTATATATATTCGAATATTAACATTCAAAGGATCTGTTTCTTCATATAATTTTCTGTTCAACTCAAAGCTTTGAAGCAATTCATCAATCCATTCACATCAACCCAACCAAGGTTGTACCATCAGATGATCCCAAAGTGCTACTTCAGATAGACATAGCCGATGAGAGGTGTTGTGTTAAGGCAGCAAAGGGAGTTGGGAGAGAGATGACTAGTTGTTGAGATCAAGCTTGAGAAAACTCATCGATCTAATTGGATCTGCAGGCAGATGACATGAAGTATACTTCATTATTCCCAATTGGATCTCAAGATACATGACACAAGGCACTTCATTGTTCTTCATTGGATCTGGAGAAAGATGTGTGCAGAAAGAAGAGTTGGGAAAAGATAGGACTGGTTGTTGAAGTAAATCTTGGGAACCGAACTGGCTTAAGAGGATAGTCGAAAGATGATACTGGATGATTCCATCTTAGAGATTCACAGTGGCCTATGAAGGTACTTTAGTTCAAACATGATCTTGTTTGATCAATGAGGACAGTAATGGTAAAGAGATAATGTTGTTTTAGTTATACTCAAGTATCTTGAAGAATAATCAGCAAAGTTAGAACCGATTAGGACTATATTCACTTCACTTTCTATCACAAAGAAGTAAGTGGATGAGTTAAGCATCAAATGGAAATGAGAAGGGAGAATAGCCTTAATACTTCGGCCTGAAATCCCCTCGACTGGATTATTCTCCAATCTTCTTCCACTCTTCAATAATAACACATTCTTCATCTTACAGTTCTGAGTTTCCTTCAACAATCAAATCAAAACTACGCACTAATCTCCAGTAGACAACATTTATCGTGATGTCTAAACGACGATTATCCGACAGTAGTGTCGACACTTTGGCCCTTGAAGCTGAAGCTCGAAACATTCGCATTCACACAACCAGTGCCCAAAGAACACGAATAATTGTCAACTTCAATGACCTATCTTCTACAAAGTTCATTATCCCTGTCACTTCCTCTACAACTATCGCTGAGCTGAAGGATCAAGTCCTCCATCGCGCTGAGAGACTTGGAGCCAAAATTTCCCATGGTACAACAGAACTTCGCCTTGAATCTGAATATGGACCCATCACATTTCCAGAAGACACTATTGAAGATATATTTGGAAATGTAGATCCGAAACTCATCTGGGTCATATCAGCCCACCAAAATAACTCTGATGATGATGATGATGCTGAACCTGTTTACGTACGATGGATTACGCCAGGAAGAGCTCTGGATCATCTCTCATTATCTGATATTGAGACAGATAAGGAGCCATTAACTCGCGGCATAAGAGTGGATGGGGTTACAACGATCGCTAAGAACCGATTGTTTGGAGCAGCGGGAGATGAGATAACTCCAGCACCCGGCTTCAATATTGGATTGTGGTTCAGCAGAACCGGCGATGACAATACCATATTTGGGACAGTGGGTACCGATACAATTGGTGGACTTGGTTTGAGTGGTAGTCTTGAAAATCCATTGAATGCTTTCCTAGTCCTAATCAGCTCGCGTAAGTTTTCCAACACACCACTCATAAGGAATAGTAAAGTTTTACTCCATTCCAACTACCAGTATCAAGGTATTTGATTGTCATGACTTGGCTAACAAAATGAATTCAATATGACACAGGCGACCCAGATCCGAATTCTCTATATGGCTTTCGCTGCTCAAACCGTGGGATGGCAACATTCCAGACATGCCTCAAAGTTCTGATAACAGCCGCAACATTCAGACCTTATTTGATCCCTCTTCTGTTGGAGCGTATGATGCAGATCACAAATATTAGTGAGGCTAGGAATGTTCTTGGAGGCATTTTGCGTACGAAAATACTTCATGAAAGAGCGTTGACGATTCTAGCAAACTGCTTCCGTGAAATAGCTCTTAGGATGGTTCCTGGTGCACTTATCAACCATAGATTCGAGTCTGTTCTTGAAGGCTCTAGACAGATCTTTGCTTGTATGTTTGGAGATATACTCGAAGAAAATGTGAGTTACACCCCTTTGTTCATCTACTTGTAAATGTCGGTAAACTGTCTCTTCATGTTGACCGGTACTATCTTTTCATTCATCTGAATGGAATTGAACATTCAAGCTTCTCCAGATGCTCAAAATATGTATTCATGGAATATAGTTGCTGAGAATATGGTTTTCCTTATTCCAACTTTTGATGGACTCTATTAAAGACAGACATTAGAATGTCACTTTCGGCCTGCTTGTCCGATGATTGATGGAGAGACTTATGGCTAAGACATTCTTTAGGTCAAACCTGTCAAAGGTAACCGTATGCCACTTCCCGCCATGACCGAATTTCGGCTCCTGCTCAGTGCCTGTAATGCTTCTCCATACTTTCAAATGCTATCACCACTTCAATTAGATGGCAGAGAGAATTCCGGTATTTCCTTATCCAAAGATGGCTATGTATCACATTATACCACACATGGCGACGAGACATCCCAATCTCGACTCGAAAATACCATCACAGGCATCGAGACTTTACAATCCCGGCCAGGAGAAAGTCTTCTTTACGCTCTGCAACCGGTCATCTCACAAAGACGAATCGACGGCACATGGGAGATTGATGATTGGGCAAGCCCATCCATGGCTCTAGGAGATTATTCTGGACCGGACGAGGCAATTGTTATATGTCTGGACCAGAGCTCTAGTATGAACAGTCCTTTAGGCGAAGACTGGATTGGAAATGGCCAGCCCAATAGCCTTAGCCGATTCGACGAAGCCAAACAAGTCTTCCGAAACGTCGCTTCACGATTCGCTGCTTATCGCCTGAATATTCATGTGGGATTAGTTGTGTTTGGTACAGAAGTAGAAACGCAAGCTGAGATTGCTCCGATTGGTAAAGACTTCAAGAACGCATTGGAGAATCCCAAGGCAACGGACAAACGCACCGCGCTTTTCGATGCCATAGATACGGCACATGATATGCTCTATACATACAAGGAAGAGCATCCCGAATCTAAGACGAAGCTTCGCATCATAGCCTTGACAGATGGCCAAGATAATATTTCTAAAACTTCTCCCGAACATATCTGCGAATGGTTGTGTCATACAGACATTGTTCTTGATTCTATTTTCATCGGTGGCTCATCGCCTAAAGACCTGTTCAAGATGTCAAAGCATACAGGTGGTTATGCGTTCCAACCCACCTCACGACTCCTTCTATTCCAGACATTTCTCCTCGAACCGTTCCTAGATATACTCGCCCGACCGGATATTGTCAAGATTCCCATCGACGATTACGAGACATCGCTTCCCAAAGAACCCGATATGACGACTTTCCACGATTTTCCACCCTGCCGACCTCATAAATTGCAAGATGGTGGTTTCGTCTGGCTCGATGCAGCTACACTGCGATTAGCCGGAAACTCTTCTTCGCTTCTTGAAATGGTACGCACGTCGGCCTCTGCTGAACCTTCCAATCGATCATCTGGAAGATTGTATCTTGACGAAATGAGACTCATGATTGCAAATCCCCATGCGTCGATGGATGTTTATGTCAGCGAGGTAGATATGGCGTTCTGGAAAATCATCATGTCAGGCCTAGCATCTATAGCCTATTCTCAAGGTACTTTTGCTCTGTTTGTACATATGACGGAGACATATCCTCAAAAGGCACCGACGGTCCGATTTATTACACCAGTGCTTCATCCAAATGTATCCAAGGTAACCAAGTTTCGTCTCCTATTCTACAGTACGTACTATGTATTGAATAATAACTAACAACCAAACAGCAGGGTAGAATATGTCACGAAATCTTCGACGACGGATGGAAATCCAGCCTTCACATTCACAACATCTTGAAGACCGTATTCACCCTATTTGAAAACCCAAAAGCCAGCTGCGACGCAGCCATCGACGAACTAGCCACCCTCAAATTCTGGACCGATCGAGCAACTGCCGATAAAGAAATTAAGAAATACGTAAGTCCCCTTCCCCCAATTATTATATGTTATGTATGCATGCATACAACTCTTCAAAGAGCTAATCCGAATCTTGCAGGTCGCCAAATTCGCAACGCGTACTAGACTTGAGTGGAAGACGGAAATGGACGCGGCGATTTAAAGATGCTTGGTTTATCTATCTATATGGTAGGTATACGGCGTTCGGTATTTGGAGACAAATTGCTGATATCGCGGATGGATGGATAAATACGCATAAATTTGGTCACAGTATTGGCATTAGACAATAAGATAAGCGAGCATAATTTGGGGTAACACGGCTAGAGTAACAATGCATGTGCCAATACATTACTGAACTCTTTGTGTGACTTTGTATTAGCTTGTTGATTCGAATATCCCGCTTAACTCTCATATTTCGGCAGGAGAATTCTATATCCATATCCATTAATATTCATATCCAACCAGCTTGGAGAATATAACAACAACATCCAATATCTAACATCCCATTTAGCTTTAGCGTCTGTTTTCGATTTTGATTGGGATTAGAACTAATTAACAAAATGACTCGAATCTTATAACATTCATTTATTATACTGTAGAACTACTCACTCGTATACTCGTATACTCGAGTACTACAGTAGTATGTATTACAGTATAATATACCCGACCGAGACGAGTATTTTGCATCATATCATATCGAGACTAGACTCCAGTATCACAGTATATAATTTGATTCTTTCGTTATACTGTAATCTGACCTTATGTTCGATACTTGTATCAAGAAAATCCCAACTCCAATCTTCAAAAGCCAAACATCTCTATGAGTAAAGAAATGTGTGTTCTTGATTGTTAGCCATAATCATAATTATATATAACAATAATCATTCTCAATGATCTAATCTGGCACACCGATCGATATACATCAATCTCCTGCTCACATCAATTAGAGGTTTAATTTAGTGAAATGGAGTTGACTGACTCACCTTCATTCGTGCCTTTTCGGGAATTGTTATATTATATTATACGAGTATAATATAATCTTTACGATGAGAATGATATAAATAGTAGATTCTAATAAATTCCTAGCTTGACTGTGATGATATGATTAGGGAAGGAGGGGGGATAGGGTAGTTAATTAACTCATCAACGTATAGATTTTGTGACTTTGTGATTTTGTAGGTTGGAAGTGTATACTCGTATATACATACATATACTCGAGTACATACATATATACATACAAACCCGTATAAAACCGGGATTACAGTTGAGCCTCATGGAAATGGTGCTAAGGTATGGATGGTTGTGCATTGTATACAGTCTATGTAACAGTAACAGTAACATCTGAGATATTCCATCCTACTGCAATGATTATATCATCTGCTCTAGATATATCCAGTTCTCTCAGTCACCGACCACAAACTTTGAAACCTCTAGAAACTCCACTGTCCACCGTTTAAACCCATATACGAAGTAAGCGATATCATAAAGGAGGTCGTGAGCCCCGTGCTCGTCTAAAAGCATCATCTCCACTCTATCTATCCATGGCCCGACACTCACTAGCGGCTCAACTCTCAGCGGAACACTATTATCCCCCTTAATCCTCTATGTACTATCCACAATATCCACGCTCACCCACCCCCCCTCACTTCCCACCCTGCACCAATCCCAAATAAACATTCCAGCCAATCCCCGCCAAACTCCCCAGTAGCGCTCTCCCCTGCACACTCTTGATAATGGCAAAATTGCTCAAACTAACCAAAGGCCATAATCTCCACCCCGCTTTCATCATATCCCAGTATTCAGATCGAGCAGACTGTAGGGCTTGTGGGAGAGTGGAACCGCGGAACAGGGAGAATGTTATGAGGAAGAACAGGACGTTGAAAATTGCGAGGAGTGTTTGGTCGAAGAATACTTTGAGAAGGGTGTTGGTGAGGGAGAGGGATGGGGTTGATTGTGGGGCATTGGGGGATGTGGATTTTTCGGAGATGTTTTGTGGAGGGAGGGGTTTCTTTGAGGGGAGGAGGGATTCGAGGAGGGATTGTCTGGTACATTAACTTGTTAGTTGTGTGTTTTTGCGAGATAATGAGTTTCGTGGAATATGGAATGGAATGGAACTCACAAATAGAAATTAGGAGGGGCGCTCAAAGCTGAGTATAAGATGAAGTGAAATACTGGCGTCCAATTTATCGTAAATGCTATCTGTGATTCTGTAAGGTCGAAGTCTATCTAAGAGGGGTAGAGGGGTGGGTAGAGGGGTCGTACATTCTTCTGATGTGCGGAAATGAATTGTGCGATGATATTGCTGATGCCAGATAAGACGCAACATTGAATAGTTGTATTTATTACGGCTGAAGGCATCTTGAGTGTTGTTACTCTGGACTTGAGTATATTAGTTGAGAAGTCAAAGGAATCCGGACAATATCTGTTGTGACAATTTCTTTGTTGATGTTCGGCTCGAGTAACCTTATCATAGCGCGTGTTTGTGATAATTGTATTGCTCGGATCTCGACAGCTTTTGAGGTCGACTACCGGTATATCATCTCACCTCATCAATCGACTCATGATACCTTTGATCTGTGACGAGTATTGCCTGCTTATCAAAGATAATAGATGATACCTCAGACATGTTGTATTTATATCATTCCGATGATGGCAATGATGGGGAAACTGCGCATGCTGAAGATATCATGAACCAGTGTCCAAGTGAATTCTGCATACATTGCAAGATCTCTGAGTAGAGATTTCCATGGGTACTGTTCGCAGCCCCATAGTGTATTTGAAGTTAGTCGTCGAGAATCTCACGATATGATTACTTGTTACCGTATCATTATTTTATAATTGCTATGAGACGAGAGCACATTTCATGCAATTTTATGCAATGAGTATTAATCCTGCATAAGTATTATGCACATTCTCGAATGCACAACATCAATTCCACCAAAGCCACTCCGGTTCATTCACAACACTCGAAATCACATCACCTCGCAATAAATGCAGCAGACTTCCTAAGATAGTTCCTTCAATCAGAATTAAGGTCATAGTTCAGCGACTTGTACCAAAAAACAACACTTTGTGTCTCAACCAGAAAACCCAAGAGCCCCATGGCTAACGGGTAGCTCGAAGTATCAAGCGCGAGAACTGCGCCGCCATCTACTGCATAAAGATATATCAACTATTGAACATACCGCACGAGAATCAAAGTCATTACCAACTGTTACTTATCTTGTGGACCAATACCCAAAAATAACTTCACATTGACATAAACTGCGTGATCATGTCTACGATCTCCAAATAGCTACTATATCTTCGAACGTCTAGCTCAGGCTAAGAAACAAAGCCTCTAAAACTTCCGCCAAAAATCAGTCAAAATGCATACCATTTTTATAAATTTCCGAAATAGAGCATATTTTCTCTACCTATCAAATAGAACCGTACTTCTATTGATAGTTTTAGACGTGTGGTCTCGGGAGATCTTGCATCTGCTCCCCGCTCAATATACTGCTGCCGTGTTCCAAAATGCGCTTATTAAAGGCATCAATTGATTGTATCTTATCAAGTTGATATTTGCAGTGTGCAACCCCGACATATCGTCTGGAAACGTAGGATCATTACTAGGGATACTATCGATGCTGTAAAGAGTCGCATTGACTTTATCAGTAAGTTTCTAGATGAGTGTCTCGCCAACCTGTAGTAGGCCAGCGTCACGATCGCGACTGTTTGTAAGGTCAATAAGGGTTTGACGTTGCGCTACTTCGATGTTGATCTGATGACAAAGATGGTAGTTTGGTAAAAGTGTGCTTTTGAAAAAGGATGTGAGATTTTCATTGATAAAGCGAGAGTCATCGGTAGCGTCGTCGAGGAAGTTGTTGGGGTTCTACGAGGAAACGGTACTTGGTTAGAATGATGATCAAAAGTGCTCGAAGTTTGATTAGTACCGATACATACGATGGCTGCTTCTCGCGACTTGTTGATGGCACTAAATAGTTGGCCTTCGGATATAATGGTCGCTAGGATAAGAATCAAAGAGATAGCAGGTACATTGAGTCTCATTCCGCTGATTTTTTTGGGGAAAGTAATGGTCTTCGCAACAAATGAACGATTCTCTCTACAAAATACCACACCTGAAGAAGCGACGAGAAGAGCTATATTTCTGTGGTATTCACGCAAAGTAGTAATCAGTCAGGACTTGGAAATCGATTCTGACTTTGTGACTCAGCGGCGTTAGTTGATAACAAACGTCAATTTCATAGTAAATAGCCTCTCCTTATACTTCACAAGTATACCAGTACACCATCCTCAAGTTTCGCTCAGTGCGCCCGAAGTCTCATCTGAAATACTATGACGAATAAGCTTCCAGTGAGCACAAGTCCCAAAGTTTTCAGTATGTCGAAGCTCTCATGGTATTTCCGGAAGATCGTGTGATGGTCTCAACTCCTGCGAGTAAGCTGAGTGTACCACAGTACTTCACCACAATGATTGGGTACTTTAATATCTCAAGTATTCGTGCTACTCATCCAGTCCAAAGAAAAAGTCCATTCTCATATCATTCTTGTGTACCTTCTGCTCTCCACGCGGGAGATAAAAGTACGTTATTCTTACCAGAAACATGTTTACAAAACATGCCATCTACCGTAATTACCAGTGAAACTTTTAGAAATAGCTACTCGTACAGTATGCAATAGAGCGAAGAACACAGCTACAGGAAGGTCTAAACATAAGAATCCGACATTTTGAAACAAATCACACAAAACACGAGATGAGAAAATAAACCAATTCTATCTTGATCTGCCTTACTCCATCCAGGCTCCAGCCCATCATTTCCGGCCCTGGAATAGTTCTCGACGCCACTTCTTCCCTCGAATAGTTTTAAATATTATTTCTTAGGGTGTACCGGTATTTGTATACAGCACAAAAGCTTAAATTTTGTCGGGAATAGAAATAGCTTTTGCATGGGTTCAATTTATTATTTGTTGGCTAATGGCCATTAACCTAGTCATAGTCATGCAGCTTAGACAGGAGAACAATAAATTGTGTTAGTTTGATGGTTAAGAATAGTATGTATCGCGTATGGTTGTGCTTTCTGTGCTTTTTTACCGAGTACACGTTATTTTGCAGGTACAGATGGAAAGCCTTTGGATGCGAGATGTAGATGTCGCTTGAGTTAACCCGATGGATGTGGATATCTCAAGCATTGTTGGGATTGTTTATAATTGTCCATTACATCATATATGTATGAAGGCTATATATAGAGGAACTAATAAATATATGTATGTAAAGTAGTGGTTTCTCAGTGTATCAAGTACCTATAACCAGCTACCAACCCTCAATCTAAGCCTCTCCTTTCTCAATACTAAAGTTTTCCACGATATCTTCTTCCCATTCTACAACTTACAAGCCTCATTCCCCTAAAGAAAACGACATACTATATCCGCTACTCGCCCTTCATCTGACTCAAGCCTAGCCATAATACATCATTAGCATACCTCCCATCTCAACTATCTACAAGCATAGCAAAGGAACACAGAAATCCGCATGCACATTACCCAAATCAGGACCGCCATCCTGCTCACCCTAGCATCCGTATCCGCACTCGCACTCGCACTACCACACGCAATAAATGCCAATACCGATACCAATATCACCAACGCAGCCCAAGAACAAACCATCCATGACTGGAACCGCATCATGCAGGTACAATACCCACCCCCCAGCACCTCCCTCCTCCCTCCTCTTACCTTGCCTTACTTAACTAATAAACTCCCATTATTCTCCCTACCCAACAGGACACCACCCCCTACATAAACCAAACCACTTTCTTCCTCCTCCTCCAAACCAACCACCTCCCAAACCCCACCTCTCAACCCGTACCCCTCTCCACAACATACACCTCCTTTCCTCTCAAATCTCAACAACCGCAACCGCCTTTTATCACTATCCCATACCCCCCTTTTTAAACGAACCACATAATCATATCCAAAGCGCTATTAGCGGTATCAAGAGTAATCTATCTACACAGTATTCTTGTGTTAAATATTGGATTTGGTAGTACTAGCTCTTCTTGCACAAATGCAGGTGCAGGGTTTTATAGATAAATTGGTTAATATCATGTGTCATGATTATCTACCAAATGTAGTACAGGCCTGGCGTGTTGTAAAGAAAAAGGAGATAGTGCCAGTAGGACTTGATGCGTGTCCGGTGTTTCATGCGGGTTCGTGTACGTTTCCGAAGATTGGGGGGGCGTGAGCGGGTTGGGTTTATAGAAGACTCGGGAGTCGAGGGTTAATATGTGGGCTGAGTGATGGAGTGCTGGGATTCGGGGTAGATATACATGTACCTGGTTGGAAAACGGTGGGAGGTGGGAGTTGAGTAACGAGAGGAAGAATCTCTTGGTATTCGGGCGTTGGTGGTTATTGATTTTGTAAGAGCTTTGAGTGATGGAGCGATTTTGATATTTTTGGCGTAGGCCGCGTAGCTTTGCGTCATTCAATCCCTCAAATGATATTATTTTGAATTGATTTAGTCGGGGTAGGAGATTTGGAGTTTCTTCATACTTGATCTATTATTAGTGAAGTTTTAGCTAAGATTACCACATTTTCAAAATGCAACTTTTTGTGGCCCAACATAAATTGGAATACTCCTTTTCTTAGTAATATCTCACAATACGATTCAACTTCGTGATATACATATATAGATAGACACACAAAAGCCATCTCCCAACCAAGTCAAGCTTTTGTGTTCCATAAGCTACACCCTACTAGGACATAAACACAATATCAGAACATAAAAAGAAGTTGGATCTAAAGGAGGCTAAACACAAACTATTGGTACTTAGCACAGGCAGGCGTGCCCCGACCGAAAATAGCTTACTGTAATCATCGGTTAGAATACTCGAGTGCATAGCATCTACTCGAGGACTCTAAAACTATTAAGTAGAACAGTATGATGTCATGGTAAACGAAAGGATCATACTTATCCGAACCATGAACAGACAGATACATCACTAGACAGCACTGTTGCAATCATGTTGCAATCATGTTCAATCAGCTCTTCCGTCCCAACATATTACCGACAACTAACTCTGATTTCGAGTTTTGCAAAGTATCTCGATCTCTACGAGTACAAGTGCCCATAACCTAGGTCCACATGAGTAAGTTTCTATTTATTCAAAGGCAATTACCTTGATTCACCTCATTGATTTTGAGTCTATTGGTAACCTCATGCATTCTTTGACTTCGACACTTACCCTACCGATATATCCTACTGGAGATATATATATATATCCTCTTGAGCTTCCGATTCCTGGACTTACAGCATTTCATTGGGCAAATCTGTCTTCAAAAGTCTCAGATTCAAATTGGACACACTCTTCATTTTCGTCTTCGCTTCTACCATCTCCGCATTGGTAATGTCTTAAAGATATGACTTTGTACCGACGACGAACTCAATCAAATGCCTAGGATAACGGCACTGATGCGTGGTGGTTTCTCCCTGCTAATTTTTACAGAGATTCCATGGTTTGTTCAAATGTCTCTTTCCGAAAATATACTTCGTTCCACAGCTAGCCAGGTTCGTTATAGGGGATGAGAAATTACCTGGACCGAAACTTAACGGGCCCCAATGAGAATATTGCGTATGCATCAAATATGCCTACCTATCTCCATGACATGACATTCGCATCGAAACTTGAGGCTATAAATGGTCACCATGCGAATACGCATACCCCAGCGGCAAAAGCATAATGGTCGCAGTCAAAGCAATCAAGTATGGCATTGAGGATGTAGAAGAATGCGGTTAAAGACATCGGCATTGGCACGGGGATAGTAAGGAACAGCGCTGTTCTTTACAACAGCTGGTGCAATGCTGTGCTGCCTATGCAGCTAAGTTCGAAAACTTATTTGCTCAGGATCGTAATTCCGGCATCGTCGTTGAAGATTTTATTGCAGGACCGGGCGCTTGTTCAGTATACGAACCAGTCGGTGTTATTCATACTTCACCATTAGACCTTGGGCATTAGATATATTGCCGTGATAGATCCCTCATCAGTCAACGCTGCGCTCTTGTTTTTGAGGGATGGGGGAGGGAGGTGGTTAGTGGGCGGCGTCGGGGGATATTTGAGGGTCTGGAAGAATGGTTTGGTTCTTTGATTAGACAGATTGTGGGCTGCTTTCAAAAATTTTCTTACAATATTTAGGTTGAGTTTGGACAGGATGTATTTTCTGATAGCGCACAACTGGGTGATCTAAAATACATTTAGCTCCACAACAATTGGTAATGCTTGAAACCCGACTTCTGCGTATACCATTTTAGCTGACATGAGAAGCTCACCAATAGAGTTTATCAGATTTCTTATCTATCATCACGGAGCCCATGCATTAAGCACGTCATGAGGGGCACATTGAACTTTTGCCCACAATGCTATATCGTGACAGCTATTGAACACTCTCGAAAAGACAATCTGTAATATACATGGTAGAAGTGCAGGCCAACATGTAAATGATCGATGGTGTCAATGGCAAGGATTATATCGAAATGTTGGCAAGTCGAACGATCGAGGTCGAATTTCCGCACATCTCATTGAGGTAATTTATATAAAGTTGCCACATAATTGTCATTTAGAACGAAGGTTCATCGGTACTCCTCATCGGTTCTTCAATCAATTCTTTCCGTTTTGAAGATGAGTTCCGACAAGAATAGCTTGGTTGTACACAATCACGTGATCGATGGTTCCAGCTCGGAAGAGATCTCAACCTCGGTCATAAAGGAGAAGACGCAGAAGAAATGGACCAGTTATATATGGGATTCCTTAGATAAATCACCTGAAGAAAGGAAATTCTTATTTAAGCTCGACTTGGCTGTTTTGACGTTTGCTTCTCTGGGTATTTCTCCCTTGTCCGTTATCCGGGCACTCAGAACCCCAACACGATGACAAAACTTCTGGCTTTTGACTAAGTGGTGCTGTAGGATACTTCATAAAGAACCTAGACCAACAAAACATCAATAACGCATTTGTCTCGGGCATGAAGGAGGACCTAGGATTGTACGGAAATCAACTCAACTACATGGCTGCCAGTTGGACAGTGGGATATGTAATTGGGGAGATTCCTAGTAACATCTTACTCACTCGAGTACGACCTTCTATTTGGATTCCTACGATTGAAGTATGCCATAAACCACCTCAGTTTGATTTTCGAGTATGGTAGCTGATAGAAGTATAGGTGATCTGGACAATCTTAACAATGTGTATGTCGCGCTGCAATAACGCATCGCAGATATATGCGTTGCGGTTTCTGATTGGTTTGGCTGAAAGTGGTTTCTATCCGGGGATGCAGTATATCATCGGATCGTGGTATAGAAAAGACGAGTTGGCGAAAAGATCGTGCATATTTCATGCTACAGGTGCTCTTGGATCGATGTTTTCCGGATACTTGATGGCTTCTGCATACCATCTCGGTGGTAAGGGCGGTCTGAAGGGTTGGCAATGGTAAGAAGCTTGAGATAAATTATCCATGAACAACTGTTATGGTGCTAACTTCGGCATAGGCTTTTCATAATTGACGGAGTTATTTCCCTCCCCATCGCCATAGCAGGATATTTCATACTCCCAGATGTCCCAGAGATTGCTAGAGCGTGGTACTTTTCCAAAGAGGTTTGCATCTAACCAGTTGTTGTTGGCTTCCCCGCTAAGAAGACTATAGGAATTGGATTATGGTAAGAAACGCATGCAATTGGAAGGTCGGGAGCAGAGAAAGCCGTATACCAGAGCAAAGATAACGAAAATTTTCTCATCGTGGCACATCTATGTCCTCACACTCTTATATGTGTAGGATTTCTTCGTCCTAAGCTATGTAAATCCGGCTGACAAGCATTCAGAACTTTCAATAACGGAGCGAGCGGCGCGGCACCAGTTTTTGCCCAATTTCTAAAGGACTCGAAAACGCCAAAGTACACCCCTAGTCAAATAAACATATATCCGACAGGTACTTCGGCGGTACAAATTGTGACAACACTTGCGTATGCATGGACTTCAGACACTATCTTGAATGGGGAACGCTGGCCACCTATTATTTTTGGGGGCGCTATAAACATCATATGTTACGTTTCTCTCGCGATATGGGACATACCAGTTGGATGGAAATGGGCCTGTTATTATCTCATGGGCTCCGGATATGGCCTATCTGGCCTTTGTATGGCGTAAGATCTCATGGCCCTCGTAAACCTACCTGTCAAGATGCTGACATTTTTCCAGATGGGCGCATGAAATCTGCAATGAAGATAATGAAGAAAGGGCGATAGTCATTGCAACCATGAATGAGATGGCTTATGTTATTCAAGCTTGGTTACCATTAATCGTTTGGCAGCAAGTCGACGCCCCGCAGTATCGAAAAGGGTTCATCACCATCAGTGTGCTTTCTTTCCTCCTTATCCTAACGGCCTTTGCGATCCGAATTTTGTGGAAGCGGGAGAAACTCCAGTGAGTTGATAGTAGATCCATCCTTAACCGTCGTGTTGCTGACACATACAAAATTAGGAAGGCCAGAGCGAAGACGGTCGAGTCATCAACACACAATGCAAACGATGAGAACCAAACCGAAGCTGGATCGGATGCAAGTAAGGCTGCTGTAGATCTGGATGTTCGAGAAGGCAGTTCGATAAGTGTATAGACGGCACTTGTTGGTGTAGTAATAGAAATCCATTATGTACCAAAGGATCAATGGATCGTCGACTTCATGAATCGTTGTTGAGCCCTTGGTGGGGGGGGGTTCAAGATAACCAATCAATGGCGTTGCGTGTATTTTATATCACACGAAAGGACGCAAAAGAAATGTCACAAAATAAAGTCTTTGAGAATGATAGAAACCGGTAGATTCATAAGAATAAGACTTAAGTGATATTCGAGTACACAATGAATGAATATCTGAATGAGTGTTTGAATGTCAATTTGAATTTGTCAATAAATTTGAATTTCTGCCAATTATGTAATCATTCACCGCCTGCTTAAACGAAGTAGAATCTTTGGATGGTACCGGTCCGGTCTAAAAAACTTTAATATCTTGGTGGGATACTGGAGAAAAAATCCTAAAACCTTCAAAATGTCGTCGTCAAAGTTGTCTTCTATCCGCACTTATCTGCCCAATTTCAGACCTTTCATTCACTATCAATTCAATTTCGATTGATTGTAACAATAAGAAGAACTTTCTGGTCTTCTCCCTTTCTTACCTTTCTCTGAAGGTTCCTATTTTCGGAGTCCTGAAAGAAGTTTATTCTTCTTCAACCTGTACTGAAATTGTAAGCCATCCTCTTCCCTATGAGCTATACCACTCTTCACCTCTTGTGAACAAGTCGAGGGGAAATATCAAACTGTTCCACCCGCTGGAAAAGTTCTGCGAATGCAGATTTTCCAGCTTAGCTTTCTTTAAACTTGCGATTAGATCCTTATCATCACAATGCATCTCGGTGATGGGGCTAACGAAATCCCGATAGCAACTAGATAGTTAATTCATAACGCTTTCACAAGATGTGCGGTATTCTCGGCTTGATATTGGGCGCAGTTGACGACCCTTCCTCCACCGCAGCGGCATCGGACCTACACGACGCTCTTTACTATTTACAACACAGAGGACAAGATGCGTGCGGAATCGCTACCTGCGCCGCGGGTGGCCGGATCTATCAATGCAAGGGTAACGGCATGGCTGCAAGAGTATTCCAGGATGGATCTCGTGTTCAGGATCTTCCCGGGTTCATGGGTTTAGGTCACTTGAGATACCCTACAGCTGGAAGCAGTGCTAGTGCCGAAGCTCAACCTTTCTACGTCAACAGTCCATACGGAATTACCTTTGCGCACAACGGAAACTTGATCAACGCCCCAGAACTCAAGGAATATCTCGACTTCGAAGCGCATAGACATATCAATACAGATAGCGACAGTGAGCTTATGCTCAACATCTTCGCCAATGAGCTCAACGAAACTGGAAAGGCTCGTGTCAATGAAGAAGATATCTTCAAGAGCTTGGAAAGAATGTATGGCAGATGTGTTGGAGGTTGGGCTTGCACGGCAATGCTAGCTGGTTTTGGCATTCTCGGTTTCCGTGATCCACACGGTATCCGTCCACTCATCATGGGCTCTCGACCATCCTCGACATCGGCTTGTGCTATGGATTATATGATGGCTTCTGAATCCGTCGCTTTGCGCCAACTCGGATTCTCGAACCTCGTTGACATTCTTCCTGGACAAGCCGTCATCATTAAAAAGAGTTCAGCACCGATTTTCAGACAAATTGTTCCACAAAAGAATTACGCCCCAGATATTTTCGAATATGTTTACTTCGCGAGACCTGATTCGATTATCGATGGCATCAGTGTTCACCGAAGTCGACAGGCTATGGGATTCAAGCTCGCTGATACTATCAGCAGGGTTCTTGGTCCAGAGGCAGTCAAAGAAATCGATGTCGTCATTCCTATCCCGGAAACTTCTAATACATCAGCTCAGAGTGTTTCGGAACGTTTAAACATCCCTTACTGCCAGGCTTTCGTCAAGAATCGTTATGTCTTCCGAACTTTCATTATGCCAGGACAAAGTGCCCGTCAGAAGTCTGTTCGTCGCAAACTTAGTGCAATGGAGTCTGAATTTGCCGGACGCACAGTTCTTTTGGTTGATGACAGTATCGTTCGTGGTACGACCAGTAGAGAGATTGTATTGATGGCACGTGAAGCAGGCGCAAAGAAAGTCATTTTCGCTTCCTCTGCTCCACCAATCACCCACGCTCATATCTACGGTATCGATCTTGCTTCACCTCAAGAACTTGTCGCACATAACCGTGATAGACATGCGATTGCTAAACACATCGGTGCAGAAGAAGTCATCTTCCAATCGTTGGAGGATTTGAAGGCATCGTGTGCGGAGCTTTCTCCTCGCGATCCGAAAACCCAAGAGTTTGAAGTCGGTGTTTTCTGTGGTACTTATGTAACACCGGTTCAGGATGGCTATTTTGAGCATCTGGAAAAAATGCGAGGCGAAACCCGAAAGATGAAGGTTTTGGAGAGTGCAAAGGAAGCTATCCTTCATGGCGTAGCAGGAGAGAATGAATTCAATCTCATTACTCAGGGAGCAGTAGTGGACTCGAGTGGTCAGGTAGTCCCCGATGACCACCAAGGCAAGGTCGTCAATGGGACTGAGAATGGCAATGCGAGACCCAAACTAGAGACAGCTGAGTCTGGTACGGCTCCTGTAAGGGATCGCCAAGATATTAGGTATTTTTGCTCGCTTTCCATGACTGATTCAAAAGACCATACTGACTCTGATAGTCTACATAATTTCGCGAGTGACGCCAACAGAGGTTATGATTAAAAATTCTTGTAATTTGGAACTATTCTCAAACCTGTGCAAACTTTAGAAATGTGGGATATATATGGCGTGGCGGTATGAACTTGAACATTTCAGCTAGTATAGAGGTTCGTTCATTCTCACATGCCATGGGTCAGTTCACGGGTACATTTACATGGAGGTCATAAGCCTAGGGACAAATGAATACAAAGATATTCTTCAGCTACAGCTAGCTACACTCACATCTTGTTCTTCATCCATGTGATGTTACGTTATCCGATATTTATGAAAGTACTAGGTAGGCGCTTTATTCTACTCCATAAAATACACAAATGAATATACGAGTAAAGATTGTCCGCAACTCTTTCTTCGAGAAACATTCACAGCAAAACTCTAATAACGCCTTTAGGCCAACAAGGCATGAACAACCCAAAAGATCTTAAATCTCATAAAGTACCAAGTGCAGACATCCGAAAACAACGGGCCACTAATACAAGAATTCATAAACGGCATACAAATATCTATCAGTGTCTTCCCTAGTGAGTTCATCTGGCCAAAGTTGACTGGAGTAAGTAACCCTGCAATGGCAGTCTATACAGTAGGTAGGTATATCTACATGTACATCTACATCGCAGGCAATATTGGTTGGTGTATGAACCGATACTGTATCGCAATGATATCACAATGACAATCATAGTCACAATGCCTTTTAGGTAAACTTATTAGCAATTTAGCTAGGGTATCGTCGTGTAGTTCAATTGAAAGTCTACAGTTAGCTCCATATGTATATGTGCTTGTAGAAGCCACCAGCAGCACCGACGCCGTAATCTACGCTTCTCTCTTGTTTTGTGAGAGTTTTCTTTGTAAATTGCGTGTTCAGTTCAGGACTTTCCTCTTGTTTTTGTTAGCTGCGGCGGTTCTGCATACATGTTGGTCTTGCTTGCACTTTGATTTTGATATTAATAGTAGTATCGGTAACCTACCTACCTGTACTACTTTCCCAAGTGGTTTTTGAACTGAATTGAGCTTCGTTTGTGGTTGTAGGGAATTCGGTGGAACCTGCCGTTAGTCAGAAGATAGTGTGAATAGCTATAGTTGTGTCTATGGGCTTCCTTTAAAAATTGTTGTAAGATCTCGACAGTAAGGCGTCTATTTTAAGAAAAGAAAAAAGAATTTCATCTTCAAATGATATGATGATGTTCAAGTCGGTGATGGAATCTTGTTACTTTACGTTAGTAATGCTCTGGATTATCAATGTTTGAAGCTACTTGGCAATACTCGTATTTAGTTCTCAGTCACTTATACGTATATAGACTTGGAATTTTGCAGATTTTAATTGGGTGCGGGAGTGGATATGGATTTATGGATAGAACGAACAGCTATTAGATGGCCTTGGCCTCTGAAATGTTCGGAGTTCACATGGAACGTGAGTGAATATTCATGCTAGTATATTCATCCATTCATTCATCTTAAATTCTAACAAGTCAATCTATTTCCTCCTAAAAGGAAACTCTACACCCGTCCTCCCGCCCCCACTAAAGCTCAAGCATCCATCCAACTCCTTAAACGTAGCGAGCGTAGCAAAAATAAAAGCGCTTCAATAGTCGGGCCTCCCTTGACAGACTTCGTGATACTTCCCACGCCCATCTCTTCCTGAATAGTTGGCCTCGCAAGAAAAAAAATTCGCTGCTTGTGGAAATGTGGAAATGCAAATTATCCAATCAGAGTCGAGTTATATAAGTGACAAATTAGGCTTCGAGGGAAGATAATAAAGGTATTGAGGTTGTGATTGTGGCTGTAGTGGGTATATATATCGGAACTGTATTTTCATTGCGTTTGTGTGCAGGTACGCTCGTCTCGACTTGTACCTTGAGATTCCATGTCAATGTTAGCGTAGTTCTCGCGGTGATTCATGATATTGATAAAAACATGACGTAGGAAAGTATCGGCAGACGTTTGAATCAACGACTGATGTTTTGAAAACATATTCAGAGTAAATGTGACAAACTACTTACATAAGTCATACCATCTTTGACAATACTGCTTGTTCTGACTGGGATCAATACTCTGCGTGATTCAAGACACTCGAGAACCTGGGACGGAAGAGCTTCGCAAAAAGCTTTATCTTTGTTGTAATCACGGCGTTTAATTAATGGAGCAATGGTAATGGTCGATGAGGCAAGTACAGGTGATCCGGTAATCGTCATCGTCTGGAAAGTTCGTGGTAGAGCTCGACTCAGCGGTGTTATCGCACTAGTACTTTTCAATTGTATCACATCACGAGGTGTGATTGTAACTGCGGTTTTCGTAAAGTAGATGGTAGATGCTGGGATGACAATGGTGGTTGTGGGGGTTAGGAATAGATCGGGAAAACTTGTATGCTTTGGGTTTTCATTAGCATATATGCAAGTACAGTAGTAGTATCAAATTGGGTGCATTGATTTACTAACTTCGGTGATAGGAGGTAGAGAAGTGAGAGTTTGAAATGGGACGATTTCTTTAGTTGTGATGGTGAAAAATGAACTCGGTTTCATCGACGCTACATTCCATCCTTCGTGTATACCTGGCGCAAATTTGCGAGCGTCGAGATGTTCTTCGAGGTTCGTATTTGGGTTCTCGCGTCGATCGATTGCAATTGCAGGTAAAGGTCTACTGGGAGGAGGGGGATTTTGCAGGTTTGGAGTTGCTAGCTTTGAAAGACTAACGTTAGTAAACTATAACTTAAGAGAATATCTCTAGGGGTCCCGCTTAGGAGTCTTAATGTCTATCACTTAAATGGAAGAGATCCGGTAGACTCGAATCTGTGTGACAGATTCGGGAAATTTAGTTACTTACATTAGACGGCAAAGCAAACACTGACGTGGGTCTAAACGGCTTGAAGTTTGATACAGTAGTAGGTTAAATGATTGGCTTTGTCTCGACATTAAACGCCAAGTCATTTTGGAAGCCGACAGTATCGGGTAGTCTGGAAGTTTGATGCCACACTAATGCTGCGGAAGAGCATGTAAAGATACTCAAAATAACGAGAGAGTGTGCAAGTGTGATATGCATGGCTAATTCGAGCGTTGTGTTCTCTTAAGTATGGTAGGGAGTTATCAAATGGAATGGAGTGAGTAAAGTATTCTTAAGAATGGAGAGATTCTAATGTTTGAATAGAAGATGTTGAACGAGGATAGTGAGTGGTTTATATTCCAACTTTATATGTTTGAGGAAGTATCAATATATGACCATGGAAGATGCGTACTGAACATTAAGATCAACAACCTAAGCACCGATGATTGAGGATACGAAGTCTCGATGCTAAACTGGTGTTTGTTGGTACCTATTCATAAGCTTCTGAGCCATCATAATAATAGATAGTTGGAAAATGAATCACTTCAGAAACAATGGTTTCGATTCCAGCATGATTTTGTACTTTGCCACAGTATATGTGCGCTTAACAAACCAGTGAGGGACATCAGACAAGGTGCAACCCTAAATTGACCTCATATGTGCCTCCAACATGCTTCTGACAGTAGCTTAGTTGTAAGTCAAAACATAACAAAAATGTGATCAACATAAATCGAAGTAAATGAGGCTGAGCTTTTGAAGACTGTTGGAGGCTTAAAATAAAATTGCTTGCAAGTGTTGGTTTTCATAGACGTCGCATACAAACAAACTGTTGGTACACAGAACATGGCTATGATCTAGTCTTAGCTCAACAAAGATACATTCTTGATCATGATGCTTCGTCAGGAACAATTTCTACCTTTTCAGAGTCTTTGAAGTACATCGATCAATACAATGGAGATGTTGATGATATATTGTGATGGAGTGACAGAGAGAGTGGGATTTATTTAATTTGATTTGTACCAACCTAGAGATCAGGGGTAACTAGAAAGAAGTTCCCGAAGCATATACTGATTCCCTCTTGAACAAGAGACACGGATTTGGAGGAGGTAGGCCCTCATTCCTTTCCATGATTCCGAGCATGCCTTCTCAAGGAAGATGTATATATATACGCAGCAATGCTCGTGTTATGTCTTCCAGCTTGTATATTGCACTCTATAGATGCACAGCAGTTCAACTCACCAAAATTCCCAGCTTGCTCCCTTAGAGTCTAAAAAAGTCAATTCACCAAAAAGCACCTGTACATTTCTCTCCACAAATTGTCCCATTTGCTTAATGACGTTTCTTCCAATGGAGCCTCGAAACGATCTAGGTGATTGGGAACAAAAATCAAGAAACATTACAGCTATTCGCAACTCAGTTATGTACTATCGCCATGACTGGTCCAAGTATCTGGAACCATTTACCATTGAATTTCGCAAAGTCTTTATGACAAGCCGTTTCGCAGCATACGACATAGCCCCCCGGTTACAACTCTTACAGGAAAGGCCATCAGCGGAGGCAATATCGGTCTTGAGTATGAGTCTCAGAGACGATATGTATTTGTTCCAGGGAACTACTACCCCTGGGCGAGATTTACAACAGTATTATCTCACTTTATTTACCCGCAGTATTTCGGGCTTTCAAGCATCAAGTGTTATTATAAGGGAACCACGGCCTGTAAGTATCCAAAGAGTGTTGTTTTTCCTATGAAACAGATAACAAAGTCATCATTCCCGTGCTTATACTCATAAGCCATAATAAGAGTAAAGATCAGATGTGTTAAGGGACTTTCCTTGTATCCTACAATACTTTGTAGATGGAATCTACGCCACTATTACCTGTATGAAAAATAGACATTGCTTGGAACAAGAACTATAAGGAAACAAAACATACAGTAACATAATAACATACGGATGTTCTGCAATCCTCATCTTGCTAGTTTTTGAATCTACTACAAGCATGGTACTCTATGGGACTGCCCACCGCAGAGAGATCTGAATGGATATCGATACCAATCACAACAAAAATCGCAGCAAACCAAACATACATCTCAAAAGACTACCCAATTTAGCAACACGAGGGCCCCTCGGTCCGTAAGCATTATTGCATTCAGCCTGAATGAATCTCTGCAATGTTCCAATGATGTGGTGTGCGGAAAGTTCCGTGTCAGAACTCAAGTAGCAGGGATGAAGCTTTCCCCAGAAATCTATTGGACCCATCACAACCATCAAATTCACCTCTTTTTCCTCTTTCGAGGTTGTTGTTCTTAGGAGAGATGTTATGAGAGAGCTAGTTGATATTTGGGTGATATGATCTAACCTTCTAGATCCTTTTGGTGATTGAGTTCTGTGTGGAATACCTTCATTTGGAAATAGGCACTCTGTTGGCAAGCACCACCTTGCTGTCCCGTTTGCAGACAGAACCATAAGGAAAATCTACCACTATCGCATAAGTGGAATCAACAAAATGGAAGGAAAACAACCCCTCGCAGATGGTCCATTTGCAGGTTGGATACACGGAGATGTGTAAGTTTGGTGTTCTGTTTGCAGAGAGATCTTGGGCATCATTGCTAACCGTGTCTGTTTGTATAGCGAAAAGCTCATGTTCACATTGGCAGCAGGAGCTACAGTATTTGTCGGATGTCTTCTCTATGGAACAATTCGAATCACGGAATGGTATAATGCGGAGCCAATCATGCACTATTCGATTGCTGAACTTAATGCACCGGAGGAAAAGAAGATATTAGAGAGCCCAAGCATAAAGGTTGGTGAAAACGCAATTGAATCGGGAGCAGTCATTCTGATAACATATAGGCCTCGGACACTTCAGATATTCAATGTTATGCTCCAGCAACTGGACAGTTATTAGGATATGTCACTCCTTCAACCACCGAAGATGTTGATCGAGTGATAGAAAAGGCGCATGTCGCACAGAAGAAATGGGCAAAAACTACATTTACTCAAAGACGTCAAGTCCTACGATCTATGATGGCATACATATTGGACCACCAGGAGGAAATTTGCAAGGTCGCATGTTTGGATTCAGGCAAAACTATGATTGATGCAGCATTGGGAGAAATTCTAGTGACAGTTGAGAAGCTGAGCTGGACTCTGAAGCATGGTGAAAAGGCATTAAGTCCTTCTCGCAGACCTACCAACTTGCTCATGATGTACAAGAAGAACACGGTTCATTATGAGCCCCTAGGAGTTGTTGCTGCTTTGGTCTCTTGGAATTACCCCCTTCATAATTTGCTTGGTCCGGTTATCTCTGCGATTTTCTCTGGAAATGGAATTGTGGTGAAGGCATCGGAGAATACTGCTTGGAGTGCACAGCATTTCTCTCTTATCGCCAGAGGAGCATTGTATGCATGCGGTCATGATTCTAATCTAATTCAAGTCGTGACGTGCTGGCCAGATACTGCGAATCATCTTACATCTCATCCTAGAATCTCCCATATCACTTTCATCGGTAGTCGATCTGTCGCCAAATTGGTAGCAGCAGCCGCAGCCAAACCTCTCATCCCAGTTGTCGCTGAGCTTGGAGGAAAGGATGCAGCAATTATCATGAATTCCGCAGTCAAAGACCTTCCACGTATCACCGAGATTCTCCTTCGAGGCACGTTCCAAGCAGCCGGACAAAACTGTATTGGCATCGAACGAATCATTGGTCTTCCAGACGTTTATGACAAACTTGTCGCAGCACTTGAACCCCGGATTCGAGCTCTACGTGTTGGTTCTACACTTGATGCCCCAGCAGATGCGCCAGTAGATGTTGGAGCTGTCATTTCCGATGCTTCATTTGACCGACTTGAGAAATTGATTGCCGCAGCTGTCTCAGATGGAGCCCGTCTTCTGGTTGGCGGCCAACGATTCAACCACCCGATCCATCACTCAGGTCATTACTTTACCCCAACTCTGATTGTCGACGTCACTCCCGAAATGGCTATTGCTAACGAAGAATGCTTCGGACCCATCTCCGTCGTCATGAGAGCCAAGAATCCCGAAGATGCATGCAACATCGCAAATCACCCCAACTTTGGACTCGGCGCCTCAGTCTTCGGATCCAAAGATTGGGAACTCAAGGCCATCGTCAATAACATCAGGTCGGGTATGGTAGCCATCAATGATTTTGGTGCATACTATGCAGTTCAGCTACCTTTTGGTGGTGTAGCTGGTAGTGGATATGGAAGATTTGCTGGTGAGGAGGGACTGAGAGGTCTGTCTAATATTAAGGCTGTCTGTGAAGATCGATGGCCATGGTCTCCGGCTTGTACAGCTATTCCTCCACCGTTGAGATATCCGATTCCGGACACGATGAAGGGCTACGCGTTTACGAAGGCGATTATTGATATTGGGTATGGGGTTGGTGTGGCTGGTAGATGGAGGGGTGTTAAGGGTATGTTGGGGTTAAAATAATGGATCGTGATGTGATGATTGAGATGCACGTCACTGGCAGCAGCATGGTTGAAAGAAACCGAAATGTGTTTGATTTTTGGTAAAGAATTTAGCGGATATCATATACTCGAGTACAAGGTGCCTTGTAAGTTGTTGCAAATAGTTGGTTGGTTAGCATGTATGTATGTAATCTCACAATCGGATAGGATAGGACAGGATAATTTCCTTCCAGTTCCAGTTCTTCGAGTGGATGTTAGAGATTGAAGAATTGAAAAATCGAATATATTCTTGAGAATTAAAATATGAAAATAACATACTCGTCGCACTTGTACACCGGTGCAGTATCAGTATCAAAATCCAATTCCATTCAACTTAAACACCTATTATTCCTATAAAAATACTAGTACAGATTAGAGAGTGATTGATAGATTTGAGTTTTGAATACGAGTACTGTAGGTAGGGTATTTTCTGCGTTTGTGCGGAGAGGATATTTATTGTTTATTGTTTATTGAATATCATATGTTGTTGATGTTTTGCTAGGTCATTCGTACTAGGTCACTAATAGCTCACCAATATCTAATGTATGAAGTTTCCATTTCATTCAATGAAATGTACAGCTTATGTATGATGTATGATGTATGTTCTCATTTATTTCATCTGTACCAGTTATCCCACTTATTCCATGTATCCCATTTATCCCATTTATCCCATTTATCCCAGTATGCCCAGTATTCCCATATCTCCCGAAGTGCAATCTCTGCCAGTAAATGAAAATGGGCATCTCAGCTAAAATGCAAATATGCCACTTTCCTATAAACTCCGATGTGCTAGCGAATAGCTAGCGATGAGCTCTAAATTTGCAGATGCTTCCTTTCTTATGCGTATCATATGTATTCCATTCCAATATGTTCAGTGTGTGGATGCTTCTTCTGGTTATGTCGATCATGGCGAGAAGTCTTCTGAGTCGGTGTGGATATTAGATGGAGGATCATTGTCTGGGGACAGTCCGGTGTCTTCCTCCGATTCATCGTCTCCTTCCATCTCATTGTCCACATCCAAATCCATCTCTGATTCCTCCTCACTATCCTCGGCTTCTCTCTTCCTCTTCTTCGAACCATTCGCAAGCTTCTTTATACCCTTCTTGACAACCACCTTCCTGCTAGCCTTGTAGCCTGGTTGCTTCTTATCTCCAGTTCTGTTAACCAAATGCTCAATCGGACAAACAGTGCTCTCCCATTTCTCAGAGCCCTCGGATGTGTTGGCTCTGCAGCGCGCACAAGTCTTCCCATGTCGGAGAAACAATTGATGAAGTGAGTACTTGAGATGATCTGGAATTCGAACTTCGCAATGACTGAAAGTTTGGTCCCGACTTGCTCCCGTTGGGACCCAGCCGAGCCACTTGCAATGGCGCCAAACGTGAGTATCAACTGCAAAGCTGGGTTTTCCCATGCAAAACAAGATGACACATGCTGCGGTCTTGACACCAATACCGGGCAAATCTGTCAACACCTGCATCGCACGTGGTTTGTCCAATGCGTGAATATGGTCGATCGAGAGCATGTTTTCTCCCAAGCTCTTGATCTCAGCCTCCTTTTGCTCCTTGGTTTCCAAGATCTTTCCAATGAATGGGACAGAAACATCGGTATCAGCTTCCTTCAATAAACTCTCTAGAAGCTCGGCGTTTTGATCGAAGACTTTCTTAAGAATTGCCTTGATGTATTTACCTTTGACGTTGGCAAGGCCGCCTGACCTAATGGCCTCAACGACGTCTTCTTCTGTCGCAGCATGTACAGCCTCCCATGACACACTACCTGTACCCTTGCCAGATGTTCTCAGACCAAATCTCTTCTTCAAGCCTGCCATTGATTTGTTGGCGTTGCCAGCGGTGGTTGCGGCGCTGAGGAGGGTTCTCATAGTTGCGTCGAGAGCATCTGGAACCTCTCCACATCCGGTGACAGTCTCGGATGGAGCTGGAACTGTCTCTGGTGTCTTTACATCACCATGTTGAGCAGCTAGCAGGCTGTTCACCATCTCGGCTTCTTCGGTAGTGGGCGAGACATGATCGGGGAAAGGTGATTGACCTGGAACGAGGCCATATCTATCCTTCTTTGTCTTGACAGGCTTACTGGGGGATTCCGTAAGATCGGTGGATGTGGCGACAGCCTTCTTACGTGGTGATTTCTTCTTAGGCTTCTCTTCTTTGATTTCTTCTTTGATGGCCTCCACAAGATTGGTGGTAAATGGATCAGCAAGATCAGCTACATCTGGCTTTTCCTCATCCTCGTCTTTAACAGTAGCAGTTTTAACAGCAGCCCTGGTAGCTCTGGCTCGTGTAGCTCTCTTGGGAACAGTGGTAGTGGTCTCCGTGCCAGTATTACCGAAATTGTCGTCCAAGAGGTCACCTTTTTTGCCCATTCCATGAGGCAAGACGTCCCAACCACCCATAACTGGCTCGGTCAGCTTTGCCTTCTTCTGGGGTGGGACACGCTTTCGAGTTTTGGTGGGGGATCCGGTGGCGACATTTTTGTTGAGGTCTTGCTTGTCATCAGGAGTGATTGGTGGAGAAGAGAGGGTTGCTGCAGCTAAGATTTGAGCAGCGGCTGCAGCTGCGTTGGTGGCGGCGCGAGTGGTCATGTTGGGTTTGATTTTACTGCGAATTGGATACAACTGGATCGAATGGCAGTTGAGAGATGGGACAATGATAAGTAGCTTGAAAAAGAGAATAAGTAATAGAAAAGAGTAAATTTAAATCAGTTCAATGGATCGATCTGTGAAAGACAGGTAAGAATTGATGGTTGTAAGATCGAAGGAAAGAATGGGGAGGTTGAAGTTGAAAAATGGAAATTAGAAACCGATTGAGGTTGAGGTGGAAGGCGACAATTTGACGATTGAGGTATAGCCACTAATCCAAATCTGGATAGTATAAGCAGTGATCAGCGTCAGGGTAGTGTCAGGGATGGTGTCAGGTACTAGTGCGGGGTAATCTTGAGTTGAATCGGGGTATCTTCGGGATAACTTTGTGATACTGATTTTTATGGGAAACGTTGATAGGAAAGTAATTTGAGGGGAATTTCAAAGAGAAAAGCTTCAAATGAACAGTTGGGGATATCCAATTCACCTCTATTGAGTTCTCTCTATATATATGTATATAGATAATTATTAAGTAAAGAGTGAAATGAACTATAGACCTATTCACCAATTTTGTATGATGTGAAAGAGAGATAATTCACCGAAAGTGGTTTGTTTCTTGATATTCATTCATTTCAGTACATTACAGTTAATCAACTAACTTGCATAACCGAATTAGTCACTAAGCCGAGATATTGAATATGTCTACTGTTTGGAAGGAATCTGAGGTTCTAAGAGACTTCTGGAGTAACCTCAGAAATTTCATATCTTCTCTTCTTTGAATCTAATGTAAGATTACTACCAAAACAAAGTGTTTGAATATCCAACGTCATGTTTAGACATTGACACATTGGAAGTGCCATTTAGGAAACTTCTAGAAAGATAAATATGAGACTTTTGATAGAGATACCTATAGTAGAACTATCTAGAACTCTCAGGCAAGCACTGAAACAAAGACTCAAGGGACCACTCAAACAAGCATATACCATTAAACAACTCTATAACTAACTACATATAAAAATGCTCCAAACAAATACTCATTATCAACCAAGTAATAAATGACTTTAATAACCTCCAATTTCCCAATCCATCACTCCCAACGAAATATAACATAACATACCATCTCAACACACAACAAAACCAAGATCAGACATTGGAGTTAAATCTTCCTCTATTAAACGGTCCTAGAAATCCATCACCCTAGGTATATTCAATCTTCAGATACTGTAAGATCTTCAAACAACAATTAAGTATCGAGGACTGAGTACCAGTACCGAGTACCGATTACTCCTTCTACTCATAGATCAACCGAGTTCCCAAACCCATCTATCCCATCTAACCCATCTAATCCATCCAACAAACCACACTCTCAGATCAAACACCGATATCAAATGACATGCATCTCGTACATATATTGTATCATATATTAATACCCAGCCCCTCTCTTCTTTTCCCCTTATACATTCAAACACCACATTCTAGTTGAAAATCAATCAAAATCAAACTCATACCGGTATTGAATATTCTCTTTCACCAAATTTTCCATTTCCTAGCATTTGGATTGTTGAATGAATCAGGTAGGAACTGGCTATTGATATGATACTAGCTGAGTAAAAATATTCAAGACCCCCGCGCCTTACTTACTCAATATGCCTTACCTCTAACCCCGCTTTTACCAAGCGATCTTAGCCACAGCATAATATATAGCGCATTGTCATCATCATAATTAAGATCCTTCAACTCTCGAGAAGTAAAAATGAGCAGGAATACAACGGCGCCAATAAAAGCGCTGAGCACAGAGCAGGAATAACTGTAATTAGATATCGAATCAACAAACAGATATGAATTCCTTAGAATTTGTAGATATCGATTTTAGCATCTAAGGGATCAAAGTACCTTCAGAGAATGAGGTCATTGGATGACATGGAGTATAAATTTAGAATGGCGAAGAGGACAGACGGCATTACCGATATTTTCCCACCCGGTAACTCCTGTAAACACGAGGCATTCTGATTTTGATAGAGGGAAATGGAGATATGTGAAGATGCTTGGAAAAGTTTAAAGAACGGATCAAATTAAAGGTGATGTGGACCGGATCACTGAATCGTCCTGTGGTCACATTCCTGTTCAGATCCTATATAATACCTTTGCCTAACTCAAGATCTGTTTTAAGATTAAGTCATTTGAACCCGTTACAGTCACATTCTCGTTGTAGTTTTGCGATTGGGGAGAGGCTATTGAACGAAATTATGTTTGAACGAGATTATGTTCACAACTACCTTTACCACAAGTAAAGAAGAGGCAAGGAGACGGAAAGGAAAATTATCGAGTAAACTTTTCGGAGTGAAGGAGAGAAGTAATATTTCACGTGAGTCTCGGCCTAGAGCCGGATGAATCGACTAAATTTGCACTCAACTTCAGTTTCATAGTTACACTTGCTCAAGGATACCGAGATTTTGCTTCGAATTGTTCAGAGGAGACATTGAGTATTCCCAACGCATTACTCAAGTATTATGCTCTCGCTTAGTACAACAATTTCTAGTCTCGTTTGCTGTAAAACATAGAACCTGCCCCTTTTTAATAGTTGGCTCTCCATGGATCGGCCATCTGGTTCTCAGTCGGGGAAAGCGATAGTCCTCTGCAAGCGATGGTCCACCTTTCATTTGTAGTAAATGAAGTATATTGAAGAAGTAATAAGAAATAATATTTCACAAATTATTAAATAATTTTGTTGAAGGTTTTGTGTATATAATTTAATATTGTAAGGCGGCCGATTCATAAAGAGCCGACCATTATTACCCCTACGATTAGACACCACAGAAACTGTGTTTGGGAGTATCCAGTCTTTTATCGATCGCTGAACCAGGTTCAAAAGTGTTTCGAGAACGCCGAAAATCACTCTCGAGGTCATCCGTCTCGATCATGATGCCACACATCCACTGACCAACACCGAGTAAATCATAAGGATTTATATTGTGGGAAGTGAAACGGTGGATTCGTTGATCATGCTCCAAGAGCTTGTAACATAATTGGGGGGAGGAAGGTAAAAGCTTTCTTGGAACGAGCTCAGTTGAGAACTCCTCGGTGTGTCAAATGTATCAAATCCCTTGTAGTCGTCAAGACCAGCCTTCGAGCTGCCACTTGATATGGATGGACCACAACACATGTCATGATAATTCTCACAATCTTCGAATTGAGGATCGAAAAGCTCAAAATCCATGAATCTGAATCCGGTATCGAGGGTGATCGGGGCATCGAACAGTTTTAGAGAGGATATCGGTGGTGATTCTACTCCTTTAACGCTGTGTTCATCTGTGGGCACATAACAATCAGCATTTCGCTGGCACATCAATGTGAAGTATGACTTCATACCATGCGCCTCCATCTCGGAAGTATCACTCCCATGCCAGCAACGCTCTTGTTCAGAGCAACCAGTGAAATCAAGAACTTGGGCTGATATGTTTTCTTGAGGGGATCCGCATTTGAAAATTGGAGATGGCAAGACGGATTGCGTTGATAAGTCTTCAGCATTGCTGTCTTTTGGTCGGCCTTGGGTATATTCAGAACACGGAGATGCTTGTTTGACTTGTAGTAACTTTGGATAATATTTGCGACAAGGATGAGAGTCCCTATTAACTTTGGACATATTGAACAAAACTTGAGTTACTTGAGACTTCATTCGAGATTTGCCTAGAGTAAGTAGAATCACCAAGGCAGTATGCGTAAGAGGCTGCTTTTGTAGCCATCCTGCCTCTTGTAGATAACGCAGAAAGTGACTGGTAAGCTGGTGGTCTTCTCTTTCCAAGGCACATATCTGCGAGCGGTCTTATAGCTAACTTGTAACTTACGAGATGTCCGAATTGTGTTATGTGAGGTTGCTAATAAACGGCGGGGTCTTATATTGTGAGGCGGATGTTATTATGTAATAAGATTTTCACTAAAGCTACCCCTATTTGTCTACTAAACTCGTCTCCCTATCAATCATTCATATGCGTGTGGTTAATAGTTAACAGCGTGAATTTATCATCACTGTCAAAGTTACGCGGTGTCCAGTTATGGTTTAGCGTATGAGAATAATTCCCAAGGTTTCTCAAGACCGCCTTCGCTTTCTTGCATTGAGTTCCAGCACCCTGGTAATCCGCGGAAGAGAAAATGTAGTTTGCAGAAGACTTCAATCTGTTTGCAATGATACCATTTCAAAGACATTCAAAGACAATTTTGCTATCTATACAGCACATTTTTTTAGTTCCTAAGCTGCGAACCGAGATTAGGGTGGTTGACTCGACCTATTCTAGCAAGAATCCTCGGTCTCACGTTGTATGAGGAGCTGCTACACTCACGTGATTGACCTCCTCCAGCTGTCTTCTCTCTCAATTACTCTTCCTTATCATGGACGACTTTGTAGATATCTCTGGAATTGGTAAATCTACCAGAGCTATCATTCGTATACGCTAATTTTTATAGATATGAATAACAATTCAAATCTCTCTATCTATATCCAACTGATTACCTTTAGGAAAGGCTCGGTGGAAGAGATATCCATTGATGTACCAGAAGATTGTCAAGTCGAGACTGCTCGGTGTCTTTCTAGGCGTCTGAATTTTCGATGTCGCTATGAATATGATACTCGCAAAGCTATTATCACTCGGAACTCATCTCTTCATAGCCTGGAATTACCAGATCTGAATGATTTTGAAGTTGATATGCAAGGATCGTTCTATGATGACTACATTGATACAGGAGATACGGATATGGATATGGAGGTCTCCACATACCAGAATGTTACAACGCCTCTACCTGAAAGCTTTGGCGATTTTGAGGCATCTGAGCACAACATTGGTTTTTCAAATGAGCTATTCGCTGACATGCCAATGAATCTGGACGACGCTATATTCGGCGATTTGATAAATGGCCTACAAAGTGAAAATGATGATGGTGATACACTACCGGACTGGAGTGATCTGGTGAATATTGCGGACCAACACGGCTTTGACCTGGATGCCAACATGCTTGAAATCACTCAACTCGACGACGATGGTTTTGACGATGAGCCTAGTTCATGCGAAACTGTTCAGTTGGCAATAGATACCCCAATTACCACTGTGGCTCATAATCTTATAAATGAGATGACATCTTGGACAGAGTCACCTCTGGCCCCTGTGGCAGTATTCGACGTACCAACACCTCGACCCCTTAGTCGCGCAGAGTCGATTAAAAGTATGCCGGCCGGGCACTCACAGTCACAAATAATAGACATTCTCGTCAAGCCTAGCCTGAATCGAAGCGAATCTAGCTTCAGCAATACACCGTCAAGCTACCAAGAGGGCGTTTTTAGTTCTACGCCTGGTCTTTCGAGTGTGCCAACAACTTATGGATCTTCACCTCGTCGAATGGGTCCTTTAGATGCTGTCACTCGCGCCAAAGCAAATTCAGTAAAAGCTATAGGAGCATGTTGGAGGTGCAAGTTTCTACGAAAGCCAGTAAGTCTCCTGATCTACTATCTCAACTCCTCTTCAGGGAACGATACCCAGTGGTAGGGTCATATTTCCCCCTATATATATAAGACTTGTCGGCGTGTTTTCGCGTCAATCGTTGCCAGACTTGATACTTTGCTCAATGTTACAACAAGGACGTGCAACGCAACGCGAGTATAACGCGAAGAAGGCTACTCGTTTTCGTTTGATTGATATATACGGAAGCGGTTCTACACACCCACCAGTTATTGATCAAGTCAGACTACAGATATTCAAATAGATAGCTGACAATTTGTAGTGCGATGCGCAAACATGTTGCAGCCAGTGTCGAGGAAAGCAAGGTGGTCCATGGCACAGCATTGGTTGCAAACGAAGCGATATTAAAAACAAAATGCTTCCGATATCATTATGTCCCAAGAAAATTGTTGGATCATCGCATTCATCTGCAATAGCAGATGATTACAGACCTTGGATAAACGCAAATCATTCATATTTGGAGATACTCGAGCAGCGCGAGAATTACTTAGTCCATGGCATTATGAGTGCTTCTAGCCCCACGAAAGTCGACAAGTTCCTTCAGGATTTGGAAACCGGTAAGCCGCTACTTGTTGGACTACAACGAACTCGATTGCCCTTGCTAGGGAGACCCAACAAAAGTGCGCTAGCTGTTTTAAAACCACTCGATGACTGTATTCTGACTATCCTTTGGGGACTTCTCGAATGTGAAAGTGCCCAAGAAGCAATTCGTTCTTGGATGAATCTGCATAATGGAACCCTAGGAGATTTCATAATACTGCTAAATTCCGCTGCTGTATACCAAGCAAGTGTTAGAAGTGTAAGTAGTACAGATCATATCCCTTATAGCCTAAGCTCATGTGAATATCTAGAACCAACTGATTGCTTACTCACTTACTTGCCTCCGTTCTTGTATCGAAGCTCTACACGACAATGCATCAGGAGGCTTGGGGGATTCACATGAAGCATGTGAACTATTCATTTGTAAGGTCGATTGTGTACGAAATATCGAATTACAACTAGAGCAGTATCTAGACGAACTGTCTCGAGTTACTTTTCTGAAAGAAAACATGCGGAGTCGGATCTGGTGGCTGTCAACATTCTACAGCTTTTGTATCCAAGGGGTCATTCGACAGGCATTGATATTATTATCCTCCAATGGCCAGAATGAGGTATCAAAATCCGAGGAATTAGGCTCCGCACAATATCTATACATTGCGATCCGACTATTCACTGTGAGTTCCGGTAACCATGATCCATTAATTCGAGACTGGTCCTCCGAATTTGCGTTTTCATCCCTAGACGATGAAGCACCAAGAATCGAAGATTATCAAAATGCCCAATCAGCGATCAAGCAATCTGATTGGAGACTCAAAGGTATCAAAAAATCGGGGAATTACCTGAAGAATCTGTTCGAAGACAATGGAGGTACTCTCACAGAAACTGAGAACGAGTATCCGAATTTCAGAATTCTACCTGAGCCATATCTTCCAGAAACATTTACTCTAGAAACATGTCGACAACTTCGCGCCGATTGGGATTTGGCTCGATGTAATTATACAAAGGATATAGTGCACGTCGTCAAGCATCATGGGCATGATTCGAAGGCGTATACAGATGCCGAGGGAAAATGGACATTCGTGGAAGCGGAGTGGAAAAGATTTAGTGATGAAACTATTTCGAACACAGTCACCAATGTGCACAATGGCTGCGCAACGCCGAGATCCTCAACTGACAGTCATGCTTCACCTCAGGTAAGTTTATATCCTACAGATCTTAACTGAGGTGTTGCGTTCATTGACACGGTAAAGTAAATTAACCAGTGATAGAACGTTGACCTACCATGTAGACCCAAAAAGAACATTAATTATGCATGCAAACCACCGTCAAGCACACCAGCTTCCACATCAAAACCACTAAGACTCGACTCCCTCTTCACATTCATCATCCCCTACCTTCCCTCACTTCTTCCGCCCCTTCCCCGGCCATCCTCCCCACCTCCTTCAGAATCCTCACACCTCACACCAGAGCCCCCAAATCGAAATCGAAATCTTTACTATCCTTACTATATCCGCCACCCCCCTTTCCAAATCTCCCCTTCAGACTTAGATCCTGTTGCTCAAGAAGGCTACTGCGGCTACTGTATTCCAGGCCGCTGGCTTTCACTCGATGGCCCGTATCAAGATGATAAGGATTTTAAACACGGGTCTCTGCGATTACGGGGGGAAAAGTCGAGGGGCCTAGGTGTATTGGGAAGGTAGAGATTGAGGTCGATGATGGTGATGGTGAGACTGAGGTTGATGAGGGGACGACATCCCTGCGAGACCCTCCGCTAGAGAGAAGAGTAAAGATAGACGAATGGGGACTATGTGAAGGGTGCGGTGAGTGGGTTCCATTGGGGATCAGGGAAGGGAATGGGGAGGAGCTGGGCTGGTTCGTACATGTTTTTGGGTGTTATTAAGTTTGGGTTTGGGGAAATCGCATGTATGGATGTATGGATGGAATATATGGGATGAGATGAGATAGAAGCGAGAAGATCCCAATGTCTCGGGAATTTTCGCGTAACGTTGATACCAGCGGGGATGGAGCGATTTGTTCGGTTAATGATATAATGATATATGGAGATGAGATGAATAATGAGTAATGAATATCCTGTTTCGTCTGAGATGATATGAAATACGATGCGATACAAATAGTATTAGCGCGATGATAAATGATAAGATCCTACATTTACAAAAGATTTTATGGATATATAAAAATGTATGGATTTCGAACCAGATGTTACCAAAGCCCACTCACTAACTATATCAAACATGAGATCTAAACCCACTCGAGTTCAAATACCACAAACTCTAAACATATCCTCCCCATGAGCTTCATATAGTAGCAATCCTCAGTCCTCAAACCTTCATCCTCAACTACTGCACATCAACTCCCAAACCCCAACTCCCAGTAAACCGTTCAGCTACCTCTATCCTCTATCCCTCTCTCTCTCTCTCTAAAGATTTACATCAATAATCCCCCGGGCTGACGAGCTTTCTTTATTCCTTACTTCCTTACTCTAGTTTCGTCTCCTGATTAGTTTTTCTTTTGGGGGAGCGGGGAGGGGGGTCAGGGGTTTATAGGGCTTTTTATTGTGTATATGAGAATGGGAGTATGTATAGGAGTAGAGTAGGAAGATATAGGAGGATAGGAGTATAGGAGTAATAATGGTGTAGGAGTATACGAATGATGGTATGTGAATGGTGTTATGTTAATGGTGGTTTGATCATTTGACAATGGCTATTTATGTATATCTCATCAACCCGTAGGTGGGTGGGTAGGTAGGTATGGAGTTAGGTAGGGAGTTGCATATGCATATTCCTCACCTCTTCCCTTCCCTTCCCTTCCCTTCCCTTCCCTTCCCTTCCCTTCCCTTCCCTTCCCTTCCCTTCCCTCTACCCGTTTGGCATTCAACGGTCATTCAAGATTCGTGATAGCACTAACAGCCAACAGTCAACAGCCACAGAAACAGAGTAAAGCAAAGTAAAGTAAAGAATCTCATAGCCATCAACAAACTCATAACCGAGAGAGGAGTCTCATGATATCATATCTCGCTCATCTAATCTAATCTAATCTAAGAAACCAAACCAAACCAAACCAAACCAATATTCGCAAGTTCTTACTACGCTTTTGTAAGACTTTTGGACGAAACCACTCCTAACACCTTCATTTTCATACACATATTCATACAAACATCCAATATCCTTAACGCCAGCCATCCATCCATCCATCCATCCGTATATCCTATACGCCACCCTGTCATTTGAGAAAAGCTCTAATCTCTATGTATCAGGAGCGGTATCTGATCCCTTTTTCGTGTGTCCATGCCCCGCACTTCTAGCTGCCATAGCCGCAGCCTTCTTTTCCGCGTAAGTAGCTGTTTGCACATGAGTTGCTGCACCAGCATCATGAATGGATTTTCTCTGCTGCAATACTTTTGCCCTAATGTCTTCCATCGCACTCCCCCTTTCCTCCTTCAATCTCCTCCCCCTGTCTCTTCTCCCTTTATCCATCTCCAGTGCCTTCGCTTCATCCTCCGATACTCTCCAATTTCGACCCCGCGTTCCACTTTCTCCCCACATACTGACTCGTTGGACTTTCTTCAGTTTAGATATTCCGTAGAACCATACTATTGCGGCGAAGATTCCGCACCAGGCTGATACACCTAGGAAACCGAAATCGGCTTCTTCGATGTGGTTCTTCAAATTCATGCCATAGAGGGCAGCGATGAACGCGCCGGAACCCATACCGAGCGTACCAATGGAAATTTTGAGTTCGAGAAGCATAAGGGAATTGCGGTTAGCGTCGAGGATGGCTTTGACTCTATTGATTTTTAGATTAGTACATGTAAATGGGGACAAAAAGGAGGACTGTAAGCATACATTTCTTCCGTGTTCCTAATGTTAGAAACCAAATTCCCGGATTCCTGAACAATTTCGTCACAAAGCTTGTGGTAGGATTCTAACAACATCTCGACTTCCGTATGATCGTCCTCTCCTCTCTTCAGATCATGATCCTTCTCAGTAAGATACATAGCAGCCAGATCATCATCCGCCTCCAATAGCTCATCAATTGAATCTCTGACTAATTTTGCCTTTTGTTCGAATGTGCCGAGTTTCTTGGAGTAAATGAGAAGGTAGCGGAGCTTATCTCGATCAATATCCTCTTCTAACTCTTTCAAAACTCTAACAACTGGTTCCCGGACTGTCTCGAACTCCTTTTCCAAGCCAGATGTAACCGATATAAGGACAGCTTCGAGGGCGCGGAATTCGTATGGAAGGCCACCCGCAGATGGAGAAGTTTGCTTTTGGCGCAGCTTCCCTTCTAAATCATACATGAAGAGGGATTGTGTATAGGAATCGGTAGAGCCATAGGCGTCGAAAATCAAAACTCTATTGGATTTTATAAGGACTCGAAGGTGGAGAAGGTTGATGAGGATAGCTGAAGGACGAACAAGTATATGCGGAAGCGTACTGGAATCGATTTTGCGGAGATCTCGAGGAAGTAATCCATACTATATGCAAGTCAGTAATGCCAAAACCAAAAAGTCTGAGAGAGAAGACGCCTTGCCCCACCTTAGCAATAAGCTCGCTCTTCTTAAATTCTCCATTTACAAGAACCACATTCCCACCCTCATCTAGCTCTGTGCACCGCAGACGAGGCTCGCTGGCAGCCTTCACAGATACGGAACGTCCTAGACTGGACACGTCCATATCTCTTCCATCCTCACTACGACTTGGTAGGTCGTCCGGTTGTAATGGTTTCCCGCCCCTCCTTGAAGACCAAAGCTTAAACGGCCATCTCCTAGTGTCTGTAGATATCCCGCGGCTTGTCTCTGAGCGACTCTGGCTCGCAGATCTCTTGCTCGGTACAGTAGTCCGTCCGAGTTGAGGGGAGTTACTTGTCGAATTCGCTGTGACCAACCGCGGTCCCAAGACATACAGATTCGGGTGTCCAGCCTCTACAGTTGTGCCACGCGGTAGTGAAGTAGAAAACGGTCTCCGGCATGGCCTCGAAGGATAAATATACCCTACGCCAGAAGTCGTGATATGGGGTGCATGATCGAAGAAGTAACCTGGTCGAGGGTTGGAATTGAAAAAACAAATGCCTTCGGATTGCGCCCGCAAGAACCTCAACAAAGATGCTGATGGTATAGGATTATGCAGAGGAGACCGCATAGCAGTTAACAAGAGCTAATACAACCGCCCACGAATCGCTTACTGCTTCATGAGCCTTACTTTGAACCGTCTGTTGGAAATATATTTCTATCAAAAAAGCTTGGACTATAGAATTTGAGTAAGATCACGATCACGTGAACAATGCCTTTTCGCAATCAAAGGGAAAGGGGAGCAGTTCAAAGAAGCTGTCTCAATATAAACTTGGGGAGTTATGATGTATATTATATTAGCATTAGATTATTTATTGATATTAACGACAATAAAATAGTATTATAGCATCATACAGGTAAGTCATTGATCTGGCGAGATTCCTCAAATTCCTTAATCAACCTAAGTTTCTCAAAATCGTTCTCATGTTCAGGACTACTTATGAACCGAAAAATCCCCTCACTTCTTTCAGACAGGCTCGATCCCATGTAGTATATCATCGACAGTGTTGACAGGAAATGCCGGCTTGCATCTGCATTCTCGAGTGTATATTGGATGATGTCGTTGTCAAGCTTGTTCTCCACACCAGCCAACAATAGCAGATGCATCACTTCGATCCTACATTCTCTGACAGCGTTCTTGTATCCAATCATAGCTGCCTGGTTCTTGTTAGCCATGTTTACTACAAGATAATCTTATGAGAATAATACCTCTCCACAAGTCGATGTGAGCCAATCAATACGTGCTCCTCCCATAACTAGCCAAAATAAGAACCTGACAGCCTCCTCATCCCATGGGCCCATTAATAGTGTATGGGGTATCTTTGTGCCTCTAGCTACGTTCACATAAGTCGGCATGCTCAAAGCCGGATGATTTTGGACTTCCAAAAACATATCCCACCTTTGATTCAACCTTTCAAAGACATAACAATACTTGGCGAAATCGTTGTCGAGTAACTCAGCTGCCGAAACAGTCTTGGGGTCGACATCTCCTATACCACTTTCAATGCCGTATCGACAAGACCACATCTCTTGTGTAATGGTGAACGGAAATGGACGTTCTTGTGCATACTTCCGAACCCATAGATCTTGAATTCGGAGAAGCACCGGTAACCTTGCCCAACGGTATTTTAAGATCGCAGACTAAATGCAGATTGTTAGCCGAGCCCAACTCAGGCACATTGTCTAGGCTTACCTGCAGACTGTCATTGCCAGTATAATCTATTTCTAAATTGGGAAGATCTGTTCTTCCATACCACCTATCCCAGATTGAATCAAATGCAACAATAACAATCTTGCTGTAGACAGCCTCGCTGCTTAGCTTGCCTCCTATTACTGGACTGCATGTCGGCAAATTCAAGTTCAAGCAGTAGAGAAAAATGGTCTCGAGAAGTTCCGTTGGTAATCTCTCGAGTTGTGACATCTTCCGCTTCGATTTGATATTCTTGAGGGCGCGGACCTTTGGTTCTCGATGAGTAGAAGCCGAATGCTGTGATGAGTGCGACGTGAGCTTTGAGCATCGTTGTTTGAGGGGTCTGCCGCGAGGTCGTTTCTATACTTTGAAGTTAGCTGAATTGGTTCGATATTTGCTTTTATCATGTCAACCTATACCAAAATCTTTCTTGCTGCAACCGCAAGTTTACTGGAATCGCGAGTATTCTTTCCCGGTATCTTAATTGGTGTTCCACCCATGATTTTAACAATACTCGTATACACTTGGGAATGAGAGTTTTGTTTGATGATGTACGAAGGAGTGCCGGGTAGTGGCAGTATGTTAACTTTATCTCACCGCTTTTATTCTGCCACAGACTCTAATCCTTATCGGTTAAGGCGGTGTACTGGAACTATGCTACCCCTCATTAAGTACCGAACTTCACAATGCCATACTATACTCACCCATCCACCATTAACAAAGTTTTTGAGCGATCAAGCACTGCCGGCGCCCAAATAGAGGAGGCTTACCTTTGTTTTCAACAGGATATTTGCAGAGACCAATCCAATTCAGCTCATTATGCCTCCAGGATCTCTCACTACCTGTCTCCGTGACGTCTTCTCACTGCGGTAGACTTGCCTCAGAATAGTGTCACAAGATTTGTACAAGGAAATAGCTTTACTTCGCTTAATACCCAGATACAAATCATATATGTATGTAATAGATCGATTAGGCAATATAAGTAGGAATTTGGCGTTAGATAGATCCTAGAACGAAATCAGTTATTACTAGTCAATAAATAGGTACATCATGCACATAAACGAATCCCCAAGTTATATTTAGCACACCATCAAACCTTACACACCTGTTCAGTAATCCTTATTACGGAAAAACATCTGGCAACTATAACGCAGCAGTTTCTTGAATGACATGTATATCCCAACAATAATAAAGTTCAAAAGTCATCAACAGTTCTTCCGTCTTAACTCTTTGATTGACCAATCTATGAGTCAGATTTAAATAACTCGATTAATCATGAATGTTTAATACAAGTTCAAATATCTAATCGCTGACTCCCATCTTATTTGAGGATTTGAGGATTACTTGAAGCTGAAACTCATTTCTTTCTATGTTACTAAACCTACATCCGACAAACAAATCAAATCAAATCCTTAAATATGTCTTCCACTTCTACTTTTACTTCCACTCTCACTTCCAACCCCCTCATCCTCACCCGCCCACCTCCCCTCCACCCAACCTGGAAATCCCACATCCCAAACCTCCCCCTCCCCATTCCTACCTCATTCCCCACCCCCCACCTCCTCAAAGCCACTTACCGTCAAAATTGTGCCTCGCAAACCGCCCTCCTCCTGCACCCCTCCAGCCCTCTCCACCACCTGACGCAGCACCTCCACCTCACCCACTCTTTCATCCCCTCCTCATCCCCCACCGGGCACCAAATCCCCACTCGCCTCTACACCCCCACTCATCTGTCCCACCCCTCCACCCCTCTAATCATCTATTTCCACGGCGGCGGCCTCCTCGTCGGAGACCTCGATTCCGAAGACCTAACCTGTCGCGCTCTATCGCTCTCCCTATCTACCCCCCTCCTCTCAATCGCTTACCGGCTACTCCCCGAATTCACCGCCGACGATGCAGTCTCCGATGCACTATCTTCTTATTCACATCTCTGTGCACAATTTCCCAATCGGAAATTCACACTAGTAGGGAGTTCAAGCGGAGGTCAATTAGCAGCCACAGTAGCCCTAACTCATCTTCAAGCGGGGAGGATATCGGTAGTAGTATTGAGATGCCCTGTAACATGCGATGCAACGGATGGTGGCACGAGTATACCAGAGGAATGGAAAAATATACATAAGAGTATGAGTGAGGAGTTTTATACGGGAATATTGAATAAGGCGGCGGTGACAAAAGAGAATAGGGTGAGAGAGTATAGGATGCCTTTGGAGATGCTGGCGGAGATGCCAAAGCTTGAGGAGGCATCTGAGATAGAAGAAGTCAAGACGAAATGGTTCATACAGCTTTGCACGAATGATATTTATTATTCGGATGGAGTGTGTCTTGGGCTTGGGCTGAAGGAGAGGGGGTGTGATGTGAAGATGAGGGTGGAGGTTGGATGGCCGCATACTTTTTGGTTGAAGGGAATGGTGTTGGAGGAAGCTCAGAGGGCGGAGAAAAAGTTGATCAAGGGGGCACAGTGGGTTTTGTGTGGTTTGGACAATGCGGAAGAACCTGGTATCAAAGAAATTGGGGTGCAGGGCGCATCGGATTGGGTAGAATGGAGTGAGGAAGTCAAGTTGTGGCCGGTGAGCTGAGGATGGATGGACATCTGGATTTTCGTGAGCGGTTTAAGCTCGGTTGTGAAACGCTCTCGTACACAGGTGATGAGATGATGGCTTGCTTTTCCGATCCACATTTCTCGCGTCTCCAAGAAGTGTGAACATCATATACATGCAGTTCCAGCACCTCACAAGCTTAATCCGAGAATTGTTGATTACAGCATTCAATCAAAACATCAAATTCAACAATACTTTGGAAAGTTGAGGAGACGATATCATAGTTAGCCAACTTGGCGTGTGTATGATCAACAACAACGATCTTGCCTCTTCCACCACCGGTCCCTATTTACAATAGCACAGGTAACATAAAAAAGGGGAGCTCGATTTTATTCCATCTAAAGCATAGAAAGGTCGCCGAATTTCTCCTATAAACATATTAATTGCTGTGTCATCCCAACAATAGAAAATATTCCATTTCAAACGTACCTTGTAACCTGGAACACCCCAGCGACCCTTGGAAACGAGTTGAGCAGTCTTCTCATCGATATCTGGGCGAGCAGCCACAACCTCGTCCTGTTGACACACATCATACGTTAGCCAACCCCATCTCTTCCTATCGCCATTTCCCGACCCTTCCCAAAGCCAATACATACCACAGTCAAATCCTCAAATGGTCTAGCCTCCTCGATATTCTTCAATGTCGCCGCCAAATCCTTCAACTCCAAATCCACTCTACCCTTGGTCTCCTCAGCATTCTTGATAGCCTGTGCCTCAAAAGTCTCAATTGCCTTTATCTGCCTGGCTACATCATATGTCACTGGCTTAAATGTAGAGAAATGCTTCTCAATTTCGTCGATGACTGCGGTGTTCTTGAGGATCGACTTGTAGTGTGCGAAGTTTACTTTGGTGGGTTGCTCAGAGAGAGCTTGCACGCGGCGGCGGGCATCTTCGTTGCGCTTCTTGAAGGCTTGGAGGGAGGTTGCGGTGGCTCCCTTGAGTCCGAGGGATTGGGAAACCTTGGCCCAGTCGAGTTTGAGGGCTGCGCTGCGCTGCAGAAGTAAAAGTTGTTAGTAATGATTCGGACTCAATTCGGGCGAGAGAAGAGCAAAGGTCGCGGCACAAGTCATCGGAATTCTTCGGAGGGGCTGCAAAGTCTGCACGACAGGACGTTTAAGGATGAAGTTCGACTGATAGCGGCAATACTTCAATCAAGAGAATAATTGACTTACTCCGGCTGCCATTGTGAAGGTGTTGGATATAATTAGGGAGTGGAGAACTAAGATGTGTCGATTGCGTCGTCGAAAAGCTGCAAGTCTCGGTTCGAGCTTAAAAATGGAAGGTCACGTGAGTCTACCCCAATGTTCAGCCTAATGCAGAACCCCGAAATTGTCGGGACATAAGTCGACTAATGTTTGGGTATTTTTAGTATTATGTCTTTACAATACATGTAACTATCAGATGATAATTAACAAATATGAGTTACTGGTGAATGTATTTCATATTGCTACGGAGTCTCATTTCACATTTTTGAGTGTGTGGACACATATTGAGGTGGCATGAAATTAAATTGCAGTCGTGCTATCTGGCACTCCCGAATTCATTCGGGCATGTATGTTATTGTATATCCATAATATACCATTGCCATCCATTCATACATCATCAACCTAGAACAGCAATGCATAAAGATCCAGCTAAACTAGCTTAAAACTATATGCTTAAAGCCATGATAGAGTTGACTATATCATTGTCATTCTCCTTCAATGCCTTCACAGCCTTGTTGCGCGAGACACTGGCTTGGGTCATGACCAATTCAATATCCTTGTCCTCAAGTCCAGTGGCGTCAACTTCCTCTCCATCATCCTCTTCTTCCTCTTTCTTCTCATCACCAGTATCAATAGCCTTGCCCTTTCCGTTATCGTGGGAGTGGTCGTGGCCAGAGTGGTCGTGTCCGGCGTGATCGTGGGACTCCTGAGCAGCCAATTGTGCGGCAGCAGAAGCTTGAGCTTGAGAGTTAAGATCCTCAATCTTAGCCTCACCGAATACACTAGGGAAATCATTAGATCAACATGTATTTTTTGAGTGCGGGGTAGATATTCCTTACATGTATGTGTTGCTGGTTGGAGACTTGTAAACCTCTGGGCTGTTAATGACGAAAAGGATCTATAACACGATATATGATCAGTATAAAGTGGTAAAATTGACGATAAGAGCTACCCCGCGGATATGAAGCTGATGCAGTCCAGGCCTTGATCGCGGGAAATTCCTTCACAATTTGTAAACCATCTAGAAATTGCTTACGTTCTTTGGTCGTCTCAAAGTGACTCTGGTAATACCAGGGACTCTTGTGAGACCGAGCTTAGCAATTGACTTGCGTGCCTTCTTCTCGTTGCGGGAGTGAACGACGGCTCCAGCACCTGCTGGAATTCCAGATTCTACCTCTGCCTCTCCCTCAGAGTCAGAGCTTTCAGATCCCTCATCCTCTGCGGTAACTTGCTTGGTTGGCTCCTCGTTATCTGGAAGTTCTTCGATGCGTGGGTTCGACATGTTGGGTGGTGTTTACGGCTGTACAAGAATTGTTAGAAATTTGATGTTATTGTCGTTGTTGTGGTTTTCTGAAATTTTGTTCGTGCGCGCTAAAAGAAATTGGGGGGGCAGTTTTCCTTGTACGGCGGATTATTCCACAACAAGGCTGACAACTTGTGAACATAATGACACTCACTAACCTGACTTTATTATTAGAAGATGATGATGTGGTATAAGAGCTTGTAGAATCAAAAATGTTTAATGTTGTCGCTGCTATTACAGCTGATTAGGGTTGTGAGATTTCGCTAAGTATTAGGTAATCAGACTTTCTACGGGCTTAGGTACTCGGGGGGTACAATTTTACAACGACGTCAGAATGGGTCAAGGTGCATTTGATATCATGATTGTTTACTAGTATAAGTTTCTGGACTCATCCAATGAAGTAGTATGATGGCTCTTAGTTCGTTGGCGTTGTACGTTGTGCAGGAACATATTCCGCATCTCTCATGTCGCGGATATTTCAAAGATGCCAGAACCAAATCACACTCAAAATAACGCCCAGTATTCAGGTCTAGAGTGAATTGGTTTGGAGGTATTTTTGAAGTCCATATGCTCATTACGCCGGTCAAATTGACGTAGGATACAAAGCTCACTTAAGAGCAAAGGAACCCATCAACCCTTGTGTAGTTTTGCTTGCGCTCCCAAATATTCCATTACCAAATCTATGCCGAAACCTTAGCCATGGCAACCTTAACTTGGAATCCAGCCCGCTTCCTCAATCTCATAACCTTGAATCGCTCGAAGTCGGTCAAAGCAGCTCTCGTGGCTTGCTTCGCACGCTTCTGTGCCCAAGGGCTTTGTTGCCACAACTGCTCGATACCAGATTTCTCCCACACCTTTTGAACAACACCGGTGCGCGCGGCTCTTGGAAGACCCTTGAGGACGAGAGGTGTGAGGACGACATTGGCGAGAGAAATTGCTTGTCTAGGAACAGCGGCGAGTTTATCGGTTGCTGGGCCATCGATAAGAGCCTATTTTGAATGTCAGATTTCTGCCCTTATTTCCAACTCTTCATCAGTTGTACATACGCGCTTGTGGTCGATGATCTCAACGATCGCGGCAAGCTTGCCATCGTGTGGTCCACCAGTTATGAGGACGACACGGCCGACCTCAACCAGTCTCCATGAAGATGCTTTGATATCTGCGTCACCCATTGTGATTGCTTCTGAATGATGTGTATTAGTTGATGCGTTCTAAGAAAATCAATCAATCGAGTATAGAAATGAGGAAAACGTACGGGGCGTCGTTGGTCGAAGGGTTGTCGATATGTTTGTCGTTAATGACTTTCGAAATCGATCGAAATCGAAAAAGTCACCGTGGGAATAAAATCTAGGTAAGCGAAATGGCCCTAGAGATATTAAACCTGAGGCATGTACTTGTCGATATCTTAGCGCCAGATTCAATTAGCGTCATATTAGCAGGTTCATAGCTTTCTAATGGAACTTCAAAATCTTATAAAAACTTCTTACAATCAATCTCTTCATCTTCTTTTCCAATTCATACACAACAACATCAACATCAACAACTCTCTGGCTTGAATTAATTCATTCTTGCGTATGTCTGTCAACGCGCGGACTTCTCTGTTAATACAGGTATAAGGTTCGTACATCTCAACTCTTTCACATTTTCTCTCTCAATTCAAATGATGAATTAATTTGCGATTGACCTCACTTTGATGGCACCCTCGCCAGGGTCGCTATATCATGCGAGTGGATGAAATTTATTCTTACATATTCTGATCTCCTTAAACAACAACCAATCCTTTCTTGGTACATGCAACCTTGATCGAACTCTTTTGCTAACAGTTCGAAGTATCAGGAAATCTCGTCCTTCACCTTTCTACCAAACAACAAATTTGCTATATGTTCTACTTCCGCCACTAACATAGATCACCAATGGTCTCAATGTTTATCTCCAATGGTACGTCACAATACTTGCGCAGCACACACTACTTCCTTTTTTACTGTGATTAAGAAAAATGCACACTGAAAATATTGAACTCTCCGGAGTCATGAAAATTCAAACTTAACCAAGATCTATGAGACAAACAAAATTCAATTTTTTCTCCATATTAGTTGCCAAACTTGCAGAAGTCATTGCTAACTGGCCTGAAGTATAGGAATGTTCGATGCTATACACCACACAAGGTAATGAATGATATAATGGTTCAACTTGATGGCTCTCGTCGGAGTTATTGAGTGGTGGGTTTGGGGAGTGGCAGATGCTATGGAGCAAGCAAAAGTTGGCTATGTGAATGGCATCCACTTGGGAGCTATTCCTTAATCCGTTCTTCATCGTAGTCAATACAAATACATTATATTCTTAATCTCTCGTACTTGATGGCATTCGTCTCTTCTCTGTGTATCTTCAACTTGTGACGTACTTCTTCTGCCAATACCATCTACTCAGAGAATTGCTTCCATATTCATTTGCTGTTGTGTGTACCTTTACCAACATTCATATCATTCTATAAGATTACTACTCAGGTCAGTAGACATCTGTGTTCACCTATCGATACCGAGATAAATCTTCCTTGTACCCAGAATATAATATTCCCATCCCTTCACTCAGTCATTCCATTCATTCAATTTATATCTTGAGAACGACAACTTGTTTTTGAGTATACCCCCAACAGATTAAAGCCAATCATGGTTCAATGTTGGAGTCAAAAGTCCGGGGTAGCCTGCCTCGGTGATCGACAATAGCTTTACCGATGAAGACGTTGGCTTTTGATCTTGTTTAACATACCTCCATTCTCCTTCTTTCATCCTTTCCAATGTTAGTTTCTAGATAATTATAGCTTTCTTTTGCAATTTTTGATATTCTGAGACTCAAGTTTGTGTGGTGCTACAGCTTCACAACCTACCTATCATTATGGCACTCGGTACGTTCATTCATAATCACGTCGTGTCCCCAGCCCCCAGATTATACAATCACGGCTGGGTACAACCTACTTCTGACTTTCCTGTCTCCAAAGCATATGTTACCCCCTACAATCTACCATCTAAAGGGACTTATCTGTAATGTTCAAAACACATACTGAGATTGAGCAGCAACAGCAGTCGTGGCAGGTACATCTGCTGCGGCAATGTACCTCGAAGGCAAATATTCTATATTAAAAGATATGAAAGAAAGATTAAAAATGAGAAGAGTCATGAAATTGTACGCAGAAGCTGGTAAGTTACACCCTCAGTTTATAATATTACTCTGCGTTATAACATACCAACGTAGAAAAGAACAAACGATTATGCCTCTATTACCTTTTCGAGGACAGCGTTAAAGCCCACCCGAACACAGAATGTCTGTGGTCTCGTGAGGGATGTTACACTTGGGCGGAAACTTATGATCGCGTAAATCAGTATGGACAGTGGTATCTTTCTCAAGGTGTGAAGCCCGGCGACCTAGTGTCGTTATATCTCCAGAACTCTCCGGACTTTTTGTTCGCATGGTTAGGGTTATGGTCAATCGGAGCTGCTCCAGCAATGATTAACCACAATCTGGCTGGCAAAGCTCTGATTCATTGCATCAAGGTGCCCAAGTCAAAGCTCATCTTAGTCGACGATGATCTGGAACTGAGGGGTAGAATTGAGGCGGAGCAAGCGACGTTGGAGGGTGAGCTTGGGATTAAAATTGTTGTTATGGATTCTTCTACGCTGTCGGAAATTCGAAGTGGAAAGGCAGAAAGACCTGAAGATGTCTACAGAGAGGGAGTGAAAGGGAACTCACCTTTAGGCTTATTATATACTAGGTTGGTATCAAGCGTAGCCTGTGAAAACCTGATAGCTAATTAACCTCAAGTGGAACTACAGGGTTGCCGAAAGCATGTAATTTTGAAGTCACCAGAGGATATATATCGGGTACTGTGGTGAGTCGCAGCATGAGCGATGAACATATTCTAACATCGCTGACATTTTCACAGCGAGCAGCAGGTGAATCGGCAGTAAGGGACGATGATAGATGGTATAATTGTATGCCATTGTATCATGGAACTGGCGGTATCACTGCTATCGCAAACCTGATGGGTGGCATCACGAATTGCATTGGCAAGAAATTTAGCACATCCAAGTTTTGGGGAGATGTACGAGACTCAAGAGCTACGTGGTTCACTTACGTTGGAGAGACCGCTCGTTACTTGCTCGCTGCACCTCCCTCTTCACAAGACAAGAATCATTGCGTTCGTGTCATGTATGGAAACGGTATGCGTCCAGATGTATGGAATAAGTTCAAGGATCGATTTGGTGTGCCAGAAGTTTTGGAATTTTTCAACAGTACAGAAGGGGTGTTCGCTATAATGAATCACGCACGCGGAGACTACCTGGCTACTTGCGTTGGACACCATGGTCTTATCTCAAGATGGCAGTTTCATGACCTTTATGTTCCCGTCAAGGTGGATGAGGTTTCCGGTGCTATTGCTCGAGATCCGAAGACTGGCTTCGCAATTCGTGAATCGTTTGAGAAAGGTGGTGAAATCATCGTTGCTATTTCGGATACCAAAGCATTTGCTGGTTACTTTGATAATCCAGAAGCGACAAACAAGAAGTACGAGAGAAATGTGTTTAAGGCAGGGGATCTTTACTACAGGAGTGGAGATGCTTTGAGGAGAGATAACGATGGAAGATGGTATTTCTTGGATCGACTAGGAGATACATTCCGTTGGAAAGGTGAGAATGTCAGTACAGCAGAGGTTTCAGAGGTTTTGGGGAATTACGAAGGTGTTGTCGAGGCTATCGTCTATGGTGTTCAATTACCTTCTCACGATGGTAGAGCTGGGTGTGCCGCGGTATTCATTGATCCAAGTATTAACAATTTTGATTTCGCTGGTCTTCTCAAGTAAGTCAAGAGTTTCGAAACTCTCACTCATGCTACTACATACTTTGAACTAACAAAATTCAAGACACACACGAAAACACCTCCCCAAGTACGCAGTTCCAGTCTTCCTGCGGATCGTCAAAGAGATGGTCCCAATCCACAACAATAAACAGAACAAAACACCACTTCGTGAGCAGGGTGTTGATCACGATAAAGTCAAGGCGGATGACAAGCTATTATGGATAGAGGAGAAGGGCAAAGGCAATACATATGTGGAATTTCACCGGGATCATTGGGCGGAATTAGAGTTGGGAAAGGCAATGTTGTAATCTTTCGAATTTGAGGCATCGTAGTTGTACATGTTGGATATGAAGGATAGTCAGCAAGTAATAGGGTAATATGTAACGTCACCACATATTTACAAGAATGAGAGTCAGAATTCAGCTGAGGTTCAGACAACTCCTCAAGGGATTTATCTCATAAATCTCCTTTATCAACCATGGGCGCTATTTTATCAAATCAATTTGCCCAGACATGCAAACCCAAGTGGGAAGGAGACTTTCTTTAGAAAATAGAGCTGGAGTGTCAGGAAGTGAGATATATTCTCTTGGGCTAGCTAGTGATTATTTGTTACTGTACCATAATCAGGGAGATCAGAGAGGTCTTTTATAAGTATAAGTTGATACAGATACAGTATTGATGTTTCGCTACGAGTGAGATTATGAGTACAGTAATATAGTTGGTGTATGATGCATGCATGCATCGACATTGTCGGGTTTTAATTTTTGTTGTTTAATGTGCTAAGTGGGTGGTGGGTGGGTACTGTACTTATTTGTACTGTTCGAGTTGCAATTCGTGGGCTTGTTTTCTGGATTTCTGTACTCTTTTCGGGGGGGGGAGGAGAAAGGGGAAATTCAAACTGAGTTTTCTATTTTGGTTGTTCAATTTGGAGATGTAGAATTTATTTTCGGTATTTGACTCTTTGATTGAGTTCTTCAAAGGTGACGTGGGCTATGTATACTGGTCGTATTTTTGCATGTCGTGTAATATAATGTTAGATGGAAGGAGGGGTCTAGTGATCTTATTTTTGATATTGATGGCTTGATGATTTGATACTCGAGTGTATTTCAAAGAGAGAGGCAAAACATAGCTAGTATTATTTTCAAATGTCATAAGACTCACCAGTTTTCAAATTCAAGAGCATAGTCTCCAATATAGCCATTTGTATATATTTATAAATAGAGTTACCGAATACTAGTGCTGGTGCTGGTGCTAGTGCAAAACCCCGGAGATCCCACAGAGATGATATTTATTTCGTCGGAAACTACGCGTATGCGTACGTACGGAGACTACTCAGTATAGCGCCGCCGCCGCCGTCGCCGACTCCGACTCCGACTCTAATATCTTGCTCATCTTTTCTAGTCAACTCTTATGTTGATAAATCACTGAAATAAATCTGTGGGTGACGAAACCTTCCTACGCAGAAAAGCTGTGGTCTATAAGGGATATGGCATGTATGTATCTGTGTTTGGTGCTTTATAGTGCTGAGTTTCTATTGTTAAAATCAGAATAGAAAGTAGAGGCTCTTTGAGAACTATCTGCGTGGAGCGGCTTTATTGGGGAGGGTATTGAGGGTACTGTGACACTATGACTCTGAGAAGTTAAGGAATGTATGTAGTAACTCGAGGGCTCAGGGCTAGAACACAAAAGTTTGAAGGCTCGCTAGGATGGACTCATCATTTGGGTTGCGAAGGTGTACTACAATATATATATATGTGTGTAATACGAATTTACTGAATCAACCGGGTGCTGTTGCTGATGCATGAACTCAGAAGCCTGTTGCCATCGTGCCAATGGGAGGTTCCATGGAAATTTATCAAACCTGCCGCGATCGCACATAAGCCAAACATGTGATCTCAAAGAGGCAGAAATTGGTCTATTTTGATACTGTCTATTTCTATTGTATCATGCTCCTTGGTCTCCCTTAAAGCTTGTCTAGAACAGAAGTGTGAAAACTTAGGTCTTAGTCTATGCGCGGAAATCCCTTATTCTAGCGAATACATGTACAGTCTTGAGTGGAGCTGTAGATGCATCGTAAAACATGATTGTATTGTATGTTTGGAAACCCACAGACTGCATCGTGAGGATCTACAAATCTAGCAATTCAGGGGGTAGTGATGATATGTGATGTACATGTGCGAGATTTACAAATTGTCATGAGACGAGAATTAGTTATCATCCAGCGGGGTTTTAGACTTTCTCAGATTATATGACATTCAAGTAATAGAGACAATAGTGGTCAGATATTCAAAACCTGTTCTTATATATCGATACAAGCAAATGGCATTCGGATAATGTCTCCTCAATATCCGAAGAAGAGACGATTTTGTGGTTTATTATGATCTTTTCAAAAGCTATTCGTCTGATTTTTGAGTGATTAACAGATATTTGATATCACAAACCAATTGAATGTGACGAGAAATTGTTCCTATTCGTCTGAAACTTAGCCTTTGTTGATATTACTCATAACAATCGAGACTATGCTCAGTAGTAGTGTAGTCCATTTTAGAGCAGGTTTATCGTTATGGCAGTTGTTTGTTTTGTGAGGCAAATAGGGCTGCATCAAGTTAATAGGGTCCTTCTATGGAGAGCATTCATAGAACAGGTCATCTAATATCAATTTCATTTGTAATTGCATAATTGTATTGAAATTCATCGATATTGCTAAATTTGAAAATCTTTTAGACACGATTCTTACACTAATTTCAAAGTCTTCTCAGGGGCATTTTCAAATATTCTGGTACCAGTAGGACCATCGCAAATACCCAAGCGCTCATAGTCTCCATTGCTCTTTAGAGCGCACACCAGAATTAATAACCATGGTATTCTAATGGAATTATCCACATAGCGTTGTTCGGCGGTGCCAATGAGTAAACAATACACCATAATACCACTTCTTACACCAGTGCTTCGACGATCAGTTACGTCGAGATCGAAACCAAGCTTTACTTTTTTTGATCTCCCTTGGACTGTGAACTCGAGTGTAGCATCTTTTCCTAAGGGGCCTTGTTTCCGTCTATGGTATATTTTTGCCATAGTCAGCAATCCTCGAACCATCAAGAACGGAGGTTCGGTTGTCGAGAAGAAATCTGTTATCGACTCTGGTATATTCGTAGCAACATATTTAAAAAGCTTGTGTTGCTTCAAGGTGGGATCTTTGAGCGCTGTAAAATTAATAGAAGTACCTGCCTGATCGAGTATCAAAAATGCCCAAGACCATGTCGGGGCGAAGCTCAGTGCGTCTGGAAGTCGATGTACAATTCCCTTGCTCTTACGATCCCAAATAGCCCTCACGGGTTTTCTCACATGCCATAGGAGTCCTCTAGCAATATCACTTGTCCAGATCCCTGCTACGTATTGGCAGGAAAGACGATCGTGAAAGGTTTTTGCCACACCCATGAGAGCTACCAGCCTGCCTGAAGATCTCGTAAGGTTTAGAGTCGAGTACTCCTGGACTAAATAAAACCATCGATTATGAACATTGCTGATGTCAACAGAGCTGAGACCAGCCAGATTGTATCTGGACATATCATGCACGTTCTCCAAATCAGCACATTCGCAGCGGAAAGCAGAGTTGCATTCCATGATCAGCTCCGAAGGATGGAAGTGCACAGTTCGTGGAGCTAGTTGTCGCTCTTGGAAGACCCATGCTCTCGATAGTAGTGGCATCGCTTCAGTATCAGAGGATGCAGAATCTTGCGTATTGCCAGTATTGTATCTCTGATGAATCGTTCCAACGATGGGGATCGATCGCGGTTCTGCAGCCGAAGTGCCATGTTTCACTGTTCGTAAGTAGAAACAACCTTCATTACTATCAGCTGCAGCAGTGACAGCGATATTGAGATAACTGTTCGAATACACCGCCGCCATTTGAGCCGATTCTCTTTGCCAATCCTGGACATCATCTTGAACTATACAAAGGCTATCAATCCATACGTAGCGAATGTGCAGGGATCGAAAAATTGAAATAGTGTCCTTGAATGTCTTCGGGAGTTCATCTAGCTTTATACCCCTTTTGTGACACTCGATGGTGGATTTTGTGGTCATAATGAGGTGGATTAGGCCCCAGCGATGGCTCAGAGTTCCATAACGATCTCGGGGACCCTGCATAGCTGCTTCTACATTGGCATGGAAGTCGGATCTCTCTCTCAAAACAATGGTAACACTCTCGCCGTGTAAAAGGTCAGGCATGACATCCAGTATCCGGCTAGGCCAGAATGTATGGTTGCCTGACCTAAGACAGAACTTGTGGCCACTGCAACATCGGCCACCCATTTGGAAATGAGCTCCGTGCATCGCTCAATCGTATCTTCAGCATGGATAGCTGCTGCTTCTTCAGTGAGGGCTGCAGATAAGTCTGAGGTTTGGTCTATCAATTGTACAGTCTGCTTAGATATCGTACCCGAGTCAGGACTTGTATGTATCTCGAATTGAAGCGCCTGTACGCCTTTACTCCACAGTTTTGTGCCAAAAACGAATCCAATCAAACACTTTGCTAAATTCAATAGAACTGAGAAAGGATCTCTTGAAAGGCGCGATCTTTGGGAAGAGGTGACAGATACTCGCAAGGGATACCCAGAGCCGCGAAGAAGTACGTTCATTACGTAAGGTCTGCTAAAATCGAAAGGCAATATTTTCTCACTTATGAGGCGCAGACCACTCAGTATCAACAAACAACTAAAGTAACCTAGAGTAGCTCCTTTAAGCTCAGAAGATTTCAATTCGAGTTGGTACTCGTTTGCAATATCCCCTACAAGTTTTTGATCCTACCTATTGCTCGCATCTGTTGAGATAGGATAGAGGTTGGTGCAGTTTTTGCACTTTGATAAATCCATTGCGTTTGTTGATGCAAGGATTCTTGTTCTTTTTACTCAGGCCTTCTGAAATAGAGTGTTGATAAAAAGCAAATATCAAGAAAGTTGTTGAAAGGAAGTAGATTTTCTTGAGTCTATGATGCGCTTAATGTAGATACAAAAGGTGCAATGTTCAATTGGGATGAACATCATTGATATCTGGAAACGTACGACATGGGCACGCAATTCACTCACACTTCTATGTGAAGAACAAGCTTGGCCTTGCATTTCATTTGATCTCCCTTCTCATAATTCCGATGATAAACAGCCATAGACTGATTGATAAGGCAGTAAAGCAGCCATCTCCTTATGCCAGGCAACAAACCTGGAGTAAAGTTGTTATTATGTTAAGAGATATCTGTACAAAAAATGCTGGGATCGTCATTTAATACTGTATTACATGATTAGAGGTATAATGTATCCGCTTTGTACTCTCGAGGATAATATTTTTCTCTGCTTAGCATCTGTGGTATCTAATGGTCTATGCTAACACTTTCCTCTGGTTTATGATGTTCTGTGTCTGTGGGTTCCGAGTTCATCTTTGTGCTACACCACCTAGTGTCTTCATGTCTCCCTAGCTTGACTAATCGAATCATTGAAGTCCGGAAGTCCCTCGCTAGCTAGATCCACTGCCAGGTTTCCTCCAAGCATTCCAAAAATTCCTTTTTTTACTCGGACCAGCGTAGTACAGTCCACATGCTCACACTTCCTGACGGCGTGTTAGCTCAAATCCACTGAATATAATTCATCTCATGACTAGTACCGTCGTGTGTAGCAATCGGGGCACAGGCAAAGGTCAGTGGGTTCTTCTCTCTCATCTTCAGGGGGTCTGCGGCCCAAGTGATGGCCACAGGGGTTCTCGATAGTGTATTTCTCACAAGAAGTTACAACTGATAAGTTTTGGTATCTGCCAGCACAGGGTGTATAGATTGTCCACCTATATTTGCACATGTTGTAGAGTTATTGGGTTGACAGTCGTTGTACTCTCCAGCTAGCGTTGGCAATACGATGAAGAATTTCCAGCACAGGATTGATGTGCATGTATATAGTGTAGCCAGAGAAAGAACTGTATACAGAGTAAAGGAGACTATATGACAAAAAGAAACATTGCCGCAAAGGCAAAGAAAGAACAAAAGGAGATGCACTAGAAAGTGTATATGGGGGATTCTAGTCTTCTTAATCCGAAAGGGTATCATGACTTCACCATGAATGGAATTCTACACGTTGAGGTTTGTTTCCCTGCAAGAAAAAAAGAAGAAGAAATCTGCAAATGAGATTATCAATCTGACTTCCTTGAGCTAGATTGAATGATCAGCTAGATTGAATGACCTAGCACTAGAAAGAAGCAGCATAATCACATTAAGAAGTGGAGAATAGAATGTTCCTAATAAAGGGGTATTGTGCTACAAAATGTTCTTCGAAGCGAAGACAAGATGAAAATTTTCCAATATCAAGATCCCTTCAGTCACTTAAAAGGCCTATTTTACCAGAGTAGAAAGAACTCATAATCTTTGAATGGGAGTGAGGATACAACCATTTGTCAAAGATTGCAAGAATTAGGTTCGCTAATTCTAAAGCTTAATCGGCGTAGATATATCCTAAGATCTAGCTGCTTCATCTCCGATCGAGAACTTCAGAAGATTTATTAAATGACTTTATGCGCCGAGATTTCTAGTTAATCTAATCTTTTGGCCTCGACAAGTACTAGATAGCCAGATACAACTACTCGAAATCGTTTTTATTGTCTTTTCGGTATCTCTGATGTCTAATATTTGCTGTACCTATGTATATATGACACGAGCCATCGAAAAGGGGAGTATTGCCTCGTCTAGACGAGTTTAAATCCTACGGATAATTAGAATTCCTAAGCGATGATTGAGGGGCGTTGCGCCATATGTATCCAAGCCTCGCTTAATGTCACAATGAATCCAGAGTTGTATAAGAAGTGTCGCTCAGCATTCTTGTGGAACTTCAGCTCTCGACAGAGTCGTGTAACGAGAAGAGTGATCCGTGATGAATTTAGAATGGCCTGACGATCAAGAGCCTTATGTGTAATTTGAATTCTGCTGAGCTGCGCTTTATAAATCATTTGACTCGTAGCAACAATACCACAGTAATGAGTGTGGACATCTTAACATCTCAATCGGGAGTGAAGTGTGATGTTTGTTTTGACCTTAACACATTCTCGGTAGCTGGCAGGCAGCAATGGCAACTTCATATTTCCAGCACTCTATCCCATGAGCACCGTCTCAATTTTACATCCTCGCGATTGGAATTCGCGGCAAACTCCAGTTGCTCGAATTGCACAATCATTCTGCGTGGGATACATATCGTGAATGAAAGATTCCATTTGTTTGATGGGAAGAGTAGTAGTAGTAGTAGTAGTAGTAGTAGTAGTAGTAGTAGTATTATTTTACATCAGGAGAGCAGCTTAGGGCTGCCCTCAGAACCTCCCTAGGGGTATACAGATATTCTAAACTATAGTCTTACGATACATGAAATAAGAGTGCCTTAGAAAGAAAAGTGAAAGCCTTACGGCCATTCCCGGTAATTGTGTGTTACCTTCCAATTTGTGCATTCTCTCCTTCACCAGTTAAGATGGTTCTATTGTCTTGCCTGATGTAGGCAGATATGTCTTTGTTGTAAACTTGCCGTTGCTTGCACTAAACAGATTGGTGGGCTGCTTTTGGTATAGCCGTTTGAATATTTGTTATACTCTGGGGAGCGTTCTCAGATATGCTTTCGCATATCTTATTGGTGTTCAATCAGGTTTTCTATACCTGTTGATAATATTGTTTCTCTGTATACGCTTTGTAGAGGGAGTTTATGGCTTCGTTTGTGTCGTACATTGCGAGTCGATCCTGGTAGTGGGTATAGCTTGTCGCGGGTTTTTAGATTGTTTGGGTGTAGAATACAGATTTGTGATCCTCTACTTTAGGTATATATCTTCGTAGAACTTCGTTAGTTTTAGCAGCTTAGCAAAGTCTATAAGATTGCTTAGAACTTGACATAGATATTCTATTCCTTTTTCATTTGTTGCTGGTGATGTGGGGGGCTTGTTAGACCATTGTTTAAAGGTGGCCCTTGCCTTCCGGCAGTGGACCAGGTGGGCAGGGGTTTTGGGTCTTCCACAGGAGCATTCCGTATCTCCTGAGTACCCGAACTTCCTGTGATATCAGCCGAAATCCCTATGTAAGATTCGGATAACTATCAATCTGTATAAGACTATTTGTGGGAGTAAAAACTCTGGCAATGGTTTGATTTTGTATACCGGGTCCCACTGTTTATACTACAGCGAAAGGGCTGGTTTGTATGATGTTCACCATTCTTGGTGGGTCTCTTCTTTGAGGATATATATGATCGATCTCACCCTACTGTACATGGGTTATGATACTGGTCCAGTGTCCCAACTGAGTTTCTTGGCGCTAAGGTCGGCAAAGTGGTTGGCCGCCTCGTTTCCCTCGATGCTTTCATGTCCCGGTGACCACTTGACGCGAATGTCGTTGTCCTTCATAGCCTTGTAGCAGTTGTTGAATACCCATTGTAATGACATAGAGGCGTTGGCCCTCATGCCCCAGATGACCGAGATGCTATCGATGCACATCCAGATTTTCTGGTTGGTGTACCTGGCATCCTTAAGGGTGTGTTCCAGGCCTTTCTATGCTCCGATAGCTTCCGTATCGAAGATATGAGACTGGGTATTAATAAAGCTGGAACCTGCCAATATCTGGTTTTTGCCTAGGTATATTATATACCTATAGCCTATGATATGTTTTCCTTTTATATGATTTTCCGATCTATCCGAAAAGATGGTGATGTCTGTGTCTGACAGGTTTTCCCACCAGATATTAAAGGCCTTTACAGCCGTTTTCTTATCAGTCCCTTCCATTGGATCTATTCGGTAATCGGTTGTATACCATAATGACTCGAGTATAGACCTTGGGATTGGGGGGATAAGAAGACCAAATTGTTGGACTTTAGTCTTCGCTCTTTGTCTTGAACCCGTATCTCGCCTTTTGACGATTATAGAGGATTCGATTCTTTTCGTAAACAGATGAATTGTATTTATACTTTGGAGGCGTAGGGCAAACCTCAGTTTGGCTTCTTTGAGGGCTGCCATGGCTGAGGGGAGACCTGTTTCATGATAGAGGGCAGTCACCGGTGTGGTTTTCCAGGCTGGTATGATTCTTTGTGTTGCCACTGTGAGGATCTTTTTGATTTGTGTCACATGCCAGCCAAGGTGGGCACTGACCTTTGTCTATCCTGTTTTTAATCTTTGTACAGCTTTGAACCTGCCGCCATACCAGGCCTCAGTCCCGTATAGGAGTGAGGGTAGTACACATATCGTTACTGCCTTGCGCATAGCGTACACCGGGGGGCCTTGCATAACTTTAACCAGGCCTCGGATATGCTTTGCCACCGCCCTGGCTTTACCTGCACATTCAATAACATACCTACGGAAATTCAGCTTTCTATCGAACCACACTCCCAGCCATCTCAGTACTGGATAAATGTTTGTTTCTGTAGTTATTATCGGGTGGATTATGAGTTTTTCATTGATTCTGATAGTAGGTGCTACATTGCCATTATCTATAGAGATATGGATCATTTCCAGCTTCTCCAGAGTGAAAGTGATGCGATTGTTTGCTCCCCACTTTATAACGTTTTGTACATCTTTAATAAAGCATCTAGTATTTTTCTCCAGGGTTTTGGATACTCTGTATAGGCATATATCGTTTGCATACCCGAACCTGAGGGAGGTGTCTTCTGAGAGTAATTCCACCAGATACAGCATATACAGGACTGGTGATAAAGAGAAGCCTTGAGGGGTTTTGCAGGTTATTGGGTGTTCCCTGGTTGTAACTTGCTCTAGCCATACTCTGACTTTCCTTTCCGTCAGGAAAGAGTTAATTAACAGGAATAGGTTCTTAGGCCAGCCTTGTTTCGTTATTCTAGCAAGGAGTCGTTTTTTGAGCAGTGCATCAAAGGCGTCTTGCACGTCCATGGTGATTATGGTCACTTTTTTCCCGGCTGCTAGTGCTGTTTCCACATCGTGTGTGAAGGATGCTACCAGGTCCATTGTGAAGCGTTTGGGAAGGGTTCCGCCGTGTTGGGGACTGATAATGCCGTGCTTCAAGGCTATCCAATCTAATTATTTAGTGATTATTCTTTCCAGGCCTTTTCCTATACAGGAGAGCAAAGCAATGGGTCTTTATAACCTTGCAGATGTCATATCCTTTTTCCCGATTTTGGGTAATATAGCCATTTCAGCTAATTTCCAGGTTTTCGGGAAATAGCTGTATTCAAGGCATTTCTGGTAAAGCCGTTTTAATAGGTCTTTGAGATGGTCCCAGCAGGCCTTGAGGATTCTGACCATAACTTGATCAGTTCCTAGGGATATGCTGGATACTCCAATAATACTTGCTTCGATTTCCTCCAGTGTGAGTCGGGAGTTCCAGGGTAAGTGCCCGCTTCCTTCCCACTGGTCTCCTAGTGGGTTATACTCCAGGTCGTCTTCCGCACTAAAGCGATCCAGGATCTCTGTCCTGAGCACTTCGGCTTTTTCCATTACATCTTCTATTACCACTCCGTTTGAGGTGATTGGGGGGCTTTTGACAAAAGTAGATTATATTACAACTATTTACTAGAATAAGATTATAATACAAAGTAGGTTCGCTACGCCTACAAACGCTTTCCCGGCTCACTATGATAAAGCTACTAGTACTAGACTTTTGTAGAATCTTCTGACTACATATAAACCATCTCCCATGTGAATACCTTCAGAGACTCTGGCCCGTACCAAACCTTTGCTTCACGTTTCTACCTCTGTTTGCTTTTTAAGCTTACCCGATATCTCCTTTACCAACTATCTAATACTCTATTATAAACCGATATGTGTATTTGTCTTTTCGAGCTATACAGACAGTGTCACTATCACTACCATTGTATACTACGCCCTGCAATACATAAATATTGTTTTGTATTACTTTGTCAAATCTCTTTTCTTTATAAAACCGATTATATCTCGCAGACTTGTTGTATTTATATCCTTAACCAAGCAGTGTAATTATAATGTTTCTAATCTATTAATCAAAACGTTCTTGTATTCTTTTTCTTTCAATATATAGTTTATAATTGTATAAAATAATCGAAGCAGAAACTTAAAATTTATTGGATTGGAATCGAAAAAAAGTTATAATCCTGTATATCGTTGTTAGGCTTGTCTCTACAGGGCACTTTTTTGAAATCTGTAGAAACCTCTATACCATTCCTTCAGTATATACAACGTTCCTTGTGTTCTGTGGACTCTTTGTAGACGCTTTCCACCCTTCTAAATCCCTTGTTGGATTATGATCAAGTCGTTTTCTGTTTTGTCTATTCTACACCACTACTCCCCTAACCATTTGTAATAATCTTCAATATGGTATACCTTTATATTATATTTGTTATAAGATTCCGAATCAATCTGCAATGCTCCAGAGGTATCCTGTCGACTTTCAATACAATCGCTTCCTTTGTAGACTTTGCTTTCCATGCAGATTCGAAAAGGCTGGTTCCGCTTCAGGGGCTTACAGTAAATATCCCATCAGGCTCTGCTTCCTATAACAAACTTGTAAGGGCTGGCATTGTTTTGAATTTATCGATTATAACTTTTATCATCGGATGGTTTTCATCTTTATTTCGCTGGTAGTCCTCTGTTCCGGGCTTATCGCAAGTGCTTTCGTTGTGCTCAACTACAAATACCTTCAGTACCAGTAAAAGCCTCCGATAAGTGTACAACCACCACCCAGCTCCAACAACTCTACTTAGTTCTCCGAATACTAGTAAACTAGGTCGAAGATTCGTAGGATACACCATGTACAGGTGAGAGTCTTTGCATCCCGTTTGATGGGAAGAAGCCATTCAAAGGGACTATCATCCTTCGGAGAAACCTTCCTATGCAATTGGAAGTCTATGGATTTCGACTGCCTTACTTCGGTTACAAACCGAGATACATTTGCCCAGCACTGTGGTCTAGGGATACCAAAACAAAGGTTCCAATGAAGTTAGAATACTGTACTCGAAAGAATTGGGGTGAATCCTTCAGGTCCGGGTCTTAGGTACCGCTGACTGAAATAACAGGAGACGATGAACTCGACACGAGGCTATCAGCAATTTTTGGCCACGTCTTAGATGTTTCTGGCGAGATATGCATTGAAAAATGACAAACAACCATACAAAATTGGATCAGCGTCTGCGATAGTCAACATACAGCATGTAAAATGGGAAGAAATATAGAGTCAGCGTTTCCATCGAGAGTGATTGACGTCCTTGGAAGAGATGGACAATCTGTTACTCTAGTCGAGAAAGAGAGCATTTCACAAAATACAGGCTCTTATGCAACACTCAGCCATTGTTGGGGCAAAGCTCGACTTCTCACGACTCTCAAGAGTACGTTCGCAAAGTACAAGCAAGGCATCTTATGGGGAGCATTGCCAAAGACTTTCCAGGATGCCATCCTTATTGTCCGAGCACTTGGTCTTCGATATATTTCGATTGATAGTTTATGCATCATCCAGGATGATGATGATGATTGGAGGAAGCAATCTGTCCTCATGGCGGATGTTTACAGCAATAGTTATCTGAATATTGCAGCCACAGGTTCTTCAGACAGCAGAGGTGGTTGTTTTGGTTCAAGGACCGTCAAGTATGGTATTTCGAAGTCCCTCGATATTGCGCCGCAACTCATATCTTTGGAGACTGGGCAGCAATCTTCGGAGAATATATATGTTAGGCCATCCTTCGAAGAAGGACATCATAGGTTTATCACCCCTACCAGAGAACAATTTAACACCTCTAAAGACAGCGTCACTCCGCTGCTCACACGCGCATGGGTCTTTCAAGAACGACAGCTAGCCCCTCGTACAGTACATTTTCATCCTTCGGAAATGATAATGGAGTGTAAAGCCGTTCTTCGCTGTGAGTGCACTGTTTTGGACAGGCTTTCTGCAAAAATCAACAAAAATTCACCTGATCATGATCTGAACCTTTTGGACGAGAGTGAAGTACTCGGCAAATGGTTTGAAATAGTGGAGGAATATTCGCGATTGCACCTAACGAAAGAGTCAGATAGACTAATAGCTGTTGCTGGAGTAGCTACGATCTTCCAAAAACGTCTCAAGTGCCGCTACCTGGCAGGGATATGGCAATGTGATATTGCTCGAGGCCTTTTATGGAGCGTATCTAGATACACATTCTCGAATAGTAAACGAAGTATGATACGCCCAAAAAAACCATGTGCTCCAAGCTGGTCGTGGGCATCACTGATTCTGGACCAGAGAGGGACGTCAATAGTTTTCAGATCGACTCCCGGAGATTCTTTCTCGGTACACGAACAGTTTAGATATGTAGATCACATGGGTACTGCAGACCCAAATATAATTCCAGATCTCAGAATCGATTCGAGAATCGACCGCATCCAGGTCCAAGGCTTGCTAACTTCTGCAAAGTTAGTCCACAATATAAGATGTGGCCCTTTATTAAGACGCAGAACATTGGTATTGAGGTTAGGTCCAGGAGCGAAAGAGTCAAGCATTGACATCGAGTCACAGAATTCTACTGGTATGATTGAAACATTTGTTCCCAGCGGAACTATCATATTCTGCTTGCTTGTTGGAACCAAAACTGTACTGAATCCTCGTGAGGATACTCAGATGATTTGGTTGTGTACTTTGGTGTGCAAAGCTGCTAAGTTTGGAGTGGAAACAATTTACAAACGCATTGGAATCTTTGATGTGTGGGAAGGTGCCAGCGTATTCTATGGTGCAACGGAGAAAATCATCGCAATTGTTTGAGAATATTAACACGTAGTTATAAGCGAGAAGGAAAAAGACATTCCCGATTGGTCGATCTCAGAGAAATTCCGGAAAAGAAATTTGGCTGTTTTGAGAGGTTCATCATGATACAATTTACAAGTGAATTTGAGCATGAAGACGTCGATGAAAGAAAATGAACTAGTTTAAGATGACATACCATTGAAGATAACTGGAGCTGCCACATCATGAGGGGTTTTCTTGTTCTTGGTTTACGTGCCTATCATTATCTCAAACTTCCAAAGAGATAAACAGCGTATCTTCTTGACATCGAGGCAATAGCAGTAGCAAGTTTATGGGTTCCCCCTCCAAAGCGTGCTAATCATTATTTCTATAAATTTCTAAATCTGCTGTGATAGAGAAGGACGTTCAATAGAGGGTTTTCAGATATGTCGGAAATTTCTTTTTGAGCATCATTCTTTTTCCTTCATCATATACCAGAAGGCCTCCGAACCTCTAATCATAAATTCTGTCCCGACCAGACTCCTGGCATCACCACATTACATCTAACGCGATTCAAGATACGTAAAGATATCGCAAAAAGTAAGCCTTCTTTCAGATCTTCTATATATTCAAAAAACGTATTGATATAAACTAATCTCACAATCCAGCTTGTGTAAGTCTACAAAACATGACGAAGTTGGGCTTGTGAGAGTTTGCCTTGATGGAGATAGTCAAACTAAAATTTCTTGCCGTACGACAAAGAATCAAGAGAGTGGTGTAAATGCCCGAGAAATCGATGAAATGGATGTGTGCCCTTCCTCGAATAGGTTGAGATATTTTCTTCCTAGAATCTTTATGTTTACATTATGATGCAGCTGACCATCAGAAATAGACACTGCAGGAGGTCGATCAGGTACAGGACTGACAAGACAATAAGAACGACAGTGTAGAAAATGACGGGGATGGTAACTGGAGAACACCGAGGAGTAAATACCACGAGAAGAGTAGTCTTTCGAATGATACCACAATCATCAGCTCCGTACCCTTGATTTCCCGTTTAATATTCAGGGGGGCCAGTAATATGATGGCTCTATATAAGCGAAAAGACTGGCCAAAATTGTTGTTTTGATATCCTCAGATTTATATCAATATCCGTTTAGATTTGAACAATGAGCTCTCCTTATTTCAATCCAAAATAGACGATGATTCACCAATGTATCAACTCGAATGGACGATGAACCATCGATGTATCAATTTGAAATACTCGAGTAAGCAACGAATCATTGATGTTCCATTCCGAAATAGTTAATGAATCATTAATGTTCTAATTCTTTTCAAATCTTCGAAAGCAATAATGTATCTGATTCAATGGTTTAGATATTATATCACTACCGGTCACCACTTTAGCCCCTGTAGAGGACAACTAGACCCACATAGACTCGTTGAAACCCTGAGATTTTACAGGAGAAATCTAGAATGGAAAAGAATAACTCAAACTCAAATTCATTCTGTGCCTCCCAGTACATCTCCGAAGGCAATACTACCTTGCTTCGCGTTGTATGTTTGGCATGGTCGTCTCAATTCCTATTGGAGGGAAATGTGCCCGGAAGTACCAGATCTCACTGAAAATGGCAGAGACTCGCAACTCTTGCTCGATTGTATCGAGCAAGACACCAAAATTAACCTCTAATCTAGTCATTCTGGACACTTGATCCAAAATCACCTGTACTTCCATTACTGTGAGCATCATCACTTATACACTCATCTGCATTCGATTTTCTATTATCATCGTATCCACCTGCAAACACCACGTACGTATAATAAACTTCCCGCAAACCCCAGCTCTTGTGCTTCAAAACCAGGACGATCGAATTGACGGTTCCCGTCTAAAGAACTACTACTGGCTAGATGCCATACTATACTGTGTTTATATGCTACTAAGCACATGAATGCCATGTTTGGTCATACTAATGACTGATTGATCAACAGTTACTTGGTTTGAATTTAGAAGCTGCAATAAGGAAGTTGATTGAGGAAGTTGATTAGGAAGTTGACGAGAAACGATGCGAGGATAAGATGGGATGGAACATGATAGGAAATCAAGTGGCATTAGGAGAGACTGAGAGTCCAGCATTGATGAGGAGTACCCAGAGTATGGAGGGATGATATGATATGGTGGATTCTTGGGACAGTCCTAGACAAGTTCTATATTGTAATATCGCATACCGGTATCGTAAAGTCGTATGTCATATGTCGTATGTCGTATATCGTATGGCGTATGTTGTATGTCGTATGTCGTAAATCAATATGTCGTAAAGTCGTATGTCGCCATAGATGAAAAGTCTGTTAATTGTCAAGAGTATTGAGATGAAAGTGATGAAGTGACAAGAAAGCATTGATCAATAAGATTTTTTGGCAATGTACTCGTGCATAATTGGTTGTGAAATGTCCGTGCACAAATGCGTATAAACTTTCGGGGCAAAGAATTATTCTACTGTATTGTGGCTGTACAAACAAGCCATCAATTTATACTTTTCTTGAAACATCATGCTATTGCTGATATTAATTTAGGGAGGGAATTCTGTATCTAGATTTGGTTCGTTGGCTGGGTTATATACTGTGCTTCGGGAGGGAATGATGGGAATGTGATTGACTTCTAGCAGTCCATTGATATCAGATACCTTGACTTAAAACAGACATGGCAATGCTGTGAATACTAGGTGCTGTGAATACTAGGTGCCAAAAAACTAAGGCTATAGTCAAGAATAATCGAACAACAAGATATCTATTCTTAGTGTCCTGTATATCCAAATATATACTATCTCTCAGCATCTCTATATATACAAAATCCCCTCCAAAAATTACAATAAACCACAATATCCCCTTAGGTATCAAAGAATCAAAAAAACCTCTCAAATCTAAAGCACTAACCCCAAAATGATTGCACCCACTGCAATTATCAAACTTCCTCGCACATTAACTCTGCCAACCCCCGATTCCAACAACGGATACGCAGTAACAGCGCTCGAATCACTCGTTCCCGTTGCGCTATAGACGCTCGGCATAGCAAATGTAAAGGTTTCGGTACTACTGAGAGTGGCCGTATCGATGAGGATACCAGTACCAGTTACCGAAACGTTACTTGAGGTGCTGGTTTGAGAAGAGGTGGAGTTGTATGTGGATGCGGACGTGGGTTGTGTGACGAAGGAGGTGGTGGCGTAGGTTGGGGTGAAAATTATTGGGATGGCTGTTTCGGGTTGGGCGAGTGCGCTGGAGGGTTGAGGGATGCTGAGGATTTCAGCAGTGGTGGTGGCTTGAACGGCGACGGATTGCATAGGGATTACGGTTGCGGTGGAGAGGACGACGGGGGCGTCTGCTGAGGATGCGGTGGATGGTTGGGCCGAAATGGCGGTATTGGTGTTTATGGCCTTGGCTGGGGATTCTGGAGAAGCTGTTTCGCCCGAAACGAGGGCACCAGAAGCGACGCATGCGGCGGAAGATACGCTAGTGGTCTCGCATGAGAGGGAGATACTAGAGATGGCTGTGGAAGATGGGATGGCACCCTCGATCTCGCTAGAAACTGAAACGGTAGGGATAGAGATGAGAGAAGCGGTGCTTGAACCGATATCGACAACAGTGCTGGCTCCTTCATTAGTAACTGTGCTCCAAGCGTATGCAGCCTCTGATATTTGAGTTGTGGCTAGAGTTGTGGCCGAAAGACTTAGGACGAGACTCAATGTTGATGAAGCTGCGGAAGCTCCCCCTGAAAGTGTGACAGTGCTGTAAATCGTAGAAGCCAATTGAATGCTTGTAAGAGTACTTTGAATGGTTGTGGTCGAATCGGCGTTTACGCTGGATGGTGATGGTGTAGCTTCTCCCTCGACAGCGGTGATGGGACAAATAGTAGTTGAAAGAATGATAGTCTCAGTTACAACAGATCCAACTTCATCAGTGCGTGTGTTTGTTCCATAAATAGTTGAGGTAGTGTGGGAATGTGGAACGGAAATCGTAGTCATGGCGCTAGCGACAGAGGACGCTTGCACAGAAGATATTGAGGAACTAATAATGGCAGTAGAAGATGCTTCTCCCTCGGCAGCGGTAATGGGGCAAATAGTAGTTGAAAGAATGATAGTCTCGGTTATAACAGATCCAACTTCATCAGTGCGTGTGTTTGTTCCATAAATAGTTGAGGTAGTGTGGGAATGTGGAACGGAAATCGTAGTCATGGCGCTAGCGACAGAGGACGCTTGCACAGAAGATATTGAGGAACTAATAATGGCAGTAGAAGATGCTTCTCCCTCGGCAGCGGTAATGGGGCAAATAGTAGTTGAAAGAATGATAGTCTCGGTTATAACAGATCCAACTTCATCAGTGCGTGTGTTTGTTCCGTAGATGGTTGAGGTAGTGTGAGAGTGTGGAACGGAAATTGTGGTCATGGCGCTAGCGATAGAGGATCCTGATGGTGCAACGCTAGCGACAGAGGACACTTGCAAAGAAGATACTGAGGCAATAATAATGGCAGTAGAAGATGCCTCTACTTGAGTCGTTATGGGAACAACAGTAGCGACAGAAGATACTGAAGCAATAATGCTTGTGGTAGAAGATACCTCCAAGGAAGATGCCGGGCAAGCGATCTGGCCAGATAGAAGGACACCAATGGAAACACATGATGCAGAAGACGATGAACTTGCGGCAACAACAGAGGCGATCGATGAGGCTACAGATGTCGCGATGCTCAAAAGAGATTCGGCCCGAGCAGTCGAGCTAATTACTGGACTAGCAGTAGTCGAGATTTGGGTTGAAGTAGATGCGACAAGAGCTGATGTCGATGAAGTACTATTTATGGTCAGTATATAATAACCATTACTTAGAATTTCGAATTACTTACGAAGCAGCGCTAGTGGCAGCTAAAGTATCATTTTGGTAAACTTTAACGCTATTGATGAGCCAATAAGCCTCCTTGTATGCTGCTGGGTTTGCTCCAACGTAACTGTCGCAAGTAGGAAATTTATCTGCGTCGTAACAAGTTGTTTCTTCCCAAAACCCCGTTTGTCCAGCATATCCTCCACAAAACGTTGTATCGAAAACGATTTTGTGGTTGGCAAATAATTCATCAATGTTACAGACTCCTCCTTCGGTAGTAAAAGAAGGAAGGGTCCAGGTGGAAGGATCTGGTGTACCAGCAGTAATATCGGCTGGAATTGCGTCGGGTCCAAAATTCCACATTCTAATTACATCGCTGGTCCATTGCATAGCATACACACCACCTCCGTTGCTGTTGAATGGCGTTCCGTATGAATTCGGGTCGGTATTTGTACCGGAGCATGCAGAGGTAGCATCTTGAGCTCCAAATATGCTCGAGGTAGCAGTATCATCACAATTGTATGAGGTGACATTATCTTGGAGTTGAGATGAGTATTGGTTGCCGGAGATATAGCATCCATCCTGGGTGTGAAGTGTTTGCAAGCTGACAGTCTTCTCATTGATGTTTTCAAGAATATCTATTTCTCCGTATTGTGGATAATTGGTGCTGTTGACTGTCCAAAATGCTGGCCATGTACCACAAATGCTAGCAGGCATATGCGCAAGGTCGGCAATGATTAAGCCATGGGTGTAAGTTTCTTTACTTTGTATCCTAACACTGGGCCGGCCCGTTGTGACCACATTAACGTAGTCTACACCCATATAAGCTTGTCCATTCTCGACTTTCGTCAACTCCACACCAAGCTCGCTATTTGCGTTTTCGGCTACTTCTTTAGAGGTGTATGAAACGAATCCGGTTGTTGGGTCGGCTCCCTATGGTCGATATCAGATGAGTTCGATTTCAAATAATATCATATCAATATGTGAAAGTCATCCGGCAGCGAGCCATTTTCAGGTTATGGCCAGATGATATTACTCTTGATAGGATACTCTACGTACCGTATAAAAATCGAACATATCAAAAAAGTTGGTTCCCGCATAATCATCGACTAATGTATACTGGTTTGTCGCGGAAACTTCACCAATGAAAGCAAGCGCCAAAGTGGCGGTAAAAATGATTCGCTGAACCATGATTATTGAATTAAATAAAGAATATAAAAAGAAAGTGTGACTAGATGTAACAACGTCGAGGAAGTGAAAAAGAAAGTCGACTTTCTCTCAGAAAGAATGATGAGAGTGTGTCTTGGAATATGTGAGAAAAGAATGTACATATTGTTGTGGGCGGCAACAACCTTTTGAACAAGGTGCTACGAGTTCCTTTTGCAAAGCCACAACAACCCATCCAGTCCCAACTTTGATGACTGAGCGGCTGAAAGAGACATTTCGAGACGTTGAAGCCATTTTCACTAGATGGAGGCCTGTTCGAAAGTGGAGGTCAATGGCCCCTAAGCCCAATCTGATAGCTTGAAACAAAGCAAAATGACCGGGATTGAAGATTCGAGATCACTTTATCTAAGATTCCAGGTATGGGTTAAGGATAAAGTCCCATTTTCCGAGCATGTTTGGACATAACGCCGTCAGTTCTGGGTGAATGGGTTGCGTGGAGATGAACATTGTTGTATATATATTGGAATTGTGGAGCTTTGCAGACCTTGCCTTGGTGTCATTATCGGCAACGTCGAATATTGATTCGTAGAAATGATTTCGGGATTGCCTGATATGAAGCCTCTATTGCCCCTGATTTTTGGTATAGTGGGGGAATTCTACCTCCGCGACTATTTAACAGGGTGTAAGGGTTTGTGAGTCCATACTAAGAGATATGCGCATTTAGAATAATCTGTTGATTGGCTGAATGTTTGAAATGCTTTGACGCCCTGTTGTTCTACCGCCCTACCAACACCACAGAAGGATGAAACTTGAAAGGCATCGATGAGATGATTCAGATGAACTCTCAAACACATTTATAGCACAAGGCTCCATCTGTTTCTCTGCTTCTCGGGTAGTTGGGTTGACTTATACCAATTGCGCAAGCCACGAGGGATTGGTATTAATTAGTTCATGTATTGACGTATGCATGTCATATCGTAAACCTCTCAGCCACAAATATATTGGGACTGTACGATTGGAAGTCGCCCGTTGTCCCATGGATGTTATTAAGGAATTTGATGTTGGGTATGGTAGGTATCCTTCTTGGATTCTTGGTGGTTGTGCTGATGCTGATGCGGCAGTCAAATTTACGGGCTCAAGAAACCTCCGTTTGTTTCCATTACACTCACGTGACCGAGACAAAAGGACGGTCAAGTTTCATATTTGCAGTAGGTCTGAAGATTTGCAAGCTTGTACAGTGTCTGGCAAAATTCTCTGTTCAATTGCCAATTCGCAAGTTGTGTTCTCAAGAACCCGTTTAATGGTATATTGACTATTATCACGTGACCAAATTAGACAGGTTTTAGTTTTAGTTCTTTGGGGATGAAAGTCATAAAACAAAAAGATATCATGAAACCAGACTACTGTAGACTATAAAAACGAGTGAGAAAACGAAATGAGATATTACGACTAGCCGTTCTCCGCTCTTTCTCTTTCCTCAAACACTATCCATCCGAGCACATTTGGGTTCTAATCCACTACTTAGGTACTCATCATCAGCTTTCTCCCACATTATATTATCTTCCATCTCAAAAATACACTCGGTCATTAAAGAAAGCTCAAACCAAATGAAGACAACGACGACGACGACGACATAACATGAGTCCTCAAACCTGGCTATCTGGTCAATACTAGTGCATACAACTCGCAAAAGAATCCTGCTGAGTTATCACTACAAGCGATGGATTAGTCAAGCATGATCCTAAATTGTATCGCGACGACAGAAATTCCTTGCTGCGTCCGGGTGCTGGGCAAGAATATTGAAAGATCCATATCTTTTTCTCATGTGACGATCGCGGTCTCCTTGACGTCCAAAGGTCAATTCTGAGTTCCTGTTCCGCAATCATATTTGGTACTGGAGTAAGGAAATGCGTTTCTTGGCTGCTTCAATGAACGCCGATATTGTTCTCCGCCAAAGAGGCCTTGAAAAAGCATATTCTTAACTCAAGTTCGTGTTTGTTCCAAATGATGCAAAGATCCAAGGGAGCGCTTGCCATGCCGCCTATTGAATTGCAATTCCATTTCGGAATCCTTTTGATGCTCAATTCATCATTAGACGGTGTCTAGTGACACCATCTAGTTGTCTCTTTTACAAAGTTTCAACTAAAAATACCAAATCTTCGTCATTATCGCACAGCACGTTTTCGGTCGCATAAGCTTACCGAGGAATATTCAACGAGCCTCCAAAATTATCCATCAGAGCCGCGCTGGGACTGAGTTTAAACCCGAATGCGCCATCAAGCGATGAAGTTACTCTTGCAGCAGTATAATACTCGTCCACACGGATGGATAATCTGAAGGCATACATACTTGTGTTAGTTTGGAAAGAGAAATACTTACTGGATCTCGCTATTCGCTTGGGTATAATAAGGCATATCAGATTGGACGGCTAGCGAAGCGATGAGGCGAATATTATGGCAGGTTGTAACGATATGGCAAAGGTGCTTGAGATTTGATTGGTCGGATTCCGAATGAGATTGAAGAATCCAGAGGGGCACATAGCTCTCCATGAGTGAACATCCCGCCTATCTAGTGCCCCATATATTGGCTTATCGGGGTTATTCGTGTATTGACTGCTAATTTTGAACAGTTTTATCTCAATCGCCTACTTGTCCGTCCAATTCCCTCCATTCTCCTTTCAATCCTTATATACAGTCTTCAATACCCAGTATCAATAAGCTTTGAGTTTCAGGCACTTTTGGGTGCGAATTCTGCTCAAAAGCCTTGTCAACTCGAGGATTTGAAGTAACTATGTTACTTTCGATATATCTCTAGGTATCCCTTGATTCAAGCCGCTAATTTGTCGATTATAGTCTTCATTGGAACACTCACATACGCCCCCAGAAATATAGCATATGTCTGAATGACTTAGCTTCGCACAGCAATTTGCGATGTCATGAAACAAAATATGGAGGCGTAGATCCGAAGTACATGTGTATATGGCCTGAATGTAGTTTCGAGGGAGCTTGTTGTCTTGATGCTTAAAGGAAAGCCGAATTGCTTGCGACAGAACCTCATCGTGCACTTGGCTTGCCGTTGGGTAAAGACATATATATATGCGTCATGAAACACTGTCCGAAAAGAAAAGGAGGCTATAAAGAGAGGAAATTAAACGATTGTGAATATGTTACTACTAGCTGGGGCTGAATTCACTGTTCCTCGCTAATTGGCTTTCTGGCACACCCTTACTAGAAGCTGTGAGAATAGGTAGTGAATAGACCGTCAAGAGACTGACTAGATTGAGTTGCTGATATCAACGCTCAACCGCTAATTCACCGGCACTGATATAATCTAGATATCGAAGTCCGGGAAGCCATAGGAAGGGAGAATTAAACGATCGTGGACATGCTTCTCAAGCCGGAGCAGCTAATTCCTAATGGAATTCAATCAACTATATATTTTTGGGGGGAATAGGAGCTCTAATTTTCCATCGGTAATTCTATATATCCGAGACTATGGCTACACATAGTAAGATTACGAATGCCTGTACGCCCCCAGATACAAATCAATTTCGTCAATTTCATTGAGTCTTTAGATATCTACAATCTATATTCATCATACAACATATCTATGGCAGAACATCACTTATGACTGGACATTCCTCGTGATTTGCTCGAGCAGAAATCTTAACGATACCCATCCATCATTGAATGTCAGTAGCCAATCGCTTGTCTTCTCCTTTCTGATACCGATGACGCTATGCTGGTAGATCCTCGTAGATCGGCCATTAATGATGTCTTGAAGACTACTTCAATTAGAAGATGGTTGAATTCAGTGGACACAGCCTATAAAATTAGCAGCTTTAGCGATAAGAGCCTATAAAATACATAGATACGTACCACCTTACTCTTCCCAATTCCACTTTTTAACTTTACCTGAATACCCATTTAATCGAATTCCCCTTTCGATTGTCATCCAACGTCTTCCAAACCTCTCAACAATCTTCCATCCGTATTCTTTCATCTCAAACAAAATCAATTCTAATCGCACCTGCTTCTTTATCCTAGTTACACTAATGGATATAAGGCGGTCACACTTCCTTTCGCCCTTTCTTTGTTCCCCAATTTTTTGTCTCAGCCGGAAATTTCTAGTTGTGGCTACATAAGATATATCTTCAGCAGAATATGATGGGGTAACGATCTCTGTATTGTATTGGGGTTAAAATTGTTCTTGGGACGATTCTTTTTCCCGTGGACAATTGCTTTGGAGAAACCAGACGTGGAACGATTAGATTAAGGAACGCAAGTCTGTAACTTGCCAAGCGCTAAGTTAGTATTATTCTTTCCTTTGTTGGAGAGGTGAACACAAAGAGGAAAATTGTTCGGCTCACAAAGCTTTGGTGACATGGTAATGTTCATTGGCATGGCATGTCAATTCTAGGTGGTGAAAAATTTGCATCAGGGAAATGATACCTAACTGCCTTGGAAAGAACATGGATTTGAAAAGCCCAACTTCAGCTCTATATCAATCTCAACGTAGTAATATGATTTGAACTTAATCTTTAACTCATTACAGATACCAAATGGAGTCACTAAGTTCAATATCGGAACTTCCTAGCAATGAATACACCATCCCAAACCTTCCAGAGCTTCCAGAAACAACTCATGAATCCATCACCCATCCTCGATACCCAAGTCCGACTTCCTTCGAGCCTTTCACAAAGCAAGTCTTAAAGCAATACATCAATATGCAACTCCTCAAATCATGTGCGCTCCTCGCCAATTCCGAGCCCGCCCGAGCTCTAGAGCATGTGGAAAATGCTTTTCTTATTTCAGAAGAGAAGAGTTTTTCCTATGAGATAAGCAAATGTTATTTGTATCGTGGATTGTGTTTTATGGGGATGAAGAGGTGGAGGGAGGCGAGGGTTGCGCTGGTGAGGGGGGTGAATGTTAGAGGGTGGGGTGGAAAAGTGGAGGGGTTGATGAGGGAGGCTCAGGGGCATCTTGATGAGGAGGGGAACGCGAAGGGGAAGAAGAAAGGAACTTCTGGATGAGGAGTGGATGGTGTTGTGAATTAGTGGGGTACCGGTTTGTTATGATAGCATCATCGCACTGTTCATCGTTTTTTTGATGAAATTGAATTGTCATGTGCATTATTAGAAATCGCTGAAAATTTTGTGGTCGCCTGGGCATTTAGACTGAGAGGGAGACTCGACGGGACTCATTGTAGTACTTTTCCTACACTCTACAAGGTCGAATTTGCAAGCCAAAAAGCTTTTCCTTTCAGTGGATCTCCGAGTACGTTAACGGGTTAGTGGCATCTCTTTGTAATTGAAATTGCAAGAAACATATCTTAGCAATATTCCGAATGCATCTCCAAGAACAAACAGTGTTGCTCACAAAGAACTCTTCATATATTGATTGACCTACAATTTTTGGATCCGCTCCCGATATCTGCCACAATCTTGGACACACTGGCCTAAAAGAAACTTAGCCACGTCTAACAGCATTCAAGACGTAGCTATTAAAATTAGATGCAATGACAGGTGTTCCGCCGCCCGGTGTAAGTATTACCACATACACCTACCCACTACTTTTCCAGGCCTGTCTAATCAATGTACCTTAGGGCAAGGGCTCGAGTAAATGGGCCCCAAACTTTGAGTTTCCATTAGAGTCCGATGAAGGAGAGGGGGAGGAGGAGGAGGAGGAGGAGGAGAAGGAAGAAGGAGAGGGTGAGGGCGAGGGAAAGGGAAAGGGAAAAGGCAAGGCCAAGTCCAAGCCCGAAGACACCAAAGAGCCGAAAAAGAAGGCGGAGACCATTCGAGGTACACCCATTGTTACTCAACCTGGGCCGAATTTGGCTGAGAGAACCCAACAAGAAACCACGCAAGAATTCTTCGACGAAATGAAGAAGGCGGAAGAAATGATGAAGAAAGATGTGACAGAGGGTAAATACACACAAGAAGAAATTGACGAAATCAAAAGATTGATGGAAGCTAGTGTGAGTCTGAATCTTATTTCTGCCGTAAGAGAAATTCTAGCATTGCAACGTCATTGGCCATCGAAAATAGATACTAATTAGTCAACAGAAGAAGAAGATGAAGTTGCCTTTCCAAAAGGAAGTTGTTGAAATGACTGCGGAACAACTAAAAGCGAAGGTCGATGAACTTCTGGAGAAATTGAAGGAGAAGGGAAAGAATGATGATTTGACGGTAGCTCAAATTGTGGATCTCCAAGACCAATTAAAACGCTTAGAAGAAGAGAAGGCCGCAGTCGAAGCGCGTGAAGCGCAACAGGCAGAGCGATACAAACAAGCCATGGCTGAATTAGATGCGATTCAAAAAGAGCGGCGACAAATGTCAGATCAAGCCGATAAAGACAAGTGGGAAAATATCCGACTAGCGGAAGCTGAAAAAGTCGCTGATAAATTGCGTGATAAAGATGATAAGATCAGCTTGTTACAACAGCAATTGAATGCCAAACAAGAAGAACTAGATCGTGTAGAGGCTAGAAGGAAAGAAGAAGAGAAGCCCACAGACGAAGAGGCAGAGAGAAAGAGGGAAGCAGCAGCTCGAAAGAGGGAGGAAGAGATCAGAAAAGAGAAAGCTCAAAAAGCTGCGAAAGCACTTCATAATAAAGATGATACGATTAGCTTGTTACAGCAACAATTGAATGCTAAACAAAGAGAACTAGATCGTGCAGAGGTCGAGAAGGCCACAGACAAAGAGGCAGAGAGAAAGAGGGAGAAAGAGATCAGAAAAGAGGAAGCTCAAAAAGCTGCGAAAGCACTTCATGATAAAGATGATACAATCAGCTTGTTACAGCAACAATTGAATGCTAAACAAGAAGAATTAAATCATGCAGAGGCCGAGAAAGTCGCAGACAAAGAGGCAGAGATAAAGAGGGAGGCAGCAGCTCGACAGCATCAGAAAGCGGCGCTTGAACAGGATAAGAAAATCAAGGAGCTGACCGAACTTTTGAAAACTGCACGACAACAAAGAGGCGTTGAAGAGGCTGCGCACATTGGAGATCAAAGGTTCAAAGAGGCGATTAAGCGTCTAGAGCTTGAGATTAGGGAGTACGAAAAACGCGTAAACAAATTGAAACATGAAAACCAAAAATTGGAGAAGGATGCAGTCCAAAACCTAAGGGATACGGAAGATTTACAAATAATTGCGGAAGATGCTACCCAAAAAAACAACGTGCATCAGAAAGAAGAAGAACAACAGATTCTGAGAGAAAGCCACTTAAAGAGAGATAGGGATACTTTGAGCAGGCAACTCATTGCGGCACAAAGGGAAATTGAAAATATGGCAAAGACACTCGAAGAGAGTACTGAGGTAATCGACCAAGCAAATCAGAGGATTGAGCAACTAGAAGGCATCGAAGCAGACGTTACGGATATAGTGGAAGCACACGATCTACTTTCAAAGGATAATCTCCAGTTACAAAAACAAGTAGAAGAACTCCAAAAACGGCTCGAAGGAGAGGGAACAGATGCTACGGAAATAGTGAAAGCAAACGATCTACTTTCAAAGGATAATCTCCAGCTACAAAAACAGCTCGAAGGAAAGGAAGCAGATATTACAGAAAAAGTGAAAGCAAACGATCTACTTTCAGAGAATAATCTCCGATTACAAAAACAGGTAAAAAAACTCCAAGAATTGCTCAAAGGAGAGGGAACAGACGTTACAGAAATAGTGAAAGAAAACGATCTACTTTCAGAGGATAATTTCCGGCTACGAAAAGAAATGGAAGAAATCCTCAAAGAGCCTCAAAATGAAGTAGTAGCCAAAATCAGAAAAATGTGGGATGATGCTAGAGACACAATGATCGATCTTAGACGAAACATGGGGAAGTTGGAACAGGAACTCGTGAAGATGCGGGAGGCGCGAGATAAAGATGCAAAAGAAGCTGCAACCGAGATTGATCGTTTGAAGGAAATTGTCAAAGTATCTCAACTTTCACCATCACAGCGAGATGATAATGCAAAAGAAGCTGCAGCCGAGATTAATCGTCTAAAGGAAAGTGTAAAAGAGCTGGAAAAAGCTAGTCAAGAGGCATTAAGCAATTCTAAACGACAAGCGGAGTTATCAAGACGGGAAATCGAACAATTGCGGAAGGATGTAGAACCAGCTAATACCGAGATTAAGCGTCTAGCGGAAATTCTCAAAGTATATAGAATGCGAGAATTTAAGGAAAAAGAAGCTGCAACCGAGATTAATCGTCTAAAGGAACTTGTCATAGCATCTCATTTTCAACCGTCACAGGAGGAGTTGGCTGAATTGAACCAAAAAATATATGAGCAAAACACTCAAGTCGACGAGTTGCGAGAAGAATTAAAAACGGAACAAATTAAAAACAAAGCCCTCTCAGAAGAACGTCAAAAATTAGAAACGACTATCCAGGGTCTTGAAGATAAACTCGCAAAGGCACCGCAAGAGTTGGCTGACTTGCAACAAAAAAATTACGAGCAAAACGTTGAGGCAATGGGATGGAAATCTCAAGTCGACGAGTTGCGAGAAAAATTAATCAAGGAGCAAAAGAAACTCAAAGTTCTCTCCGAAGAAAACCGAGAATCCAAAACGACTATCCAGAAACTTGAAGATCAACTCGTAAAGGCACTGCAAGAGGTGGAATTTGCGATGGAGAAAGTTGGCCCACGTGGTGATGCCACCGAGATTGAACAGGCGCAGGCCGCAAGAATCACGACACTAGAACAACTAATCATTAAGTTACGACAGGAACTTGCCGAAATCGACAAGAGCACAGGTGAGGAAGGTAAAAATCTTCGCCGCGAAAAAATCCTTGCCAGTCTCCAGAGTATCGAGATTATTATGGGTTTTATGGTTCTCCAACGTGCCATGCACGGTATGACGGATGGCGACATGGATCCAGCGCTAGATGCCATACAACAAGCTCTAGCCGACCAAAGTGCAGCTGAAGATGCCAGCTATGGTGGAAAAATTGCATTTTGGGGAGCTATGGTAGAATATTATGCGGGCAACCGAGAAAATGCTTTCTATGGATTCCAAAATGCCATGGATTCCCGAGATTGGAGCGAGTCCGAATTAGACTTGTTGAGGCAATGGCTTATTGAGTGTGATCCAATTAGCGGTTCAGATCCTCCGAAGGGGAGAAGCGGGTATAGAGCAGCTCTAGGGTTTGGAGCCATTAAATCCAAGACCTTGAGAGCTCCCCCGAAACGTCCGACGGATCAAGATCGTAAAGAGGCAAAGAAGGCTAAGAAAGCAGCAAAGAAAGCCGCAAAGAAAGCGAAGAAAGCGAAGAAAGCGAAGAAAGCGAAGAAAGCGAAGAAAGCGCAGAGACCAAGAAGAGCTACAGTGCCTAGGCGTCGTGGAGTACACAGACGTGATCTGTACGTGGGTGTTTTGACGCCGCAACAAAGGCTGATCTGGGACACAATTGACTTCAGTAATTTCAACTATGAGAAGTTGACTAGCGAGCAACAATCTCTATTCTCATTCCAGCCCTTCGATGATGAGCCTGATAGCCCAACTGCACCACCAGGTCCACCACCCGACTATCCACCCTACGAGTACCCACCACTACCACCTAGTCCAACCGCTTCCCACGCATCAGACAGATCATCACGAACACCACAAATAGATAGACGACCAAGAAGACCATTAAGCGTCGCTTCCTCTGCGCCCTCAATTAGAGTAGGAGACGAAGTACAGGAAGACCGTCCAATCCGTATTGCTGATCTCACTACCGATGCCGCCCTGCAAATTCAACGCCTAACTGCTCTCCTTGCTGCCAGCAGAGAACGTATCCGTGAGCTCGAGAATATACATGGCGATATATTGACTGTGAGGGCCCAACTCTATAGAAGAGAGGGACAGCTCCAAGAACTGAGACAATATTCACGACTCATGATTGCCGAGTTGACGATTTGGAGACGATATGCCCGGGAGTGGCTGCCAGAACGGAGTTGGTGGTGGCGGTTATGGAATAGATTTGCTTTTCCTTTGCTTTTTCTTGTAAATTAGTATTTGTCAATCGAAGTGTTGCATTGTAATTAGTTCTGAGTTAGATGTATATTCCTATTTAGGCCACACTTGTGGATATCTTGATCGTATCATTTGCTTACGAATTCTAGAACATTGGGTAAAAGTCCAAGTAATCAGAAAATTTATGCAAACTATATTACCGAAAGCTAAATACTATTATAAATTGTAGTAAGGTCATGCCTTGAAGGTGTAAATGCTTGAAAACGGGATATTCCACACCCAACTTGCAATACCCATAGCCCCTAAGCTCATGGTCAACGCCATAAGAAAATTGACCTCGTTATTATCAAGAATGTTCAGATATCCGTTCTCAATGATTCGACTTGGGTGATCATGCTTGAGACTTGATTTGAGTGGCGCGTTGGAAGCATCGGACTCGGCGCTCTTTTCGTGATGCATACCGGTAGGATCACCCGCATCAATCAACACCCGTTTCCCACCTTGTCCTTCAACGATACGTCCAGTCCTTGTGTCTACAACGCTCAGTTGGAACCATCCACCTAGGAAGCTATCCAACACACTCCCTAGTGCTCCCCATATAGTTAACGCATACGTTAAGCGTTGTCGCTGTAAGAAGGACCATCCATTTTCTGTAGAATCTTTGGGGTTGCAGAATGGCACAAGGACCATTGAAACGGTAACAATTATGAGAGAACCTAATAGGCCTGCCAGGAGGCCCCAGGCCGTGACACCTCCATTTGTTCCCGGTGGGACTTTTCGCAGACTTGGGGATGTGATAAGTCGTGGGTGAGTTGAGGACAAAATCCCAAGCTCCGAGCTGAAAGTGTCTGCCGCTACAGCTGCGTAATTTGCTACTATCCCCACCACGAGAAGGTCACCACCCCAAGCGTAACACGTAGATGAGTCGGTATCATTTCCTCGTTTGTATAATTGATAGGCGTGCATGAGAGTAAGAACGGAGGCAACGGCAGAATTCGAGAGAACTAAAGTGGTTAGTTTTGGTATTGCAAAACGGGAAATAACATCATACCTTGCATGTGTGTGCGAGCTCCTTCACCACCAGAAGTTCCGGTAGATTGCATCGTCAGCTTGGCCTTGACATTGTGTTTGACCTACGCTCGTCAGAACAGTACACGAAAGGACGCGGGCTTAAACAAACCTTGGTAACTCTTGTACCAATAAGATAGAAGATTATTAGAAGCGCAAAAGGTAGATTCCATGGGTGTAAGGCATGTGCGGCAGCTGTGACGACAGCTGCAATAATACCTGCGGGGGTTAAGCTTTTGTGCGATCCAGCTCGATACACCATGGCCAGAGTGACCGGAATAGCGATAGCTGCCTTCATGTTGGACTATCCTATGTATTGATCCTTATTGAGGACTGCTTAGGGAAAGGTTGATCTATAGGTGGTGCTTTAGATGTCAAAATCCTGAAGAACAATGAGATGTAGAGTTAGCTATTGTACTAGAGTAGCTCTTCGTGGGGATCAATCAACAAACATCATCAGCCGATTGACTGCCTGCATGTTTTCTCACATTACTGGGCAAGACAAAGATTTTTAAATGTAAGTTAAATTATAGATTGTTTTCTGGACTTTCATATTTATATCTAGAAGATGTTTCAATCATCAATGCTCGATAACTCATTGCTCAATCTCAATCTCAATCCAAACATATTACATATTCTTGGGGGGAATTCTGAGTGAAAGTTCGGTAAAAGATTTTTCCGGGCCGAATCATTTTGTTTGTCTAGAACATCGATGGTCAAGTATCCCATTTGATTCACTCAGTAAAAAGAACACTGAGGACTCATTAATCAATATGAAATGAGATAAGATTATTATAATATATTTGAAGTTATAAACATTTCTTAGAAACAAGGTTTTTCACGAATTCTTATCTTCTTCCCACTTTTGCTTCAGGTATAAATTTACACCGGTGTGTTCTATATCTGATATGAATCGGCAACGTCCGACCAATTCACCGGTAACGGGGCAGAGATTATATGATGAATCTATTGACTTCTCCACCAGAAATGGTCTACCACCCATATCTTGGCTTGCATGAGCGCCGAAAAGCTAGACATGCAGATGTATCTGCAATCCCAAAGGTGGGTGAGATGGAAGGAAGCACACGCATACCTTATCGGTGCAACTGATAGTTGTCAGTACATAATGCGCTCCATTCCCTAAGTCCGCCTTTCTTTCTTCATCGATTCCTGCTTTCCCAATCCCACCAGCACTATGGTGCTTCTCAAACTCAAAGCGTTGGTTATAGTGACCACGTTAATTGCCTCGATAATTGGTAGTCCAAGTCCGAAGTACCCGAAACCTGACTTCAATATCACCGACTTCGTAGAGACTCAAATCTTAGAGGATCCTTCTCCGTACGACTTTCCTATCCTTCAAAATGGCAGTCTGGCCGATAGTGGTCAATTCCCTATGCCACTATGCAATGGATTCAAGCTGGAAGAAGCTTCCATTGACCAATTGCAATCGGCTTTGACGAATGGGACCTTGACTTCGGTGCAGATCGTTCTTTGTTATTTAGAGAGGATTTACCAGACGGACGAATATATCAAGTGAGTGGTGTGCTTTATTTTGTGCCATCCTGGTTCATGCATCCAATTGATTGACAACATTGATAGGGCTGTGATGCAGATCAACCCTGAATTTATCCAGATAGCTTCTGCACTTGATCATGAACGCAAACTAGGTAATCTCCGTGGACCATTACACGGCATACCATTCCTTGTGAAAGACGTGAGTGTCACAGGTCTAATTCTCCCATGATCCACTAATAAGTTTAGAATATTGCTACGAAGGACAAATTGGAAACCACTGCTGGTTCTTGGATGTTGCTTGGTTCCGTCGTTCCTCGTGATGCTCATGTCGTGAGACGTCTTCGCCAATCTGGGGCTATTCTAATGGGGCATAGCACTCTCAGTGAATGGGCTGACATGCGCTCGAATTCGTATTCCGAAGGTTATTCAGCCAGGGGTGAACAATGTCGATCACCATATAACCTAACTACTAATCCTGGAGGGAGTTCGTCGGGGAGTGCTGTAGCAGTTGGCGCAAACCTTATTAGTTTTACCCTGGGCACTGAAACTGATGGAAGCGTTATCAATCCTGCTGAGAGAAATGGTGTCGTTGGTATCAAACCGACTGTTGGCCTTACTTCGCGTGATGGGTAAGTGATCGGGACCAGGGTCTCCAATAGTCTAGATTGCAGTCCGATTTGAGACTCTTCAATATTCGAAAAGATGTGAGATTTGAGGATAGTTTGATTGTTGAACCGATTCATTGTTCTGAATGAATTCAATATCTCAAAATGTCTTCAAGAATCAAGAACCTCTCATTTTTGGGTTGTAGTCCGGACTATTGTATGCCCCGATAGGGACTATTTTCTTTACAACTGCGTATCTTGTTAACCCCTCATCAGTGTCGTTCCCGAATCTCATAACCAAGATACCGTTGGATGTTTCGCTAAAACTGTCCGAGACGCTACTTATTGCCTAGACGGAATTTACGGCACCGATGATCGTGACAATTATACTCTTGTTCAGGAATCCCCAGCCGGCAGCTACTCTCAATATCTTACCAATAAAACTGCCCTTCAAGGAGCCGTTTTTGGGCTGCCCTGGCTCAGTTTTTGGAAATTCACCGATTCGAACCAACGGTTCCAACTCCTGAATCTCATCTCTGAGATAGAAGCCGCTGGCGCCACGATCATTAATGGCACCGAACTCCCCTACTGGCAAGCCATCATTTCCCAAGATGGCTGGGATTGGGATTATGGCACTACTCGCGGGTATCCAAACGAATCCGAGTACACATATGTAGCAGTCGATTTCTACAACGACATTGCGAAATATCTCGCAGATTTAAATAACACGGATATCCGCACCGTCGAAGATATCGTCCAGTACAATATCGACAATGTTGGATCCGAAGGCGGTCTGCCTGATATTCATCCCGCTTTCAAATCGGGGCAAGATGGCTTTCTAGCCTCACTCGCAACGGGTGGTGTCATGAATGAAACATACTGGGAAGCCCTCAACTTTTGTCATCGCACAACCCGTGAAGACGGAATAGATGCCGCTCTACATCATAACGGTACTCAGCTCGCCGCGCTGTTGGTCCCGCCGGACGTGGGTCAAACTTATCAGATTGCCGCGCAAGCGGGATACCCGATGATTACATTACCGGCAGGCGTAAGTCCAATTGATGGAATGCCGTTTGGATTGGCATTGATGGGCACGGCTTGGAGTGAGGCTAGTTTGATTAGGTATGCGAGTGCGATTGAGGATTTGCAGCAGAGTTTAGTGGGGTTGAAACAGAAGAGGACGAGTCCGTTGTGGTATGATTATAGAGCCAAAAACGTTCCTATCACGTAGAGGTTATCGATAGGTCAGACGCAAATTATTCGAAGGGCTCAATACGATTTTTCATTTTTCATTTGCTGTTGAAACTTTACATGCTCTATTTGTTGCAATAGTCATTCGGCATCTCCTGCTCTCTGCCATAGATGCGTGTCAATTATGTTTCTAATCACCCTGTTAAAGTGGGTTCGAGTTTGAAGAGACATTTGTACTCCTAGGAGCGTGAGCGTGAGGTTGAATTTCCTATATTGCAAGGGTGGCTGGAGATAGGTGGAGATATGAAGGGAGATTGCAGGTATGACTTTTTGGACTTTGTACTTGAAGTACTCGGGGTATAGTACTATGGGTTCGTTGTCTACTTCAGTAGGTTGATGAGATCAGACGACATCGCTAAATTTAGTCTCAGCATATCGAATTGGAAGAGCTAAATAGTACAACGTTTCTTCCTTCGACACTCACAGAGAGGTTTCTGGGTTCAATGTATATTGACATATGCTCACGCCTATACAGTCTTTAGATTTTATCCTAATTTCTTTTGGTACTAATGGAGATTTTTGACTTTCTTTTCGATACCAAGATCAAATTTTTGGGACTTGCTCGATATCACGGAATTTAATATAAAGGTTACAGGATCTCTTACGAGAGAGAAACGGTAGCCTCAGTGTTTTCTGTTTCTCGAGATCAGTCATATAAATCAACAGAAAGAGAAGAGGCAAGAGCTGGGCATGGCCCCGGGCCATATGCTTTCTTGTCAAAGTACTGGCAGATGTTTTCTGCAATCATTGCATATTCTTGACAAAACTGACGGTCCTTAGATTACTCTGCATGCCGGCACAGCCGGATCAAGATACGCATACATACAGCAAACAGGTCATTTAACTTGGCAGTCGTGCATCTAACATATTGAATTTCCGCATGCACGCAATAATTCAACACACAAGATGCAAAAGATGCATCCACCAGTAAAAGTGCAAAAATAACGTAGCAGTTTCGTCATCAGGTCATTTTATATCATGTACCACCGGTAATTATACTACCCCTACCGACTTTCACAAGCCTAAACTCTTGATATCGTCGCCTCTAGTCCTGCGCATTGAGTAATCTGTTCCTCTTGCTTGGAGGAAATTTTGGTTGATCGGCCGAGGTCATCGTCTTCTTTTGTTTCTCTCTTCGCCTTTGCTTCGTTCTTCCGCTTCCATCGGTAGCATCGAAGGTGTCGAAGGCTCGGCCTTGATAACCACTTGATGCTCGTCGGAGCTAGATGCTCTTAAAGTAGATGATCTCGAACGTAGGCGTTGAGGCACTATCGGCTCTTCCATCTTTACTCTTACCCCGCCTTCGTCTCGCACTTTGGTCTTAATAACGCTCCTTGCTTGTCTTTCCTCTTTCTCCTGCTTGACTTTCTCAATTTCGGCGGCCACTCCCAATGCATACACCCCTCCCAACCCGCAACCTGCGACTCTCCCTAATTCGGCTCTAAGATGATTGAGGTAACGGTCTTCCCAACCATCATTCTGAAGTATATCCACTATTTCTTGCGCTGAATTTATCATCCGCGGAATGTTGAGCTCTCCACGTCTGAAGTTCTCCGTGGCTTCTTTCAGCGCATACTCGTGGATTAGCTTGCCTAAGCTCTGATGGTAAAGGGTGCATTCCATAGAATAGTGATTGCTTTTTTGGTTTTTTGGAGCCCTCTTTCGGCGCTGTTACTTCCGTTTGTAAATGAGATGCACAAATTTGATACTCAAGTCTAAGTAGAAATGAATACAGAGAAGGCAGCGTGTCTTTTAGTAATGTGTGAGACCAATAGCACTACCAGAACACTTGGTCCAACTCGCCAATGCTGTATCTGGATAAAGTGGAAACTATCTGCACGCCGCCGCAGCTCTTAACCAGTGAAGTCGGTCCCGTATGCCAACATAGAGGCGTAGACGAGCTATACGTTACTACGTTATCATGATTAGCTCATGTAACGGGGAGATGAATCATTTACTTACAAACCCATATCGCTGACCACAGCAATCTGATTTGAAGGCGCATCGAAAGAAAAGTCTCGCAAACAGTTTTACTTCCCATGCGTCAACGAAACCGTCGGGATGGATGTTCATTTTGAAGTTGCAACGTGCGAGCCTGCAAGGTGAGCGAGATTTTTGGAAGCATACTGACTCTCTTATCGTCTAGCGTAGCGTCCAAAACGGCACAAAAAACGAAGCTGTTCATGGCAAAACTTCTCTTTGCTGATGGGTTCTTTATTGCCACTAAACTTGAGAGTTTATGAAGGATGTATGCTAGCTTGAGCTTCTTGAGTTGATCTGCGTGGTCTCCTTGGCTGCCTTTCTGTTGCCAAAGGGAATCTTCTCTCCAGTCCACAAGTATTACATTTTCGAACCAGTACATCAGCCCAGGGTTTCTTTCCGCCCTTACTTTGGTTCTCGACCTGAGCAGTACATGTCGTTCCCTCCATCAGCAATGTTTGACACTTCTTACAGATAGAATGCTTCATATCGGGGGACATGCGTATTAAACCTTTCAGAGATACTGAGCGGAGATCTGATACCAATCGACGGGAGAGAGGTTGACATGACTCAATGAGACTTGCTTCGATCTTCGATTCACACTGCATTACGTTCTCTTTCAAATAATCCGAGTCAGCTTCCTTGCTTGGTTGCTTCTGACTTTCATTTTCCTGCACAGCCAGATAAGTCGCTGCTTGGTAGAGGTATGATATTCTGCTGTACAAGCCTTTGTTTGGAATCTTGGATACCCCGTTTGCAGCTTGGGATTTAGCCATTATGCTGCTTTTCAACTCAAGTGTGTATTGACGAATAGCTGAGGGAATGTTGCAAGTTTGTCGATTATTTAAATGGATCAAATAGGTGCAATATATGAGTATACGTGAGCATATAAGTACTAGATGTACAATATGGAGAGTAAAAAAATGATTGATTAGCCAATCAAGCTCCTCCTTGAAGAATGAATTAGTGTGAAAATTGAGCTACACTTCACGTGACATAATCCTTAGCGGAAATTGGAGCCGCGCCGATAAAGCAATCCCTTTGTCGCGCTCACCCATCTTTCTTTCAATAAATCTACATCCATCTCAATTTTTCACACCACGACCTCGATCATCACGATCTATTTCATAATTCAATTGTTTCTTCTCGGTATTCTCTATTTATTCGTAACAGTTTCAGCAACAAAAGCGACGACCAAGATCGACCTTCGCGATCGACTTAACATTTCGACAATAACAACAACAAACTCAGCCTCTAACTAAATAAACATCATCAAAATGTCTGCCGGCGAAGAAGATTTGATCGATTACTCCGATGAGGAACTCGCAACAACAGAGGCACCAGCACCAGCTGCTGGCACGAATGGAGGTGTTAAGGGTGATTCGGGAAATTTGACGGTATCTGGAAATTCAGCTGCAGCCAAGAAAGGCAGTTATGTTGGTATCCATTCGACTGGTTTCCGCGAATTTTTATTGAAACCGGAGCTTCTACGAGCCATCTCCTGGTGCGGATTCGAACATCCTTCGGAGGGTTAGTCATAACTTTCATCCCTAAGCTCCATCATTGTCCTTCTCGCAGCGCGTCCGTCCATCTCGCAAGCAAGAATGAATACTCTCTGGTCAAAACTTCTGCAAGTTACGAGCGGTCCTGGAATGTCTCTACCGGCCCGATACAAAATTCGGATTGATGGCAAACATATGCGTTAGGCGAGAATCTCGAGAGAAAGCGGCGATATAATTGCTGGCAAGATTGTAGGAGATTGCGTCTAAAGTGGCATGCCGAGAGACTTCCAGGATCGACTCAAGTTCGACGCCTTCCTTGTTGCGTTTGTGTGAAGTTGACGATCTGCGCCTTTAAAGGCAAATATCGGGCCACCTCTACTTCGATCATTGAATTATGGGTGTGTTGCGTTGTGGATGTATTTTGCGTAGATGGACGGACTCGCGATCTCTTGCACCTCATTATAAATTTGGACACTTAATCTAACTTCGGTCCGATCACTACAGTTCAGCAAGTCTGTATTCCCCAAGCGATTCTTGGAACAGATGTCCTCTGCCAGGCCAAATCTGGTCTCGGTAAAACCGCCGTTTTCGTCCTCACAACTCTACAACAAGTCGAGGTAGTCGCCGGTGAAACATCCGTACTTGTGATGTGCCACACTCGTGAATTGGCTTACCAAATTCGAAATGAATATCAACGCTTCTGTCATTTCATGCCTGATGTCAAGATTGGCGTATTCTATGGTGGAGTTCCTATCAGCAAAGATGTTGAGGTATTGAAGAACCCCGAGACACACCCACACATCATCGTCGGCACCCCAGGTCGATTGAACGCCCTTGTTCGAGACAAATACTTGCGCCTCAACAGCGTCAAGGTTTTCGTTCTCGATGAGTGTGACAAGATGTTGGACCAAATTGGTAAGTGCAAATCTACAAGCTTTCCCGGCGCATAATGTTGATATTGTGTTAGATATGCGTCGTGATGTGCAGGAAATCTTCAGAGCCACCCCACCACAAAAACAAGTCATGATGTTCAGTGCCACTCTTTCTCAAGAGGTTCGACCTATCTGCAAGAAGTTCATGCAAAACCCTCTCGAAATCTATATTGACAATGAGACGAAACTTACACTTTATGGTCTTCAACAATATTACATCAAGTTAGAAGAAAGAGAGAAGAATAGACGCCTTAATGAATTGCTTGATGAGCTTTCCTTCAACCAAGTTATCATTTTCGTCAAGAGCACAGTTAGAGCCACTGAATTGGACAAACTCTTGCGCGAATGTAACTTCCCATCGGTTGCAATCCACTCTGGTGTCAGCCAAGAGGAACGGTATGTCTTATTGATCATGAAAATTTGCTTATTACTAACACATTAGCAGTATCAAGCGTTTCAATGACTTCAAGGATTTCAACAAGCGTATCTGTGTTGCTACTGATGTGTTTGGTCGTGGTATTGATGTCAACAAGATCAACTTGGCTATCAATTACGATCTCCCACCTGATGCAGACTCATACCTTCATCGTGTTGGTCGTGCTGGTCGTTTCGGAACCAAGGGTCTTGCCATATCATTCGTCAGCAGTGAGGCAGACCAAGAGGTTCTTAAGGCTGTTGAGAAGAGATTCGAAGTTGCACTTCCGTAAGTCATCCCCTCGGCCCTATCTCGCATCTCAATTCGATACTAATAACGTACAACAGAGAGTACCCTGAGGGAGGTGTCGAAGCCGCTGCATACACCAAGACCGACTAAACCTTTCTTGTCGGTTATGCCAGTTCGAAAGATAGTCTCCACTACAAATTTCCGCTATCACAGCACCACTTGTTTGTCTAGGTTGTGTTTTTTTGAGAAGTCATTGCAATGCAAGAAAAATTATGGTTCTCACAGAATTTCTTTCTTTCGCCATTTGTCTATTCGGAGGGATCATGGTCTAGTCACGGAGATTATGAGATAAATCGTGGCGTGGAAGTTGATGGCTATTTAGGGCGGCAATGGCATGATGGTTGTGGTTGAAGGTAACGCAATTATAAGAAAGAAAGTTGGCAAAAATGTTAGGTGCAATAGAAAGTTTCTTTTTCCGATATGTATGTGTACTTTGCTGCGTGGTCGATTCTATTGAATGTGTAAGACCCATTCTCTCGCAATGCTAAAGTCCGCCCCTGTATTCTATTTTCTCTTGGTGCCATAAAACCAACTTCGGAATAGACAGCTTTGAGATCCTCGACATGAAGCTTTATTTTATCAACTACTCGATATTTATTTCATGCATCTGGAGTTTGCTTGTTCAAAATGGCTTAATTATCTGCACTGAGAGGATTGTCTGAACCGAATTGCATATCTAAGCCGGCCTCAAAATCCAAGTCCAAACTGATGACATTACCCATAATCGACCTTGATATCAGCACTGAGAAAATCATCCCAAGCCCCTCTCCTCTCCTCTCCTCTCCTTTCCCTACAAGGGCTCTCAAAACCAAATGATACCATCATGAACTACCCCACCGTCCTCAATCATCTCTCTTCTTCCAGCACTCTAACCCTCACGTCCCTAGCCAACGCGTTCTGTTCTTCACATGAGCAACCCCTTCGTGAACCTTTCCCGCATCCCTGTATTCGCTCTGAGAATGTAAGACCTTCACACTTAGTCAATGGATGTGGTTGTTCACTCGCAACCAACGTCTCGGATATTTGGAAATTGGGAATTGGCAGGATTTCATCACTGTTTGTGTTAGCTAGGCAGCGACGCAGCGTTGTGGGTGGGGGTATCTGTGGCGGGGACTGGGGGTGGAGTGGAGGTGGAGTGGAGGTGAAAATTGATGATGTGAAATCTGGATAGAGTTGGTGAGCTTGTTGACGTGGGAGAGAGGAGGTTGTGCGGGGAGATTCTAGTGAGGATGGGTGTTAGGCTGTTAGCTGGGTGGGTTCTTTCTCCATATAGCAAGCAGCCTTCAAGATCGCGATGAGAAGTTGAGGATGCAGAGTGCAGAACGCAGAACGCAGAAAAAATACGAATGCAAGTAGTCGCATCGAAGATTCATGTAGAGAATCTTGTCCATTCTATTCTCGCGATGAGTAATGGTTCTGAAAGCTTAGATGGTGGGGCATCGGATATCACGAGGTTTATCCGCTTGTATTCGGCTTGTATGATGCTATAATCGTTGGTACCGTGGGATGCGTAGAGAATGGCGGGACGGAGGCTGGTGAGGGTCGTGGAGAAATAGGCGGTGTAGATAGGACTAGAAAATTTCGAGGGGAAGGCCTGGATAAAGGTTGGATTCATTGCTGTGGTAGCGACAAGAGCTGATGATGTTGGAGAAGAGCTTGTATTAGCATTGCTTTTCACTGTAGTAGCTTCGATGACAGCTGATGGTAGTGGTAATGTGGTTGTAGTATTGTTGTTGACCATTATTGTGTTTACGATGAGAGCTGATGATGGCAATGATGTATCTATTGTATCATCATTGTCGGCTGTCGTATTCGAGGTGGTTGTTGAGGAGCCATTTTTTCAGTTGATTATTGTACTGGTGTCGTCGGATAATTCAGGGGAAGAAACACTGAGCCCAGATATCTAAAGTAGGCTTTTAAAAACATATGGTGATAACACTCCCTTTATGGAACTAGACAAACTTGTACAAAAACTAACTGGGTTTGACTTGCAGGTGAATTCGTAGATCTACAAAGACTTTTTATGAGTGAAGATTAGATTCAGATGAGATACCTCAGATGGGATAGTTGGGATGGGATATATTCAACTATTCTATCTAAATCCGAATACTGGAAAACCTGTTTTATCAAATTGTTTAAGGACCTGAAATTTGAGATTATGTTCGAATGAGATATCTCAATATCTCAAGGGGGATATGATAGATCTTCTATCCAACCTGAAGATGTGACATTTACTATCCTCACTTGTTCTTACTTTGCATCATGCCAGTGTTGTTGTTGTTTTTCAAGCCAAGTTTGTAAGCTTTACCACTCAGATGTATGGGTTTCAAAGATGAGGACTTCACTAACTACTCACAATGAACACCTTTTTTCTCTCTCCTATGTCTAGCCTAGCAGAACACTCCCCTTTATCATCTTTGTTATTCCTCAATTATACCATTCTGATATATATCCTATATATGACTTGGTTCACCACAAGCTGGCTCTTGAAACATCCCTCCTTCTTTCTCACTTCTCTACAGAGTCTAGAGAAATGTGCAATCATCGGCTTTGACTCAGTTCAATAAAACCAATAGGTTACTTGATTTAGACCTATAAGTTTAGCAGTTGTCTGCTATTTTCTTTGTCCTTTATTATCGGTCTTTCTTCTGTTTTAGAAACTATTGCAACATATGAACATATAGCCAAAAAAAAACACTCACACATCCTCTATCTCACCACACCAGCTTTCTTTCAAGTTCAAGTCCTCCAACTCCCCAACTTCTTGTCTCCAGCTTTCCCATCATCCTGCAATCATCTCTATCTCTTCGTTCTCCCCCATCTCTCTATTCAAAAAAGTCCTTCTAATACCCATTAAGTATCCTTCAATCCCAACTCAAACTGCTCCCCAAACACCCCACAAATCCCCCTCAAAATCCCAACTATCCAGAACCACTGATAATCTACCCTTCAAGCCCTTCAAGCTCTCAAGGTTAACATCACTTTCCTGTTTAAAGTAAATTGCAAACTTCAGGTTCCAAAATCTCGAGTACATGATTACCGGCAACTTAATTACAAGGTAATCGTACTGAAAGTGAATTATTAGTGTAGTTAGTACTGAGTAGTAGTCTAAATACACTTCAAAGAAAGGCATGCACCATTTCGGATGTAACTAGATGTTTGACAATCTGGATATGAAAATTTCAAGATAGAAATTAATATGGGACATGGCCCAGGTTATATAAACTTTTGACTTGAATCTCTTAATCCCAACTACTAGCATCAACTTCTCAGAATCTCATCTTACCAAGTAACGGTGTAATTTGTAGATAACATAACTAGATAGTTGTCACGGGTAAATCACGAGTTGCGATTGCAATGCCAGAAACAATATCGTTAATTCAATCATCCACCATGCAATATCATATACCCTTCAAAATATCAACCTTGTCCTTGAGATTTGGATTTTGAAATTTGACTAATCATCTATCATTGTGGTAGATCTCTCAAGTGCTTCTTCTATTCACCTCCTTTCCTTCCTTCTCTCCTGACTCTCTCATCTTCTCTCTCACCTCATCTCTCATCTCTCATCTCATCTCATTTTATCTCTCCTTCCTCTCTCCTCTCTCCTCTCTCTCTCTTTCTCTTCTTCCCTTCCCTCCTCCTTCCACCAAATCCAAATCCAAATCCAAGTCCAAGTCCAAGCACCACAGCAACCCCCTTCCCATCACATCATAACACTACTCAAAGCACTCTCTTTCTCTCCTTTCTATCCTCTCTTTCACACTCTATATCATATCATCTCATCTCATCCAAATTCCCAACATCCATCCATTTCATTATCCAACCATGCAGCCACCCCAACCACCCCTCAACCACATCCTACACACTGCACACTACAAGCCTCTATAGTTATTCAGACCCCAATTCATCAACCCTCACCACCGCTACCCAACAAACCCATCCCATCAAACCAAACCACAAACACAAATCAGAATATAGCCCCCTCCCAAAAAAGAATCAACTTATCATACAACTCCACCCACCACCCACTACCCCAAATAACTTCACATACACAGTATATAAACTTCAACCCCTAACTATTAAGTTTTAACATAACATACACAATCATTACAGTTATTATTACAAACTCCACTCCCGACTCCCGAGTTCCTACCACAGCACAGGATGAGCTCACCACATCCATCCATTATCCATCCATTATTCATCCATACAGATTATCTACCCTCTCTCTCTCACACCAATTGACTTGACTTGACTTGACATACTCAGACTAGACTAGATTAGACTTGCAAATCTATGTTTAGTTCAACCTTCAATCTTTAATTCTCAATCTTCAACTATTCTCCTTTTCTATCCTCATTTCCATCCATTCATCCCATCCATCCATCCATCCCTATCACCATTCACTTTCATCAACCTTCGTCAATTTCTGAATTTGAATCAATTTCAATTTTCAAATTCAATTCATCGACCACCATTCTCCTTCATTTCCACTTCCATTTCCATTTCCATTTCCATTTCCATTTCCATTTCCATTTCCACTTCCACCTACACTCCTTCTATACTTCTACCTTCTCTTCTACCTCCTCTTCTACCTTCTATTTTGTTTTCTCTTTTAATACCTTCCCTTTTATATCTATCTATCTCCCTCTTTCTCATTCTCTCCCCCTTTCTCATCCCATTCCATCCTACATCCCTATCCCTTTCCCTATCCCCACCATACCACTTATATATATATCGTTTCCCTACCCCCTAATCCCGGTCCCATATATCACACACACACACACACTCTCTCTCTCTCTCTCTCTCTCGTTACAAATACATATACAAGTACATATACCCATCTAGTACCTATCCAGTACATACATACACCTAGTATCCAGTATCCATTTATCCATAATCCAGTCCCCAGTCCCCAGTCTCCAATCTCCAATCTCCAATCTCCAATCTCCAATCTCCAATCTCCAATCTCTAATCTCCATCTCCACCATACAAATACAAATACAAATACAAGCAGTCTCCTAACCCCAACTCCAACCCCAACCCCAACCACGATTCTCAAGCCATAAATCAATCACCAATAATTGCAATCAACAATACAAATATCAACAAATCCTATCAACCAACCAACCAATCCAACCACAAAATATTGAATCCATAATTCATAATTCATAATTCATAATTCATAATTCATAATTCATAATTCATAGTTCCGATTCGAATATATACTCCTACCTACTCGAGTACATACCTACCTATCTAGTAATACATATACATATACACCAACAACACCATACTCAATCCATCTCACACCCCCCCTTCCCCTCCCCATTCCCTTCCAAAACCAGTGACTACCACCCCCTCCCCCTCTCCCTCAAAAAGAATCATCACTATACAAACGAACAATCCACAAAGCCAAGCAAAGCAAAGCAAAGCAAAACAATATACACTACAAAAACCTCGAACAAATAAATAAACCGACCTCGCAACTCACATCTCGCACTCACCTAATAAAAGTAAGTATACATATTACATATACATATCAATACCTCCTATCCAAACCAACCCATCCCATCCAAACCATCCAAACCACACAAACAAACCATATTCCACATCGGAACTTACTTATTACTTATTAAGCAAGTGAAGTAGCTTACCTCACTTACCTCACTTACCCACCTTACCTTACCTTACCTCACCTCACCTCACCTCACCTCACCCACGTACCCGAGTAAATTAAATAATAAATAAATCCCGCCAAACCCCGTCCCGTCCCGTCCAAGTCCTAAACAACCTGACATTACTAGTCCATCCATCCAATCATCCATTACATCCATCCAACCATCCATCCATCCCGTTCAACACCAATGATAAATCTTTTAAAAACCCTAGGTTCCCGAACTTCCAAGCTCCAGCGTTTGATTAATTCTCCGAGCTAATGATCTATCATGATTCATGTTCATGTTGGATGAAAGCTCTTACTGTATACATACATACATACATACATACATACTTCCCGTGCCAGCCACTGCCTGCCAAAGTTCCAAAATGTTAGACGGCGAAGAATATGGAAGGTTGGAACTTGAAATAGTGGAAGGATGGAAGGTTAAAAAGTGACGGGATGGCCTGAGCTGAGCTGAACTGAGCTGTAGGTTTTTCCAAGTAAAGTAGTAATTACTACCTATTTAATACAAGACCTGTCTGTGCCCAAGCATTTTTGTTTTCGTACGGAGTAAACTGATCGAAGACTAGCTAAGCTAGTATCATAACATTGTACTCGGATGAGATGAGACAGGGCGGGTATTTTGAGATACGGAAACGCTGAAACGAGGAGATACAGATACAGACACTACATATATGAGTATGCATACCGGTACGTACATACATGCACGTGAAGTGATACTATACTAAAGTATCATATCACTGCCACGGCAACCTTCTTCTGGATAACCAAAAAAAAAGGATTTTGCGAACTGCCACTGCAAGCAACCTTCAGGGTAAGGGAAGAAATTATGACATATGGTATTCTTGCCTTCAAGTCATGCCAAAGTACGTACAAGCAAGCCTACAAGGAAGATCTGGAACTGGCTTGTCAACTGACGCCAAGCCAAGCTCGAGCTTTTGAAGTTCTTTTGGGATAACGTTTGGAGGGAGAGAAACTTCCTTTCCATATCTCTTACCGTGACTTGTAGTACTCGAGTATGTACTACACACCTACTCGAGTAGTAGTAAGGACGAGAATCTTCTGTCAAAGAATGAAATCCTAGTGAAGGATCAAGATAAGATAAGTATGTGATTGTGAACAGCATACACATACATACAATAGCGAAATCTCCAAGTGTAATAAGCCAACGAAAACATAATGGTACCGTGGTGGTACCTTACAACCTACCGGAACCACCCGCAAATCTAATCCGAGTCCGAAGTGCGAGAGTAACGATAATACCAATTTCGGAGGATTCGCTTTTGATCTCCCAATGGAAAACGTCGGTACAGTATGACCCGTATGAAATATGAATCCAATATCCCCTCCCCTGTACTTCAAATATATTGGCAAGCTTACCCTTGGCTAGAAGGATGGAATTTTGATTTTCTTCCATTGAGACCTTCGGTTGTACCTGAAAATCTTTTGCCTCCTCTGTTCTATTGTATACTACAATAGCGTTGTATATTCATTATTTTGATACAATAACGATAACAATGAAATCCTGTCTCATATGAACCCTGCAAGATTCAGCGGTTCACATCGTTATTTGGTCGTATATTGGAGACATTGATTGGTAGTAGGGTATATTTGTTTATTTAGCTCTACAACTAACTGTGTGATGAAATAGGGTATATCTGCAAGGTAAGGTAGCAAATGGCACACACCTTATTGAATCCTATTGAGAAGGATACCCCGAGTATGAGACCAATAGTGAAGGATTCCTCGAAGAATTGTATTGTTTGATTTTTGTTGCCTATTTGTTAACCATGCCTTCGACATTTGATATTGACTTCGAACTCTCAAAATACCTTGTATATGAGGCGACAGCACGAAGTGGTAGATTTGATTGATTGGGTTAGCTCAAAATAGAATTACCCTGGGCCATATTTTTATATCAAAAATTGTAGCCCTAGATGAGCGGTCGGTCAGATCGACATGGTTATCCATAATAACCCATGTATTTCCATATAAAATTAGGAGCAGAATGGTCTGCCTTGGTTTGGCGAAATCTCGAAGATATCAATTCCTCTTTTTATCTCAGAAGTTGATTCATAGTGGCTCGATTGTTCGAGCTTAACGGTACAGTAGCTTAAGAACGCGTCAAATATATGGAGAGAAAAAGGTTCTAGAGACACAAATGCTTCCTGATCTTCTTCTCCTGAACGGCGGTTGAACCACGAATATTATGGAGCGTCTTCGTTTTTTATGCATCGATTTTCACTCCATAAGTTCTTTTTTTGGTAAGATTGATGTCGTGGAGCCTGTGGAGTCCATTCGATTGCTTCCCCTAAGAGGCTAAGACAAGATGTGAGTTCTACAGCCGACTTTGTATACGTCTCCTTTTCATCGTCATTGGTACGATTGGGTAGGTAGGGCATCCAGATATAGACATTGAGTTGTGCATGGCATAGTGCATAGATGATTTGACCAAGCATCTCATAAGCATCTAAGATTTCCGGACTTTCCGAACCTCCTATGATGTTGTGATACGCGTGTCGAACCAATGCAGGCTTCGTTTTCAACGAGAATTAACCACCTTTCTATAGAACCCTGTTATGCTGCATTATGCCTGCACAATTCAGGTCGACCAGGATTTTGACAGTACCGTACTGCATTTCTCTCCTCGCACAAACACTATCTCATAATCAATGCCCCCTCCCTCCCTTCTGGGCCCCTACCCTCACTATAAAATATTGACCCAAGAGTTCCAACTTGATTAATTGCTGTCGTCTAAGACAAACGCCGTTCGGGTTATTGATATGGACGGATGTTAACCTGGCGAGATTTGTAGGTCGATCTGCTGGCAAAGGCACAGCAAGTGCTGAGGGAAAACCAACGCATCGTAGACGCACGCTATCGATCTGATGGCCATTAAGGGACATGGAACGTGTGTGAACAGCGGACTTGCGGGTATTGATGATTGTCGTGACATCGAATTGATTGTCGTGAGCGGGGTTGTCAAGACTATACCGGTATTCGCATAGGATTTCGTACTTGGGTAAGACCGTGAAGCCTTTGAGGATTTTGAGATTTTTGACTATTCGGTGTCGTGGGTAGGTAGGTAGGTAGCTATCCCTGCAATCGCAATCTTGAATTTGCACAGCCCTTTCAGTCGTGGAAGCTTCTCTCTCCCTTTTATCCCCCTCCCCTGACCGTATTGTCTTTTAACCTCCTAACCTATGAATCATCTCTTTTTGTTATCTGATATGAGAACAGAAATTCTCAAGCACAGCCGTATGTACTCGAGGAAGTTGTTACTGTACTTTGAGTCAATTTTAGGATATAGGATATACTTAAAGTTCTGATTTTAAGAATCTCACTCTGTCTGATCATTCAAAATATTAAATTCTGACGGAGGGATCTATTCGGGTCGAGTACCCGTCCCGGGCTAGTATTCGTAGGCTGGCCGCCTGTCAATCGGTATAACTACCTAGGTACGCTAAGATGTTGTATCTAATCTCGAATTTTGGTAGTTCAGTTCCTTTATGATCCGACTTCTGTAGTTGATAGATATCTTAAGCTACTTACCGTTATACATCACAGCTTCACAATTTCCCTAATCAAAAATGAAGATGTCAATGATGGTCGCTGTATCGATGTAATGAATCGTCATTGCCTTTTCTAGCAGCAGTGTTCGTATACTTGGTCTGGATGCGTCTGCCCAAATTGACTTTCGCGAAAACAATCGTGACAGACAAGACCTTGTATCAACTTTTTCTCACTATGGCACGATAACTCTAATCAGTGTCACCGCCGACTCATTGGCTTCTTCTATCAAGATACCTATGATATGATTTGATATTCACGGCCATTGGTCCTAGATACTTTATACTCCTCGTTGATAAGAGGAATGGAATTGAAACGCTGTACTATAACACCTTTTTATTAGAGTTTGTCATTTATATCAAACTACTCTTTTCCTGAATATGACTTGATATATACTATGAGATATCGTCTAGGTAAGTGATAATATAGTTACAATGATGATTATGATTATACAGTAGCTTAGAACTTACTTTTCTTACTTTCTTACACTGCCACCGCCCACTGCCACTGCCACTGCCCACTGCGACTGTGACTGCAGTAACAACCTCGCAACCCGTCCCAGTTCAAGTCCCTATCATCATCGGTCGGGTACGGAGAACCATATCAACCCGGGACTAAAAAGAATAAGCAGGCAAATCCCTTCTCTCTCTCACAAGTTATCAACCCATTTTGGCATCAGCAAGAGAAAGGGAGAAGAAACAAGAATTAGGGATAGGGAACATCAGATCAAAACGAATTCGACCGCATCCGTCGTTTAAGTTCACTCATTTAAAAAAAAAATTGGATTTTTCCCTTCATTCTTGTCAACAGCCTCTCTCTTTCTCAATTTTTAATACTCCACGCTACCTATCCACGTATACCAGGGATTAATTACAATCATTCAGCCTTCAAATCCACCAATATCTACGGTTCCGTAAGCTATTGACCAATCCGACAACGTTTTTGTCTGCGTAGTAGCACACGAACTTTACGACTTTACGACTTAGGGAACCTTTTTAATCCATTACCAAACAACGCCCAACGCCTTTTTTTTCCATATTCCTCGCAAGTTCGCAACCTCCGAACTTTCGAACTTCGAACCCCGTTCCGTCAGCAACCCACAATCACCATAATAATCCACACTCTTTTCTTTGCTGTTTTTTGTTCTAAAGCAGATCCGATTATTCACGGCCCCAATTTCACCAATCCAGGTCATCGAAAGACTCACCTAAGCTTAAGAAAAGCTGTCTCTCTAGGCCTCACGCTCGTTTTAGCAACAGACTAGGATTCTCAATCCAAGTCGAAAATAAACCTCCCACTAATAAACCTCAGTTTGGCACGCCGAGACAGGGGGAAATACAATACTGCTGCAAAAGCGAAAAATTACAATTTCACGATTTGATTTGGCAATAGTTTGGAAGTGGTCCGGCGCATTAGAACGAACGGACGAGGGACGGCAGAGTGAGCTGCTTCATCTCAAACTTGGTTGAATACTAGACCACCTTTAGTCAAGATGGCTCCCACCCCTCCCCGATTAAGAATTCTATCAGGTTTGTCTAATGCAAATGTCCTTTATTTCTCTCTCCACTTTTCTATCACGCTAGTTAAACACCCATCTCCCGTCAATATCTTCATTTTTCTTGTTGTTGTCGTGGTTCACCGTGTGCGATTCCGTACATTTTCTCTATCGTCGGCGTTAAAATGGCAGGCAATGAACTAATCAGCGTGTGTACAGTCGGCGGGAATGCTGTTTCTGCTTTCCTGTCATGGAGGCTTCAAGCCACCAACGCTTGCGATGTGACACTGGTGTGGAAGTCTGGATTTGATGCTGTATATCAATACGGAATATCATTCAAGTATGTCTGGACATCGATTTCATCTACAGCAGTCCACTAACCCGTACGCAGATCTACATCTTTTGGCAACGAACGATTCAAACCACGGCATGGTATGATATCCATTATCCACTCCAAAGAAAAAAACAAGCGAATACTGATTGATCATATCTAGTTGTTCGCACACCCGAAGAAGCCGCAAGTAATAAAGATGGGCCTTTCGACTACGTCCTACTTTGCGTAAAAGCTCTACCAGATGTATACGATCTCGCGGCGGTCATTGAATCTGTCGTCACACCACAACACACATGCATATTAGTCAACACTACACATACTTTGGGTGTCGAGGCCCATCTCGAATCGAGGTTTCCAAGCAATGTTGTATTATCACTCGTCTCAGGGGCTGAGATAGTGCAATTGGGAGCAAGCGAATTTGAGCATAAAGGTTCCACCGAGATATGGGTTGGACCAGCAAATAAAAACCCTTCGATGCCTAGCACTATTCAAGGAGATATGGCTGAGGCATTGGCAATGACTTTGAGTGGTGGACAAGTGGACTGTCATGTTTCCACGAACATAAGGCAACAACAGTTTGAAAGGATGATTGGGTAAATTTCCATCAAGACTGCTTCCGAGTTGAAATGCTTGCTAACGTTCCTTCGTAGACCCATAGCTTTTCATCCACTGAGCGTACTCTTCGAAACGTCATCTCACTCTGCTTTGCTCGAGAAAGTTGGCGTGAGATCGATGATCTCGGAATTATTTGACGAATTGATCAACCTTGCCGAAGCACAAGATTGTTCATTTCCCCCGAATTTCAAAGAAAAAATTATGGAGGAAATGACAAAACCTTCCGAAGCTAACAGTATAATGTACCAAGACTATGCTGCAAAGCGGCCGATGGAGGTCGAGACGTATCTTGGATCTCCCATAAAACTCGCTCAACTTGTTGGAGTCAAGGTACCTCGCATAGAGACTCTCTACCCAATCCTCCACAATCTCAACATTGTCAATCAACAGAGGAAAGATACCGGCCTAACGCCTCTGGCTTCTCCTATGGCTCCTCCCATGAGAATGTCTTCTGCTCCTCCCCCTAGACCTATGATGAACGGAGGTCCACCCAATGGCGCCGGAAGAGGGAGAGGGCGTTCACCTTCTATGGGTCACCCTCCGCCGGGTATGCGACGCGGACCAGGCGGGCCACCAAATGGTTTTGGCCGACCACCACCTCCAAATGGATTCCCCCAATCGCGAAACCAGTCGAGGCGAGGGTCGCTGGAAGGTAATGATCTCGAAGAATTTAGTCACTTGGTTCTATATGACGATATTCCCGAAGGTGGAGAAGCACCTTATCCCGCTGAAGGTGGTGGTGATGTTGCCCTAAGAGAACGCGAATTAATGCTTAGACAACGCGAGCTTGCTCTTCGAGAGCAGGAGATGCGCATACGTCAAGGCGGACCTCCTCCTAGATCTCGCCGTGGTCCACCTACACCTTCAGTGCGAAATGGAGGATTCGACGATGACGACGATGACGACTATTACGTAGACCCTGCAGACGCTCCTCCCGTACCTCTGATTGATCCCGACAATTTTGATATGATGAGCGTTACATCGCGTCGAAATCGCGCGAAGGCTGCGCCGACAAAACAACAAATGCGTGCTAACCCCGAATACGATAATGCTCCACCTCGTCGAGGCGGTGGATTTCTGCGTGGTAACACCCCTCGGAATCGTTCTAGCGCGAGAATAATAAGTCAGGTGCCTGGCTTACACGACAATCTAATGGATGATCCTTTAATGGCATATTCATCCAATCGATATGGTACTGTGGATCGACAAACAATGGGTATGGATTCAAGGACAAATTCATTAACAGCTGCTCGACTGGACGAGTTACAGTTTGGATCATCTGGTCCACCTACCCATGGACAGGGTGGTCCATATCCAACGACAAGGCGAGCAAGTCAATCGCCCGGAAATCCATATAGTCCGCAAGCACAGAGAGGAAATGGGAGACCTTCACCACCGAATGGGTATATGGGAGGGCCTGTGAATGGTAGACCCTCACCTCCAGGAGGTATGAGGCAGCCTGCACCTCGGCATCCACCGGGGCAGGGGAATATGGTTGCACCGCAACAGGTTGAGCAATATGCTGGGGTGAGCGCCCTCCATCCACCAAAAGGTCCTGTGAACGTGCGAAGTCTGACCGGAAGTGCTAGCGCTAGCGCAGGTAGTGGTGACAGCGGCGCCAGCGCCACCCTCGACTCCGAACCATCTGCAAACAGCAGTCAAAGTAGCCTCGGGCCACGTCCACCCATGGGGGTGAGGTAGATTCAAAGATGAAGCTAAAAAGTTACTCGATATTTGTCATATTCGTCTTTGGATGACAATGTTACGCGTTCGGTTTACTTGATTCAACGACGCATTCCGTCTAAACGATGGCCTTTGCCTCCTTCATCTGCACATACAGTTTATACCTTTTCTTCGAACTTTGCTTTAATGGCTTCGACTACTCTCTTACGATTTTCAAAAATTCGCGGAACGACTTTTTCTCGTGGGGAAATAATGATGAAATACACAATTAGATTTTGGTGGGGTTTGAATGAGGAAGCATTGCCTTTTCTACGTCTTCCGGTTGAGGAGGGGACGAGTACATATGCATGTGTATGGCGAGATTCATCGCACACAAGTTTTGTTTTTTCTTTTCTGGTAATATTGCATTTGGGGTGGCGTCTTGATGTCTGCATATAATTTCTATTCTCCATTTTCCCACACTTGCTTTGGGATAGCTCATGCGAGTGAGTGACTGAACAATATTTCGATCTCGTCTTTACCTCTTAATAAGTGGATTTGTTGGTGGGATAATGGATGGAGATCTTGCTTAGTATATGGCAGAGAAGGAGTTTTCCTTCCTTCTTTCACCACTTCACTTACTGGATGGCTTCGATGGAATGAAGGACTCTATTCGGCGCTGTGCATCAGTCAAATAAAAATCGTGGAATGGATAGAAAAGTATGGAAAATCCTCATCACTGCGAGCTTGAAGGTGAGGACGAGGAAGCAGGGATGACGGATATGAGATATTTATTTTGTTGGTTGATTGCTAGATGGATGGATCGAATGGAATGGGACGGAATAGGATGGGATTGATAGGATGGATGGATGGTGTTGTATAGATGGATGGATGGGCGGTCAAGGCGAGGGAGGTAGGCGAAAATTTCACATTGAAAGCCGAATGAAGGCGAAGCGCGCAATTGGGACGGAATAACTATACTATCTAGATAAATGGGGAAACTTGAAGAGAGAGAGGAATTGGGGTGGCTGGTTGGATGGATGGGTGGATGAATGAAAGAAAGAAAGAAAGAAAGGGAAGTCCTGTGCGAGCAGTGCAAGTAAGTAGGTAGGTAATCAGTCAGTCATTTCTGGGAAATAAATACGAGAGATAATTTGGAAGTGTTGGGTTTGTGTGTGTGTGTAGGTGATGTGTGATGTGTGAAAAATGTACGAGTAAAGAGGGGTCATTATACAGTTATACTTGGGAGACTGTGGATGCAAGTGCAAGTGCAAGATTCTAGGTTAGGCATTGTTGATTTTGCAACCAAAATAATTATATTGATGATGATGATGATGATGATGATGATGAAGGGGAGAAAGGGGGGAGGAGATGCGTATGATACGGTGAGGCTTGTTTGGTGTATAGTGATTAGTGTATAGTAATCAGTGGTTATGATTAGGAAGAGGAAAAGGGAGATGGAAAAGGAGAAAGGAAAGGAAAGAAAGAGAAAAAAAAAGAGGAAAAGGAAGAGGAAGAGAAAAAGGAAAACGGAGATAGAGATGTTAATAAATAGAATAGATGAAAGAGACAATACAGAGAAATAGAAAAGAAAAGGGAGAAAGGAAAGGAAAAGGATGTAGGGAAGGGAAAAAAGGGAAAGAAAGGAGTAGGAGAAGGAAGAGGAAATAAGGGAATAAAAGTAGGAAAGGAAGAGAAGGAGGAGGAAGGAAATGAAAGGTTGAGAGGTTGAGAGAATGAGGATTGATCGGGAGTTTAGTTTTAGTTTGTGGTGATGGTAGTTAAAAATATTACAATATCATCGTACTCTCTATTTTCCACTACCTATCTCGTAGTTCCAAGTTCTGATCTATCATATATACTAAAGCCAACCCAGCATTGACTTTCCTTAAATTTAGACCTACCTACCTTTAAATTCTATATAATATCATATAACACCATTACCATATCATATGATATATCATCATAACTCGAACAACAATCCAATCCAATCCATTTCTTTATATTCGAGTGTTGGAGAAACTACCCACTGTACGAGTAGAGTGGTAAACATTTAATTCCATGATAGGGATAGGTTAGTTGGTTCATAATTAAATGATAACTTTATAGCTTTATCACTCGCGCGGGTGTCGTCACTTCATCACCAGTGGTAAGTTCTTACCAGTTTTCTGATTTCTTACTTCTTGCTTTGCAACTATACTTCTTATTGTATACTCACTCATACAGTAGACCCGTATCACCGTCCTGCTAAACGCTAAGCGCAGTTCGTAAACTCGCCTCATCCTCATGCTCATCTAATGACTCTGGTGAGTGATTCTGGGTTAGTGATTCTAGTGGTTCTAGTGATTCTAGTGATTGTGGGTCAGTGACTCGTGAAGAAGTGGAAGTGGAAGTGTGTAGGTAGGTAGGATATTAAGACTAAAACCAGGAATTAAAGAATTCTAGACTTTACTTAATTTTAGACATCTTATTTTCCACAAGGATTTTGAACTTTGAGGGGGGATTTTACTTAGCTTATCTATGTATTTTGTTCATTCATTTTTTTTTACTATACTCGAGTACTATAAATACTTATTTATACCTCCATTTAGATATTTAGATATCTGGGATTTGATTTTGAGATTTGGGGTGAGTTGAGTTTGGAGATATGAGTTGGAAATGTGATGTGGAAGGAGGGAGGAGGGAGGAGGAAGGTTTGAGATGGGTGTTATTGTTGCTATTGCTGCTACTGTCTATGACTATTGTTTGTTTGAATGTATAGTATAGGATAGTATAGGATAGGATAGTATAGTCTGTCAGTCAGTTAATTAATCATATAATACCCATATCCCCTCCTTTCCCGAACTCCAGTATACAGTATACAGTATCCAGTATCCAGTCTCCAGAAACCAAAGTCCATCCAGTCTTCTCCACTCCACTCCAAATGAAACATTCACTATTCACCATCCACCATCGACAAAGACAAAGATAGAGATAGAGATGACCTATCATCGAGTCACTAACAAATACTTATTGTTGTTTACCTATCTATCTATCTATCGATTGATGAGTATTAGTATTGGTGATAATATCAAATATTGACGGGAGATTTGGGTCGCAGCTTGTAGTTTGTAGTTTGGAAAGTTATGTGATATGAATGTTGGATGGACACTATTAATGAGGATAAGAAGGATGATGAGAATGAGGGTGGTTAAAGACTTAATGTATTGCAGTGTTGATTGTGGAAAAATATAGTGTAAGGAAGTGGACGTCAAGAAGACTGACTGACTAACTGACTAATCTACATGGAGCGTAACGTAACGTACTCGAGTATATAAGCCAATAAATATTTGGAGAATTTCAAAAAGATATATTGGAGGAAGTGGCGAAAAGTGGTGAAGCGAGGGAAATTTAGGAAAAGTATTCATCATCTTGATTTTAGTTCTGGAAGGTAGTCTTATGTGAGCTAGAGTGTAGGGGGATTCATGGATAGTTAAAAAAAAGTGGTGAAGGGAGGAAAGCATTCATTGTCTGTTTTCAGTTCCAGAATGTAGTATTATGTGAGCTAGAGTATAGAGTAATGAGATTCAAGGACACATTGAAGAAGGTGGTGAAGCGAGGGAAGGTATTCATCAACTTGATTTTAGTTCCAGAACGTAAGTAAGCTAGAGCGTAGAGGGATTCATGGACAGTTAAGGAAAGTAACGAATTGAGGAAAGTGTTGATCATCTTGATTTCCATCTTGATACACTCCAACATTCATATATTTCCCTTCTCGCTCAATAAGTGATAAAATATACTCTCGTATGTCTGAAGAACCCAATAAAGCAAAATACCGCTCATAAAAATGGGTACTAATACCTATCAAGTTCAGCCATCTTTGGCAGAAACCTGACCTCAGACACCACTTGCTTAAAGTTCCGAGGCAGGCAAATCGGCCTCACCTGAATCTGTCAACCTCGATAACCTTCCCGGCCTCCCTCAGACACCACTTGCTTAAAGTTCCGAGGCAGGCAAATCGGTCTCACCTGAATCTGTCAACCGCAATAACCTCCCCGACCTCCTTCGATTCTTTCCATCCGCCAAATAACTCATCCAGACTACTTCCCATAGTTTCTTGAACTCAATCAGCAGTTCCTTTTGATCCTCCTTCCGGAGTTCCATCCTCTCAATACCATGCACGTGGTTACTCAATCTTCGAACCAAGTCCGCCGCCCATTCCTTCACCGATTCGAGACCTTTCGTATTCAATTCAAATCCCATTGAAGAAATCAAAACTTCTCTTGCTAGACATTCTACACGACTCTTCCACTCCACAATCTCATTGGTGATCACTTCCAAACGATCATTGTCAACTCTCCTCGTGACATAGTTGATCAACAAGCTCTTGAGTCGATTTCGAAGAAAATAAGATTGCTCCACCAAGATGAGCAACTCGTGTGGTGGCTCGGGAAAGATTTTGGTATTATGAAAATATGGTGTGAAGCCATACTTGTGTCCCTTGCACTGAGGACAAAGAGGAGCTCTCACAGGTGAAGGTGGAGGTAATGCGTCAGAAGCTGATGAGGGTTGAATGTCAAATGAGACGTGGATATCTTGCATTCCGGACATTGGAGGAGTTGAAGCCATCGTTGATGTTCCATCTGGCTCGTATAAGGAATGTGTAGGAGAATAGAAAGATGTAGTTTCGGCTTGACAAACTCGCGTACCCAGAGGATAATGACAAGGATCGTACGCTTTCAATATGGAAATTTCATGTCTGTGAGGCGATGGAGGAAACTTGAGAGATCCGAGACTCTCCGTCGTAACGTGTTCGGACAATGGAATGCTCATGGTAAGAGTGTAGCGATGCAAATAAAGCTTAGAATCAAATTGAGATGGTCGTTCTTGAAAAGTATTGTAATAGTTAGAACAATGATTGGAAGTAAATAATAGTAAGAACCTTATGAATTCAGGGAAATGATCCTGTTTTAATTTAAATGTATGAATGAGAGGAAAAAAGGAGGAAAGGGAAAAGGAAGGTGCAATTCTTGAAAGAAACCTAGAATGAGAAGATGAGAAGGAGAGAGACATGAAAGCATGAGAAAGTCAAGAAGAAAAAAACCCTGCTGCTGCTCTATTTATTTGGCGAATTCACCTACTTCATGAATTTGTGATAAAAAAGCCAAAGAAGTTGAATAAGTTCGTCTTTCAAGACAACAATTATAATAATGATATTGAAATTGCTATATCATTTGAAAAGAATTTGTTATGCATTTTTATAGGAATTTTTAAGTACAACTCTTGGTGTCGTGTTGGTGTCGTGTTTTCATGTGAGGAATCTTCGTCACTCTCCTAAAGAAGAAGGCGGTAGATCAAAATATGTGGCAGAATTCTATCACTTTTTGGATTTCAAGAACCTCCACTCCCGATATATATATATATATATATATATATCATTTCATAGCATAACCTATTTGAATTCTAAGTCGAGATGGCACCCGAAATGGCTTCAAGGTCTGCTGCTCCGAAGAAGCGTAAGGTACCTCCACATTCATCGTCCAACGGCAGGAGTGATTTTGGGAGAGGACGAGCTATGAAGCGCAATAAGACAATGGACGCACGATCAATAATGACACAAACGGCTGATGCTGCTCTCAAAAATGGAGATCTGGACCTAAAGTCGTTTTTGAACGCGCGGGAATATGAGATAAAGGCATTGGAAGATGGCATGCAGAGATCAAAGGGTGCCTTGTCCACTAGAGCATTTCAACAAGTACCGCGGGACATGAGAAGAAGAACAGCAAGCCATAATGTGAAGAAGGTACCAAGACGATTACAAAAAAGGGGTGCAAGAGAGATGAAAGAAGACAATACACCTACTGTCAATGCAAACAAGAGAAAACCAGGAAGTTCAAGAGGTCGCATACGTGCAGAAACGGCCAAGAAGTTAGGAATTTTGGCAGACAAGAAAAGAGCTACAAAGGGTACTACGACTGATGCTGCAGGAATCACAACTAGAGCTGCGAGACCAAAAATACGGAAGAATATGTTAAACGATCCTCCGAAACCGCCGTCGAAGTTTCGAAAGCGACAAATTCATAAAACATGGTTACCTACTCATTTATGGCATGCGAAGAGGGCGAAGATGACAGAACCCAAGGAGCCACTTTGGAGGATGGCTATACCCCTCAATTCAACCGAAAAATCATACAGACCAACACATAGAGCAGGAGGAAGCAGAGGAGCTGTAGCTTGGGATATGAGTTACATGAGTACTATTGGCCTCAAGGGTTCAATTGAGTCTCTCGGAAAGGTTCTTTTGGCCATGGGAATATCGGAGATGGATGTAAATGCAGCAAAGGGCTCAAAATGGAGAGCGGGCAGAAGAAGCTGGAATGGGTGGCTTAGCAGAGAAGTGAAAGAACAAAAAATACAGATTGGCCCCGCCGTCGCGTTATGGGATATTCCCGAAGAAGTCTCAGATAGCAATGCTACCAATGTATCGAAGTCAATGAGACAAGTCTTGATCAGGATTCATCCTTCTGCTTTCCTCGAGACGTGGACTGAGCTCCTACGCCTGTCAAAGTTGCAGCATCTAGCCATCCAACTTGAGGACCTTCGTTTTGAGATGGGAAGCATCGAAATAACTGGCCCTGGTTCAACGGAAGCTTTGCTTGGTATACTTCATCCATACCACCAATCTGAAGGTGATCAAGAGCCACATGCACAAACATTTACTTCATTGGCTGGTATCACTAACCCTGCATCTTTACCCGCTAATTCTATACTCTCATTTTCTATAATGGATCCCAGACTTCGCTATCCACCTCGCAAGATTGAGCTTCCAGATCCTGCCGACGAGGAAGCTACGTTTGGTTTAATGGAAATGCTATCTACTTGGCCAGCGGATAAGTCACCTGCTTCATCACCTCTCCTTGATCGAGACCTACGATACAAAGCCACTCGTCTTCCTTCACAGCAAGCCCTAAATCGCCGCAAAACCTTGGCACCACGGGGCACTTTCCCTTCCATCTCAGAACATGATCCATCTATACCGATCATGCTTCTCACATCAAGGATGTCCCAGTCCTCAACAGCACAAGGCAGCTGGACTCTTCTCGCTCCATGGAAGTGTATATTACCAATTTGGTATGGCTTAATGCATTATCCTCTGTCATCTGGCGGTAACCCACGCTTTGGAGGTCTGCAAGAGTTAAGGCAATCACATTTTGAGCATGGAGTTCCATGGTTCCCAGCCGATTACCCTGGAACCAATGCTGGGTACGCTTGGGAGGTCGAGCAGAGGGAGAAAAGGAAACGAGAATGGGATAAGAGACCAAAAGGCAAGAGAGTCGAGTGGAATTCTCTTGACCTTGGCGGTGGAAGGAAAGGTGAGCTTGGATTGGGCTGGGCATGTGACTTTGAGAAAGTGGCTGGGTTATCTTCACCTGATAGTGAACAGAGAAATTCGAGTACAGCTGGCGAGCCGGAGATTGCGAGTGAGCCCAAGGATAAAATCATCGAAAATCCCTTCAACCAACTCTCCAGCAAAACATTCTCCTCTCTTCTTTCATCTCCCACCGCGGACCTGCCAGCGCCAACTAGCCTTTTCACTATCCGCCTCACACTCCTAACTCGCGGTGTCGCCACTCCCAGCGCTCGCATCTACCGTCTTCCAGCCGAGCCAATCACCAGCGAAGATTCCATAAATTCTACTTCCACTTCCACCATTCCCTGCACCCTCCGTCAACAATGGCTTTCCCTTGTCCCCGCACCCATCAATCAGAAACCACCACCTAATCCCAAAGCCAAGGATCTGAGAAATCTCGGCAAAATCCCTTTTAATACACCGCTTCCTCAACGCGTGCATCTGCTTGCAAAATCTTTGTTGCAGAACCCTCCCTTGCCGTATCCGAAGGATAGGAATGATATGGATAACCATCCCATTGTTCCTGATGAGGAGGATCTTATTGGCTTTGTTACGACGGGTGAATATAATTTGGCAGAGGGAAAGGGAGTGGCGGTAGGAACGGTTTTTGCAGCAGAGATTATTAAGAGGGTGAGGAGTATGGGGGGGAACTTGAGGGAGGGAAGGTTGTGTGTAGTGAGGAATTCGGGGGAGATGGTGGGGAGATTGGCGAGGTGGGAGGGGGTTTGAGTTGTGTTGTGTGTGTGTATGGTATGAGCGGCACTGGCATCTATCAATATCAAAATTATATTTTAGAGTATGTTCAATGCGTTCGGATACGCGCTGTAAGTGATGCAATAGATAGATAGATAGATATCAAGAATCGATATCCGTTCCTTGTCAAATCAATTCATATGGCGACAGAGATTTCAATCTAAATCATTTATTCATTTATTCATTCATTCATTAATTTATGTATTCATCTTCAAGGTATAAAAAATTCATATCAATACATCAATCAAACAACTATTGTCCATAGTTGGTCAAAATCCTCATTCGCTTTTCTTTCTTCAAGATGTTCATTTCATCTTCCTACGAGTAGTATCTGAGACTGTTAGCTTGGAGAGAGCCTGAGAGAGAGCCTGGGAGAGAGGGAGGCGGGAGGAATGGATTGGTGGATGGATGGATGGATGTACTTTTGTGGGGGTATATGTGGGTGAAGGGATGAAGGGATGAAGATATAGTGTTATACTTTGTGGCTACTTTCGTTAGGTTAGTAACTTAATGTTGTACGAGTAGTTGATATACTGTATATTGAAGCCTGGCTCTTGCTTTCTAATCATAAGAGGCTAATATAGTATTCCCAGGTATTCATCACTCTCTTTAGAGCGTATTGGTTGGAGACTTTCCTACTTCTGCTCTGTTCTGTGATAATTGGTGTATAATTGATAGCTTCTTCCCCTTCCCTTCAACAGTAGTATTATACGAGTAGGTCCTTGAGAGAACGGACTTACTAGTCGATCATTGGTTGATAGCTCCTATATTCTTTATAGTTTAGACCATCTAACCCCATGGGGAAATGCCTCTATACACATTCCCTGTATCAATAAATCACTATCGCAAGCCAAATTCTATCCCAAAAAAGTTCCACTTCTGATCCCTCAATATTTATTCATTACTAGGTAATCTATTCAATATTATCAATATGTCCGAATCATTACCCCCTCCAAACAAACATCCCCATTACCCTCAGCAATTTCCACAACCACCCCCGATTCTCTCCAAAAAGTTGTCTCAATACTCGAGTATATACAAACCTCTTCTTGCAATGATAATATTGAGGGCTCCTGCTTCGATTTATTTGCCCTGCATGGTATGCGGGATTATGCAGCGAGATTACATATCTTGTTGAAAAGATGAATACTGTGGTCAGGTACAGTTAGGGGAGGGGGTAGAAATGGGAAGAGGTGGGAGATGGGGAGGAGGATATTGAGAGGAGTGGATGGGGTGTTGTATGGGGATTTGTATGGGGATGAGGAGCATATTTGGATTTGGAGTTTTGGGAGATGTTCAAGGTACAAGGTGGTTGTCTTGAAGAGGGTAGTGGCGGCTGATCCTGAGGCAAAGGTCAGGACGCAGGGGCGTTGGAGATGCCGAGACCCTTGCTGTTGTGCATTTTATGGTTAAGATTGTGGTCGGTACGATATGCTCATGTTTTTTTTTGGATATTACTAGGTATAGATAGGACTTGAAAGAAATTTGTATGGTTGGTTGGGGTATTTTTACCTCATTAAGATTCAAGATGCTAAGCGGATAGATACGGCATGGGTATGCACTACTTAAGACTTGAGTACAGCGCTATTGTTATAATATCAATTTGGTTTTCAGCATGATTGTGCTACTAATGGTTTTCGGCTTGGGATGGCGAATTAATGGATGATACAGTAATGTAGGTTCAATTTAGCGATATGATATGACACCGATTCACCTATTCGAGCATTAAGGAACCAAGTACAGATCCACAACCGGTCTTGAACTTTCATTCCGATGATAGGTTTATTGCATCTTCATACATCAGACGAGATATCCTTGATACTCATTTTAAGAAGTGACATTTCAGTCTCTAATCTTGCCATACTGTGATGAGATGAGATGAGATGAGATGAGATGAGATGAGATGAGATGAGATGAGAGAGATGAGATGGTGATAATATTCAACTTGGATCTACACCATCAGAGCATAGGCTTTAGCCTAACAACTTAATTGGAAAACTCAAAAAATTGGACGTTTATTCGGGCCAAAGAGAGGTGACCTTTATCAGCAACTAACTTCATGGCGATCGCTAGACTTCTATAAAATCCCACGCAGTTCCCTCCCCATCCGTCTCCACCAATTCCGTATCATCATTCCCAATTTTCATCTGTCGAAATTTATCCCCATGTAACATCAACAAGAGATGTCCGCCCGAGGGATGAGCCCTTGTACAAAACCACTCATGGTTTCGATGGTGCGAAACCTTGCAATGGAATTTCCCTTTACCATCATGGCCAAAAAATTGTCCAGAGACGCTGTTGCGGAAGCCAAACCAGCCGTCGCGCTCTATACATATCCAGTGGCATCCACCGGCTCGAGGGATATTGGGGGATACTTGGAGGGTTCCTTCTTTGAGCGCGATTACTCGGCCATGGTCACGATCTCTAATCATAAATGTTCTGCCGGCGTGGGGAACTGTGTCTCGGGAAGCAACGGGAGGGAAGAAATCTTCTGTGATAGCTGTGTGAGTGGGTGTGTTGGAGCCGGCTGTGAAGGAAGTTGTTTCGGCAATCGAAGCGGTATTATCTTCGTAGCATCCATTGTTTATTCTAGAGATATTTCCAAGAAGGCTAGGAATATCGAGTAAGGTGAGATGTGGTTGCGACGGGCCTTCTATTTCAATCCTCAAAACATCTTTCCATGGTGTTTTATCTGGTAGGTCTTTTGTGTCGGGAACCGTATGTATTTTTGTAGTTGCCAAAAATACAACAGCTGGAAGTTCACCAATATGAGTGATAGACTTCTGAAATGCCTTTATGATGGATTTTTGTGAAGCGGGTCTGGAAAAATCGGGAATCAATCTGATGGTGAAAGAGGTGACTTCGCTACATCGCAGAACGATTTCCGTAGAGAATGGGGTATGCAGTTTCCAATCTCTTAGTACAGAGTCTCGGCCAGCAGAAAGATTACCGGATATAACGAGATGTGGCAGTGATTCATCGCGGTCAAGACCATATTTGCGAAGTTTGGCGATAAGCTCCTCAGCAAGCGGATCTTGGGCTTGGGGTGACGGGTTCATATTGGAGATAAGAGGTGTTCTGATCTCAGAGAAATGCCTTGCTCCTTATCAGATAGGAAACTTCAGGTACGACGATATCGAGATGAGAAATTTAAAGTCCAGAAGAATCAGTTCGGTCAATATGACTCCTGAGTGTATGTGTAGGTATGTTCTCTTCTCGAACATCGATAGAACTTTGGGGAAGGCTCCATTTGCCTTGCCACGTGTGGCTGTGCCTTACACACTCTTGTGAAGTTTGCCCATCACTCCAATAAAGAGATTAGTTCCTTATATTCATATTATATTGATGAATTGATTGGTTAGTGGTGTTGGATTCTCCAAAAGAACCTGTGATGCCATCCTGCACCACTCGCTTAATTATCCAATCAAGGTCAATTATCGGACCATCTTCGGCAATGTAAAACTACAACTACACGCATATCAACAACTCCAGATATCTTTGCCATACCATTCTACTTTGATTGGAAGTTAATCCGCACTGTTGAACTTCGTTTCGAGATCTGCAAGTACAGTGCATCGATATGCGTTTTGTTGACGCAGCATTCCTTGCTCGTCAAGCCTTTTCATGAAGACTTTGTACCACGCTTCATGTCCATTATTCATAAGGCTCCGGCTCATACTATGTATGGTCTTGTGATTATGGTATTAAGTACACCGTTGGAAAAATCGACGAACACTCCAAGTATTACAGCGCAGTATACAACGAAGACCACGGTCGCAATTAGATGCGAGCATCAAATAACCCACCGTCTCCTGCTCGGAATCTTACTCTATTTATTCCCTTGTGAAGGCCGTTAAATCTACGAGTAATGATAAAAGTATGGAACCTGGCCATCATTTCTATCATCCACATAAGTCTGGTGGTATGGCTAGGAATCTGCTTGTTTGCCTCAATCCCCTCATTAAATGTGGAAGGGAGGGACAGACCTGATCGTCTATCCTTGAATGGGGCGGCCTATAACGCCGTACAACTTGCGAAGTCTATCCAGCCCCCTGGCCGAACTCAGAGCTGTCTCTGGAGTACAATCCGGAAATTTTCCTTTCTAGAACGATTATACAGCTTTTCGCGAAACGGGGATGTCGTGTTCCAACGTTTCATTTCAATATGTTGGTTCTTTCTCACAGGATAAGTCGCTCACCTCACTCAGATTGAACCCAAAAGCAGCCTATATATGATCATCAAGAAAATTCTGAGCTGCTTTATGTCCCTGCATGAGAATAGTTGATGACAGTGAAGTGAGCTGGCTCAACCGCGGGTTACAAGCGTTGTGATTGGCTGATGCAGCGCCAATCTGATACCAACAACCTTCATCGTATTACAGGGCCAATACGCGCGACTGCTGCTGACATCTAGCTCCTGATTGATTGTCCTATACGTGCTGATATATCATCTAGAAGCCATCTACCTCGCTAAGATCCTCTAATTAGAGATCAACCATTTGATTCGTTCTTCTCACTCTACTCCACAAATCAAAATATACGGAAACATACCTTTCTCACACCGTTTCGAGTATTTGCTCTTAGATATTGGCAACCGATCCGCAATTCAGGTTGCTGTTTGGACCGACAGATGTCGCTTGACTTCTCTCCTATTTGGCTCCTCTACCAATTACACTTCGAGAGGTTAAACTTCTAGAAATCTCGAAATTTACTGTCTCGATGTCGCCGTCCCACGAATCTTTCAACGTCTTCGCAAAACTTCCCATCGAATTTCGCTTGATGGTGTGGAATCATTCCATATCTCCCCGCGTCATAGAAGTTCAATACAATCATACTCAAAACTCCTGTATCTCGAAATGTGTTCCCTCTCTACTCCTCGTTTCCCACAAAGCTCGAGCTGAAGCTCTTAAAAGATATGAACTGAGCTTCGTAACTCGTACGAAAGTCAAATCGTCAATCTATTTCAACTATGAACTCGACACTGTCGTCTTCATTTGGAAATCATGTCGAGAAAACTATGTGAGCAACTGTGTCCGTTACGAAGAGTGTCGTCGAATCAAACGCATCTGTATTCTGGATAAGACTCTATACTTTCTAGTCAACAACCAGATGCGAGATTTATCTGCATTCACAGGGCTCGAAGAAGTCTCCATCTCGGGATGCTGTGGAAATGTCATGAAGTCTAGAGAATGTCCTAATGTCACTTCACACCTGTTAATATTGGAAGAATGGTTACTGGAAGTGGGTGCAGAGGATGTGAATTATGATCGAATGATACCGAGACTTATTTGTCTGGAGGGTGGAGGAAATTGCTCGAGATATACTTGGTTTCGAGAGTGGAATGAGTGGACCGCGCTGGCTGGAGGTTTATCAGGGGGCTTACGGAAGGCTACTTGGACGAGAATGTTCACAGAAGCTTGGAGGACTCTAGTAGAAGAGATGGTGGATGCGGTTTGACTTACCAACTGGCAGGTTCTTTGACAGCTTAACCCTCGATTTCGATTTCGACCTCGAGTCTCAAGTGTTATGTCTTATATGCCCAGTAGACCAGATTACCGAGATCAAGGGATCATTTGACGGAAGTGGTAATATTTGTCTGAAAGCACTTCGAGTATTAGACACGAACTATGAGTTATATATATATCCAATTCTGACCCAATTTACCTACCGGTACTTTGAAATCAAGATATCTAGGCCTAGGTAGCTCTCATATGTCAAAATAGTCAACCACATAAACAAAGTCGAGGAATTGTCCATACTGCGTATTGCTAATTCAACCGTCTGACTCACTGTACCATCTCACCTCCCCACTATTCGAACACAATAGAAATCTTAGAAATTGATAGTATAATAAAAGATGTTAGCCAATCCAACGTGTGAAGAAATGAAGCCGGTGAACCCAACGGCGGCAGAATTGCACAATTCCGGAATTTCATATCTTAGACATGACCGGGAATAAAAGTTGAGAATTGTCCTTATTCCCAGTCGATGTTTCTTAAGAAATTTGGTCAATTTTGCGCTAAGAAAAGTAACATGTCTGAATAATTTTTCAGATATGCAACATAAAAGTTGAAGTTTGGGCTATTTTCACCGCCTTTTTGGCAGAATGATGTGCATGACTTCAACATCTCCTAGACCTTCAAAACCACAAATTATCCGCGCAATTCCTAACACACTCAATCTCATTTTTCATAGGACTTGACTTGCCTCAACTTCTCTCGGACCTACCTCGTTATCTTCACAATGCCCAAAGAAAAGTCCGTCAATCCCGCCCAAGCCCAGCGCAAAGCTGATAAGGCAAAGGCTATTAAGAAAGGTACGGACTCATTATCTAATCTTCAATGTTAATGTTAGCTTGAGTATAATATTGACAAATCTCCAGGCAAGGCATCTCTACAAGTTCAGAAAAATGAACGACTCGCCAAAAAGAATCCACAACGTCTACAATCCCAACTCGATGACCTCAAAAAGATAGAAACCACCGGTGGGAAACTCACAAGCCATGAACGATCACTAGTCGAAGGATTAGAAAAGGAAATAAAAGCCGTGAATAGAGCTCGAGAATCTTTAGGTGATGCCGCGCCCCAATTCTCGCAATCGAGGAGTGGATTTGGTGGTGATAGGGGAGACAGAGGAGGGTTTGGGGGAAGAGGCGGAAGTGGTGTTTTGGGGAAAAGGAGAAGAGATGGGGGGTTGGAGGAGGAAAGTAGTGGGTCGGATATTGAAGAGGAAGTTCAGAGGATACCGATGCCGAGAGATACACCGCCTCCGTTCCCGAAAGAAGTGCTGGATAAATGGTATGCGGCGCGACGGGCGCGATATCAGGCGCAGAATCAAAATCAAAATCAAAATCAAAATGAAACTGGCGAGAGGAGTGGAGGCACAAGTGCAAATTCTATACCATTAGGAGGAAAAGATCGTGGGGACTTTGGTGGTCAGGATGCTGGAAGTGGCATGAAGGTACAGCAGGAAGTCAAGATGGTATATGAAGCGAAACCACAAATACGAGATTTAAGGAAGGAGGCCGTGGCATTTGTGCCAGCGGCTGTGAGGACGAAAATGCAGAAAGGGAAAGGAGAAGGCGGACTGATGGAACCGGAAGAGATGGAAAGGTTAGAGAGAGAAGGTTATATTGCTGGCAGCGGTGGGCAAAGGGGAGAGGCTGGGGAAAGTGGTCAAATTAATGTAGAGATGGAAGAAGTGGAGGACGAGGATTACGCTTAGTGCATTAAAAAATGTGGAGCGGATACATGTATGATATACGAGATGAATGATACCCCTTCGAAATTGAACGCAAATTTACTTCTTCGAAATGCTACATCATTTGGATACTCGATGACACCATCGCGTTCGCGGCAGCCGGAGATATAAAGACAAAGGAGCGTGTTGACAAAACTCTGTCCATCCTTTCAGGAGCCATCCAACGAGAAACTTGCCGAAGCTCACAGTGGCTCCTGATGATATTGGGCACACTACGAGAAAATTCAGTCAAGTGACAACGGGACTCAACCCAACAGCGTGTTACCTCAAAACAACAAGCTTTCAATCAGTGCCTAGTCATCTTCCGTTTGTTTTCCCGTCGCTTAGCACTATACTTATTATTATTAGTCTTTGGATTATGCTGGAGCTCCTTATACTCACTTGCTAGTATCAATCGTTCAAGATGTTTCTGATCTCGCGCTGAGCTTCTGGATTCGAGTGTTTTATATGAATATGAAGAGAGGAGTTAAGAAAAAGAAACCCTTTAGAAGGGAGGATATGTGTGGTGCAATGTTTATTTAGGAAGTTCTTCAATCTCTTGAGGTGGATGGTAGAGTACTGTACTGTAATGTATTGCATACTTCATGGGTTTCCCTTCTGGAAATGAGATCCTTCAGTATTGTCGTTTCCGTTCGGATCCAGATCATGCTGAGCAACCAAATACCCCATCATTGCTTCCATGTTATCTGTACGAGATATATATCTTTCTTTCAAGCTATCCCATGGAGTGGATGGCTTGTTGTCATGATAGATCCTTTGCTGAGAAGATATCCAACTAAATACTCGAGTAGTGGAATGTCTGCCATTCTGGCAGCATTATTCAACGCCATACCTTGGCGTGGATCTTGCTTGCTAGTAGCTTGCACTTATGGATTAAATCACATGGCCATGAATACCGAGGTGACGCCTGGAGTTTGACTGGAGAGTATTACGATATGGATTAGTCTTTGAGATGTCATCCGACAACCAGCTGAGATGGATAATAGTTATGCCGGAATCTACAATGATCAATAAATAGTAAAGACCTTTCTATAAACTTATTGGGCGCCTATGGCATCAAAAATTGATACGGTTAACGGGAACATCCACACCAATACCGAACATATCAGTTACTCAATATCGTTAACTATCCATATACATTTTCAAGCCAAGCTAGCCTAGTCATCGCATGTGCAGCTAATTTGAAGTCCGAGTGGTGGACAGCAAGAAACAGCCGAGATGTGTTTTAAGGTAGAGTTTGGGTAGGGTAGGGTTTTGAGCTAGAGAATGGAACACGGGAGTCTTTGGGTGCGAAGAGATGATCGGTGTGGTTAATTTTGCGTTGAAGACTCTGGTGGTGCTTGAGTTGGCGGTTGGAGATGTTATATTGTATGATGTGGCTGCGGGTGTTTGTTGTGGAGAGAAATAGGTTCAGAAACCGGAAACGAATGGGGAGAGAAATGTTGTTAGGAGGTTACGATTGGTAAGTTGTGTTGGGTATTCGTTTTTTTTTTTTTTTTTTTGTGTTTGCTGTTTCTCTTCTGAATACAAATCTCCTTGTCTCTCGCCCTTTTACTTGTTTTTTCCATTATCTTATCTCACTTTTCATCCTGTATTTTTTTCTTTATCTGTTCTGATTATTCCTCGTTGATATACTGAGTATACTCGAGTACATTTTTTAGAATCGTGAGATGATCCCCTAAATATAACCTCTTTCCTTTACTTTCAAACATCTCTGCGGATTCTCCTTCTGATCTTGGTATTCATGTAGTATTATACTACATACAAGAAATCTGCCTACTAGATTATCATTCCATAGTTCTAAGCTCTTGTTGTGTACTTTTCCCCACTCATCTATCCCTCAACCATCTCAACCACCTTAACCACCCCAGATCCATTCTTCTTTTCCTTTCTTTCCCATTTTCTCAAGTAATCTCTATACCTACCAATAATCACATTCCAATCCATACCAATACCACCCATCTATCTATCTAATAAATCATCACTAAAAACCCATTTGCCTTCCCATCAATCCATATCTCATTTCTCCTCACCCAACCTTTACCTGCATACCTACCTCACTTTTTGCACATAGGTTCCTATCTAACCCGTTAATCTGCAGGTAATCCGCAGATAATCCGTAGATAACCTACCAACCCGCGAATAACTCACATCCCCTCCCACCAATTCCCTCATTACAACACATTATTATCACCCATACAATAACCAACATGTCAATACCTTTTTATTTGTTACACTTCTCTTTCTCTTCCCCTTTCTTCGAGCAGCCTACCCGTTACCACCTATCCTCCCTCCCCTCTCTCTCTCCTCCCCACAAGTGTCAGTGAAATATAATAGATACATAATCAATATATCATCGTATCATATCAACTCACATCATTTACACAACAACTTGATGTTTGATAATTCCTAGTAGAGAATCAATCATAGTCTCATAGAATACCTTAAATCTCATTCATACCCGCAGTCAATCCCCCATCATAAAGTAAATCATCAACAGCAGGTACGTCAATCAACGCCTAAGAACGCATTCTCTACTGTACTCATACTCTCTTCTGAGTTCTCAACACCGCATCGAGATTCGAGACTCATATCATCGCCCGAATCTAGATACCATACCACATAAACTCCGCTCATAGCCTCATACCAAATTTCCTCTAAGCAAGCTTAACAATCAACAACCAACATTCAACGTGTTGGTTGTACCTCCTGTAAACAAGTACTTGCCAGTAGCGAGGAGAGCTACTTACTCTGTAGCTAGCCAACGTGGCGAATACATCAACTTCTAACGCCTAACTCCTAACATTATCACCCTTAGACTTCTAGTCTGATATCATCACATCACATCTCAGCACATAGTAATCAAATATCCAAACATCCAACATCAAACATGAGACTCTACCCTCATCACAACGCCACATACTCGAGTATCATCCATAATCCACCAAATGGAGTCCGGAGTTTTTTCTCACACGCATATCACTTACCTAATAACCTTACTTCACTTTTGTTCTCTTCGGCGTGGGAATCATGTGATGTGATGTTTGATCACTGGGCTTGAGAAAAAAAAAGGCTTGCGTTAGGTTATATTCTCGGGTAAGACCATCTTGGGAAAGAAAAAGAATAATGACGATATGATATAGTAGATGAGAAAGTAGATAAGCAAAGCAAGCAGATAGGTAAGCGGGCAATCAAGTACAGATTAGATTAGATCAGATTATTGTGTATACATACTTATATGTTCTGTGATAGATGATAGAAGGAAAAGTAAGGTGAGGTATGAATTATATATAGTTATACAGTACATATATTGGCGTGAACCGAGTATATAATCCAACCGAATCCAAGCCGTCTTATTCGACTCTTCAGGCAGGCCTCAACCTCAAGGCTATCAAGAAAGAGAAAAAAAAATCATTTATATAACCTCAACCTGATCGATCCATCCATCTTATCCATCCATTCCTCTCACTTCCGTCCCCAAAGCCTCACCACGCGCATACAAAACTGTATGCACACCACACACATATTTGCCTCTTTCCTCTTTCCTCTTTCCTCATCAACATCTACATCTACACCACTGCTGACTAGCTCAACTATCAAATGAGACAATCTCCTACCTAGTAAAACCCAAGTAATTTGGATAAAGAGACTGAACTGAACTGGACTTGGACTGGCGCGACCGACCGACCGACCGAACTACTATATTCGGGTAGGTGGGTGGGTGGATGGATATAATATAAGCAGCAGGCAACCATTCCAAGAGTTTTTGATATTCGAGGAAAGGATTGTACTTTTTGGGGGATCCCGGTTGGTTTAGTTCATTGATACAATTTATAATGGTTTAGTATAATATAAGGGATGAGGGATCTCTATACTGTGCTGTGTAAATAATGCGATAATGATAATAGTTCTATATTGTTTTCCGTACAAACAGCGCTTTAAGTCCGCACACCCTTCCCTAATAATTAATACTCTACACCTAAAACAGAAACATGTGGCTGAACTCCCCTCGCCACTCCTGCACCCAGATATTCAATCATGCCTTCTCGAATTGGATCCATGCATTTATCCATGTACCTAGTATGCAGACCCTTGATCTTCTAGAAGCCTTCCTCTTTTGTACTTTTAGCAGCGCACCACACCCTGTAAGAGCAAAATCCAAAACTCACCGATCTTTACCTTACCTTACAACTGTAACAATAACAACACCGAGGAAATACTGTACAGTAGAAGCCAACGAATTGAACAGCGAATCAAATCAAATCCAACCCATCCTATCCCATCCCGGCGAAACAAATGCAAGAAGCGAGAAAATATCGTAACGTCTGCTGATGAAAAGATGAGTCAATCGTGTATCAATCGTCACTCATCACTCATCACTCATCACTCGTTATAATCACAATATCTATGTACGTACCTCGAATCTCGAGCCCTCGAGGATACGTATGTAGGTATTCATTTACCTACCTATACCAGTACGGTATTAATATCCTGTTACAGGCTAACTTACCGCTCTCGCTCCTCCACTCACTCACTTATTATCAAGGAGTGCCCTGTTATGTTTTTATCGTAGATTACAGATTACCGGCTATGTACTCGAGTAGTCGTGAGATGGATTAGAGGGGATAGCGTGGTTTGGTCTGGGCGTTGGTCGTGGTATACTCAAGTATAGTATCACTCAAGTTACAAGTACAGTATCACTAATAAGTGTACCGGTACTGTACGGATATTGTGACTCGAGAATGAATAGATAGCCTAGTAGGTAATTCAATCTGTCTGGTCTAGAGTACAGAGTACAGAGTAATGGTATCGTGATCTATGATATGATTGTCCTGGTTGGTACTTTGAGTACATCCCTCAGAACAGAGAGAGACACCACTCACTACTCGTATATCATACATCATTCACTACTCGAGCACATACTCGTACAATATCAAACACCTGATGAGATGACACTGACTGACACACAACTAACACAACACTGACACGTCTAACAAAGCTCACTTCTTACCGATATTCATTGATACAATCAAGCCCCCAGAAACCCCGCAGTCTTATCCCAAACCCGAATCCCAATCCCAAATCCCAAATCCCAATCCTAATCCTAGCTAATTCAAAAATGAATATGAAAATGAAGCTCTCGTGATGTTACATATACCGGTATACAGAGTTACTCTCGCCTACGGTCTAGTCTACCTAGCCTTATCTAGTTTATCTAATACCTAGTCTATTTCAAAATCTATTCTTGTCTCATATAATCTTATAGTTTTGTTCTAGAAAGCTCGGGTATCTCCAATTAACTATAAATACAGTAATCAACTAATAATAACTGACTAACTGACAAACGCTTGTATACCAGAGTCTTAGTAGACGAGAAGATTGACTCATCTAGTTTAGAGTCATTTAGAACATAATATAACAGATCAGAACAGGAATAGATTGGAATAGAATTAGATTGAATATAAAATAAAGAATAATGATCGATATACTTACAATATTAGAAAACTCTCAAACTCAAAGATACTTGTCGATATACAATACTCGAGTATATATTCAAAGGTTCAAACCAAACCAAACCCCAATCTAGACTTTTTCCATCCACCCCCCTCTCTCGATTCTATAAGGACTAACCGGCTAAGCGGATACTGTACTCACTTCCACTTCTCTGCTTTCTCTTCCTCCCATTTTTATATCCCTTCTATTACTATTATTCTCCTGGTAGTTATTGATTAATTGATTGATATACTCGGTACATGAATTTGATATTGAATACCTCGTAATAACAGTACCAATAAGATGGCAATAATATACGAGTAGAGATCATCGTTTATTAACAATAACAATAAACAAGAATCGTTAAAAGTTATCATTTAGAACCCCCTCCTTCCCTCCCACTCAAAAACTCCTATTCTTATTCACCAACTGCCACTGACACTGACACTGACACTGATACTAACAACAACAACGACAACGACAAGCAAAAACGGAGGTACCGAAGAAGAAAGTGGAATGGAAATCACTAGTATAGAATACGCAATTGAGAAGAGGCTGAGGAGATTTATTTACAGTACCGGTATTCGTATACCCATGTTATGTTATCTATGCTATGCGTTTCATTATTCCATTCATGAGGTTTCGACTTCTCCACATCTACCTATACATAACATACCAGATCTCAAGAATCTAATGCCGATATATAGATAGATAGATAGATAGATAGATAAGTCTTGGGGGTCCTGGGAGGTGCTTGGAAACTACTATAGTGTTAGTTAATTAATTACAAGGCTGTGTTGCTGTTATTGTTATTGCTATTTTCGATCTTTACTCGAGTATTATTCATCAATTCATCATCATTCCATTCATGGGGTTATTTATTGCTTATTGCGACACTTACTCGGGCTGAGCGATGCAATGAAAGAGGGGTTGGGGTGAATGGGTGAATGTTTATCTTATCCTATCTAGGGATTTCTCTAGAAGCTGTGTAACGAACAGATCATATCATATTATCAAGAAAAGGAAAGGAAAGGAAAGGAAACACCTGAGAAGAGAAATTGAAGGCTATTAAATAGCTGGCCAGGCACTTTTTATATCTCTTTTTGGGTTGAGATCTTCTTGGATTGCATTATGGTATGGTATACTCGAGTAGGTATAGGTAGGTAGGTGTATGTATATGGAGAGATGTACGGAAATCGAATGATGAATGAATGATGTTGTACAGAAAGATGAAGATGAATATGAAAAATGTGAGAGAACACTACAGGTTCTGTACGACGACATTAATGGGAACAGGCGTTTTTTTCGATAGATATGGATATGGATGTAAGTGAGGCAAGAAGCATGAGTACTGTACTGTATTGTATGAAGAAGAAGAAGTCTTTTGGTTAGAGACTCGATATAAGTGCTGGCTGTTCTCTTGGTATTGAATTAATTTGCATCTTCTTTTTTGAGTGGTGAAAGGTAAGGAAAGAGACTGTGAAATCAGTACCGGTATGGCCATTTCTCAAATCATATTGTATCGTATCATATCAAAACGAAGCATTTTCAACGGTTCGCTTTGGGTTTCTAACATTTTGTGTTGATTAACTTGATTGTCAACTGACTGTTTTTCCTGGATAGGAAAGCAAGCGGCTTTCCGTAATCATAGTGGCCACCGCAGGTTTTTCGATTCGGACTTCTTCTCTTTCGGTTGGTCTCTTCTTGAATTTGGTGGGCGTACTCGTAGAATTTGGTGGAAATGGCTTGTGTAGAGTGAGTGGTTATGTGGTTATCTGGTTATGAATCATTTGATGTGATTTGATGTGATTTGTAGAAAATAAGATGCTGATGAGAATGGGGATGGATGGGTATGAGTATGAAGTTATGGAAATGAAAATGGAAAATGGAAATGGGGGATGCGAAAGACTCATCGATGGCTTGCTTCATCTCTACCCGCACATTACCATAATTTTTCATCGGGGTTAAATTATCCTTGTCCCTTGAAAAACTACAAACGCCTTCGCTGGTTGGGTGGTTGAAAGGGTTGGAAGCAATATTCAGAATTCAAGTTGCCCTTTGCTTCGCCGTAATCCATTCCTGGGTGCGATGAAAAGATGGGTTGACCATTCAGATGCTTTGGAATTGAAGCAACATTTCATTAGCTAAACCATGACCATGTCGGACAGATAGGAATTGTATAACAAAACAGAGCCATGCCCACTGCCTGTATTGAAAAAGATTTCTTCTATTCTTCATCCGTCAACATGTATGATTTCAAAAATATCTAACTCAGCGGCTCCTTGAAGTCTGCAAATAATTATCCTCTCAAACCAAAAAAATAAACATTAAATCAACTCTCAATTCTCAACTTATTCATCTATCTATTTATCTATCACTTCTTATTCATTTGTTAGGAGAAAAAAAAGAAATAGAAAAAAAAAGGAAAGAAGGAAAACAAAAAGTTATTTGTTTGTCTTTACAGGATTCATTTATTCATTATTCATTTATTTATCCATTATTCATTATTCATTACTTATTGATATCATCACTTCCACCTCACCACCTCCTCTTCTTGGTTCCACGATTTCTACGGTTTCCACGGTTCCACAAGCTCTCAGCTCGATTTCATAACTCATATCACACGGGTTTACCTGCCCAACCCCAAGCCAACCTGCCTACGAGAGACTGACTTAACACTCAATTTCGCCTCTCCGTTTGTCCGCCTGCTGTCCGCCTGTCCGCCTTCTAACTGTCCAGTCCACTGTCCACTTCAAGTCCCGAACATATTCGACTCATAAATCTCATACCCGTACCCAGACCATACTACCTTATCTACCATACGATCAAACAAGGCGTCAACATCCAAATTTCCCCACGACTCGCGAACTTTTTGTGTATTATCTTCACCATTTCTACCTAAAATCTACTTTTCAATTACCTACCTACCTACCTACCTACCTACCTACACCATTACATTACCTTCAATCTTACAATCCTCCTCCTCCTTTGCCACCTAATTATTTATTTATTATTTTACTTCCTAAAAAGGGAAAACGAATTTCACGCGATTCCTTTGTTTACTATTCAATCGTGTTTTCTTCCTATTCCTATTCCTATTCCTCTTCCTCTTCTTCTTCCTTATTCATTCAATCAAAGATTCCTTCAATCAAATCAAATCGACTTCTTTATCAAACAAGCAACCCACCAGTCACCAGTCACCAGTCACCCAGTCACCAGTCATATCCGTTACCCAAACGCTAAAGAAAGGGTAGCCTGATTTGTTTGACTATTTTACCTACTATATCCCTACACCCCTACATACCGACTATTAGTGGATCGAATTCAAAGTCTCGCCACTGCTTAACCAGTCATACCCCATCAAAGCAAAAAAGGTACACCTAAGACTCACAGCCTCACCTTCTCGCCTTCCCCCATCATACTACTCACTCATACTACTCATACTTACTCGGAAAAAAAAAGAGTCAACTTTCATCTCAAAGAGATATCTGTCTTCTCTTCCTCTCTCTTTCTGACTCGAACGAAAGGAATTCTTGAGTTGTCTCCCATCTCTGTCGCCTTCGCAATTCTTCGCCTCTTTCGAACACTTACTTCTTCTACAAACACATTACTCACTCCACTCAATTCTTTGTTCAATGACAACCATCGGTCAATAACCCTCGAATTTCCTTACTACAATAAAAAAAAACACAAATACAAATACACACGCGCGTACAGTACAACGATATCTCGAATGCTTTACTCCACACTCTCATGAAGCATACGTTCCACATAAACATACAACTTCAAACACCCTCTCGTCCCAAATCGCGACCTTCAGTTAATGGGATGCTGGTTTAACCCAATAAACTAACCCACCATTTATCATCACAGTTACCATTTCACTCGTCGGAAAGGTCAACATGCTCTTAGCTCTCACAACTTTTGCCCCAGTCGCCAGTCTTACATCGTCCAAATCTATCGGTTCTATCGTTCCTGAAGAAATCATCACGGTCTCTTCTACAATTTAGTCTATCCTCCTCCTACCTCGATCATCTAGCTCTGCAATAACTATCGCGTTGTTGCACGAGCCTGTATCTAGTCAGAAGGTTTCTTAGGAGCAGTCTATAACGGTTTAATCTTGATTTTGGCTTTGCACAGACGGCGACTGGAGTTTTATTTCGAATAGAAACTCTTTCATTTCCGATTACAAAATACACCGAAGATGCATTGCGGCGAAGATGATTCGTCGCCTTACTCATCGTTCCATAATGGTCCCTACAGTTCCTCTCTAGCCTCATCGGCTTCTTCTTCTACCTCTTCAGTTTGGTCGGATGCAGCTTCACAATCATCCGACAACTCTTCTATCACAAGCGCATCCTCCGATTCCGAACCACCATACTTCTGCGCAGATCAACTACCTCCTCCTACAACTGTTATCAGCATCTGCGAAAAGAACCCAATCACCAAATTTTGGCCACAACAAAGATTATCAGTGGAAGTTAGTCTGGATCAAAGGCAGAACCCAAGGAGGACCAGTGTCGGATCCAACACCCGCACAGGACATCCTCCAACTTTGACACGTCAAGCTGATCGGAAGGTCAATTTTGTCGACAGCCTCGTCGGTAAGCTAATTATGAACTCCTGATGATTCCCATGTCCATGCGCTCAACCATTCCCCAGATTCCTCGGCTTTGATTGTCGAAGCGATTTGGCCCCTCTCAACAGTTACTTGCAGAAGCGAGATGGGTAAGGGCGTTCTTCCTCTGCGTATCTTCATACAGGAAACCTTGAGACGATCAAGGACTAGTTACTCGACTCTTCAAGTCGCTTTGTACTATCTGATCTTGATCAAACCCTTTGTACCGAAGACCGATTTTACTATGGAGCAACCAGATGACACGCAATCATACCGAGCTTTACAATGCGGTCGACGATCGTTTCTATCTGCGCTTATTCTCGCTTCGAAATTTTTGCAAGATAGAAATTACTCGGCACGCGCTTGGAGCAAAATCTCTGGACTACCCACGTTAGAGATCAACCAAAATGAAAAAGCATTTCTCCATGCCGTAGATTGGGAGTTACACATCACCGAAAAGGTTTTCCAACGTTGGACCGACATTGTTCTCAAATACACACCGTCGTCGCAACCTCCATCCGCAGGCGCCTCTTCTTCGAGTGTTGCAGAACAATCTGTCGAATGGAAAACAATTATTCTTGGACTCAATCCGGAATTGGATAATGTGAATGAGATCATAAGACCATCTCGTAAAGAAGTCTGTGGCATTGCGCCGAGCCCTTTCACGCCATTGTCTGCCTATCAATTCCCTGGTTCCAATGCATCCTCTTCTACGGCAAAACATTATTCACCCAATGTCATGGAGCCATCACCATCGGTTGTTTACCCCACTGGTAGACCTGCGCCAGCTCTTGGTCTTCTCCCAACACCACGATTGACTCCCCAGAGTACTGGATACAACACTCCTGCTGTGTGTGCTGCATCTTATGTGCTCGGTAAGTCGTCGATGAGTCTCGCTATGACACAAGGGATAAGATTTTGTGGCAATCAGGCGACTGAAAAGTGGGCAACCCAATTGACCTCGTCTCCACAAGCAGATCCTTCTAATCGTCGATCGTCCTTGGCCAATTCAGTCTCGTCGATGTCTTCACCAGAATCAATGGTTTCAGATACCTCATCAAGATCATCTCGTTCATCTTCAATCTCATCTGCATCGTCATTGACGAGTGCGCCGATCTCAGCAAAGCTGGACGTTCAGGCGCGCTGTCGATATGCGAGGCTGTGTAGTGAGAAGCAGAACAGAGATGTTGTTGCTACAGTACCTGTCATCTTTGGGGTATGCGAAGAAGCGGAGATGGATGCGGCAGAGAGAGCTGCAGAAGCTGCACAAGCTTTACAGGAATTGCACAGTCATCCAAGATCCATGGATTCACCCAATAGAGCTGGTGCTAAACGAAGTAGGACTCATTTAGTTGAAGCTTCCCTTCACGAAAATGTACGAGAACTTTTGATGCTCCCGGTCACCAACCAAGAACTCCCAGCTAGATTTGTCGAGTCAGATGGACGGTATGCTATGCAAACAATGCCAACAGCTCCATCTGGAAGAAAGAGACTTTGTTGTGCTACGGAAGCTGCTCGAGGACTCTCTCAATCAAACATGCATCGAGCTCTTAATCGCCCAGGAATGTGGGACGGGATACTAAATTAATACACCTTACCGACTTATACATACATTACAACAACCGTGTCATAACAGATTTTCTTTTTCGATTTTTTTTTAAGCTAGTTAGCAAAAACAGACAGTGCAACTATCACATCTTTAGCCTTCGCACATCATCCACACCCCCATGGTTATCAGAATTTAGATGCTGGGGCTGCATCTACCGTTGATCATTTTAATTGAAACCTGCAAGTACTACGATCAGATGGTACTTAGTTAATTTTCATGAACATGGGGATAAAGGGAAGGAAATTGTGGGCACGTATCGACAGGTTGGGGGATGCTTGTACGATGGTTGGCGAATGCTGGCTTGGCTTTTGTTTTATTGGGGGTGGAAGGTAAGGGTGGAACATATGCTGCGCGATGGGAATTATATCAACATTGGTGAAATGCAGGAAAGGGGAAGTGGGATGGCGTGGATATGGAATCGGTGGAGTTTTTTTTTACCTCTTTTTTTCCCTTTGAGTTATTACAAATATGATATGGATGGATTTGAGCACTTGAATGGGGGTGTGTTGATGCGTTGGTGATGGTGATGGTGATGGTGATGGTGATGGGGTGATGGTGATTGGTGGTGGAAGTGGAAGTGGAATTTTGTCAGGTCACAGACAAATTGTTCACATCTTATTAGCGAAAAAGTGGTTATCTTATTTAATACCGCATGATCGATAGATCAATACGTATTTCGTTTAGCTATCTATCTATCTATTTACCTTACCTTACTCTCTACCTACTTACCTATGATATCTCTCTATGTCTCTCGCTTGTTGAATGGTTGAATGGTTGAATGACTAGAGTTGATATGTGGTTGATGAGTGGTAAGGTGGTAAGGTGGTGGTTCTGTGGTGATGTGGTGTGGTGATGTGGTGTGGTGATGAGGTGTGTGGTTCTGTGGTTCTGTGGTGTATTGCGTGTAGTGGTGAGTGGTATGTGTATATATATATATATATATATGTATCATATACGAATATATACATCAGGGGAAATAGATGGATATAGAAAATGGGAAATAAGAGATGAAGAGATCAGATTTAATTGAATTGAGGTGAGCTTTTTATCCTTTTTATCCTTTTTCTTTTTCTTTATTTTTATACTCGAGTGAGTATATGAGGAGGATGAGGAGGATGAGGATTTTATTGGGGATTGGAGATAAAGGGGAAGGGAAGGGGAGGAGATGAAGGGGATTGGTGATTGGGGATTGTGATTGGTATGGGGATTGTATGAATG